GAGGTGAAATTCAATTTCCTAAGGAAATGAATATGAACAATTTGATGATATATTCTTAGAATATATTTGCTGAGAGGCAAATCAATTGATTGGTAACTAAATTGAATCAATTTTCTTAGAAAATTGTGTTGATATTGAAGCAAGTTTTGGATAGAAATCTTAGATTTCTGAGGTGATAATAAATTGATTACTTGATTTTCTAAGAAAATCAAATTCAAAACAAATCAAATTAGACTTTTGATACTGATGTTGATTAACACAAGATTCAATAATTAAATTAACCAAAGTTAAAATTGCAAATAGTAGTTGATAATATGAGGCAAAGACTAAGGTCAAAAGTAACAAAATCGTTTCAATCACGCATTCGCAATCACTTGATGTTTCAACTTCTGCTTAAGGTTTTCATCTCCACGCAACCAATATGGTGATTTATTGTTTTTGTTGGCGAATTTTAGTCGCTTGTTAAAGCCAGTTAGTAAATTTCTAAGGAATTTATCTTCATCTTCTTTGTTATGATATCCTTTGTATTGAGCATCAATAGAATATTCTCTTCTTTTCTTTTCTTCTAAGAAGAAAATTCCAACGGTCAATATACCAAAGAGTAAGGCTAATGATGATTTGTTATTATTGGCAACAATTTTGTATTTATCAAGATGATAATTTATCATCACTGGCTTCATCTTTGATGGGGATAATTTTCTCACGATTAAAATCATCATCCTTTTCTTCTTAGAAGAAAACCAATTCAGTTGATGATTTTTGATGATTGAGCGGTTTTAATGAACCGATTAAAAAGTTTGATTAAACTTTCGTGATTAATTTTAAAGTTAACCGTTTTCTTGGATTCTTTTGCTTGTCTTTTCTCTAAGAGAAAAAGGGATAATAATCGACATTTATTCCTAAGGAATAAGAAATTGTTCCAAGTTCAAAGATGATCTTAAAGTTTTCATCTTTTGACAATATAGTAAATCTCTTTGAGATTGATGATGGACGACAATTAATTTCATCTGATTGTTCAGATTTAGAGGATAATATTCTACTCGTTTTAACTCTTGTAAACAATTTCGGTGATCGTAAGAATATTTTCCTTTCCCATGATGTCGTTAATATTAGAACTCGACGAGCGGTAATTTCGAGAGCTTCGAAGTGCTAATTGGTGTTGATTGAAAAATCAGATCAATTAGATCAATTAGATTATATTGAATAATCGTCTCTTTCTTAGGAAGATTGTGTCGAGTTGGAATCTTCTTAGAAGATTCGATTAATCTAATCTTAGAGTTAGATTTATTTCTTGAGATAAGAAATCTATATGCCGATTGTCGCTGGTGCTGCCGTCGAGACTTAATGTTAAGTACAAAATTTTCAATGCTCATTCGGCTCTTTAAGCTCATAATGAACTGGTTAGTTGATATATCATCATGAAGTTTAAGTTTCTCTCAATTGCTGATGTTGTTGCTTGTGAATATACGAATAATGATTCACATGTAATGACTTTTGTTATTAAGCGTTTGTCTCCATTGGTCATAATGTATCTCTTACTTATCGAGCCTTGTGGTCGACGAACGAGAACATTTTTATCTCGAACTACAGACGAAGATTTAGGTCCGGACATTTGGGATTTTGTGACTGTTCCAAATGATGACATGAGAATAATTCCAATGATTCGATAAATGTATGCGGATTGTAGAATTAATTCTCTTAGAGAATAAAGCCAAATTTCGAATGGTTCACCTTGATGTTGTTCCGCTACTTCGGTGAACATGGAATTAAATTCGTAAGGAAGGTGATATTGAAGTGCACCTTTCTTATCGACATCCGAATAACCGAAAGGTTTTAATGCTTTCTCAAAGAGAAAGAGCCAAGTTAAAGGATCCGTTTTCTTCTCTGGAACTTTGAGGTTGATCCAATGAGGAACCTTCATTTTTTTCACAATTAGGTTCGTAACTTGAGCTTCGATTATGTTCCAAAGGAATATATTAATTCAGTTGACCAGGAATCTCCTTAAGAGATTCAACATCAATTGATAACCTGTGGTTAATTTTTCTGTTGTATTCCGGCCCATTCAGATCCTAAGGATCTGATTTAAATTGTTCCTTAGGAACAGTTAGATTTGAAGCAGTTCCTATGGAAATTTGTTCAACTCTACTCAGTCTTGTATGTAGATCAGCTTATGTGACAGTGACATGATATCCAAAGTGTTCAGTTTGGATAGAATTATTCCTAAAGGTGAATTTTCAGTTTTTGTTAATGAAGTTGACTTGGTTCCACTCACGGTGTAAACGCGTAGGCGTGGTTTTGAAATGGTGTCTTCCTGGTTTCCGGTATACGTTGCTCTCTTTCTTTGCACACGGTTCACTTGATGATAGTTGTTTGGTTCATCCCATAGAGATGGAAGATAAATTTAAACTTCGGCCATATTGAAATTCAGATAATCGATTTTCGATTGTAAAAGAATTGTTAGGAACAATTAATGATTGTTGTGGCTCAGAGGCAGGCCCTCCATTTGATCCGCATAATTTTTGATCGGGTTTTAGGTCAGAAATTACATGCTGCCTGTCACTTACCTCTAGCTCAGGGATTCTTAGTTTGTCTAGGGAAGGATTGGATTCAGCCAACTGCTTTTTCACTGACAATGAACTTCGTTCATTAAAATTGGTCTCTAAACCAACATCAAGTGTATCTTTTACCTCTTCAATTAAATAAGAGAATTTTTCAATGGCAAATAAATTAAAGTCTCGATGATTTTCAATAACTTTCAAGGCAATTGCCAAGTCAGACATTCGACTAACACCGAGTCTGGACAAGTGAATATTATTATTTTCGGTAAAACCATTTCGTCTTAATAATTGAATCCAATCTGGAGTTTCAATTATATCCATTAGAAATCCTAAGGATTTCTCTTCAATTGTTTAATGAGTGAATATATTGAAAAATTCATTGATCATACCATTGGTATGAATGTACCTTTTTAAAAGTTCAATATTAAATTAATGATTCTTCTTAGGAAGAATCTCCATTTGGTTTGAAATCACAATAAAGTCTTCAGCTGTTAATTCAGCTAATTTTCTTTTAGTAGTTAAGGGGTTAGGTCACAAATAGACTTATAAATAGAATCTCCTGACATTTTCATCAATCCTGCCTAGGTCGCCATATGTCGTAGATTAAAATGAGAGACTGAGAAAACTCGGAAATTCACTTTAATATTCGGATGTTTGAAACCGTTAGAGTTCGAATATTCCTCAACGATTCACAGGATATTACTTCCCGTTACCTTAAGATTGATAAAAATAACCAAGTGACAATTTATAATTTATAACAATATTTATTGTGATTAAATGACTACCTCTTGAACTGACCAAACCAAATTAACTGCGAGTCTGAAAACGGTAAATATGAAGGTGATTAAACATAAGATTAAATATGAGGAACACAAATGGGAACAAAAAAATAAGTTAACTTAATTAAAGTTAATTAATTAAGACAAGGTTATCATGAGATACAATAATTTCTCTAAGAGAAATTTAACACAAATTAATCTTAGATTAATAAAAATATTGATCTAATTTTCCTAAGGAAAATTCTCTCTTATATACCTATTTTAAAAGGGATATTATTAATAACTAATTACCATTGGTTAATTGTTACAATTTAAGGGGAGAGAGACCAAATTAATCATTTGGTAAATTGATATTACGGTCGCTAATCAATCAATGGTGGTTAATGGGATTAAATGAAACTTAAAAGTTGATTAAAAAGAGTTAATTAAATTGAGGTTAATTAATTGGTTATTTTCTTTTGAAAATAATTTTCTGATTAATTACTCATCTTTGGTTATGAGAGATGATGAAAAAACTAAATTTTGTCTTTCCCTCTATGGGTTAGATTACTACTAGGGTAACTGTTTTGGAGAGTGAGTTGAAATTTCACTTCACCACATTACAATCACTTTTGTATTTGTTAGTAATTAGTTTTGTACACTGCCAGACAATATTTTTCGTTGTAACAATTATATTTAATTGTGGTACTAATACTTGATCAAATTGAACCAAATTTTCACAATTTACTCTTAACTTTGATGACAATAATCTGGTAAAAATTTGTGAAATTTAGAATAGTTTAAGTTGGTTAAATTAGTGCTGCTTGATTAAAAAATTTCTTTTCATCGATCTCCAGATCCGTCAATTCTGTTTGTTCACAAATCCATTCAACCAAAAGTGACATTCGTCAGAAAACCAAATTTTCTGATGATTGAGTTTTTTTATCAATCTTATCACGCATGAAGGTGTCCTTGGGTTCTACTGGAAGTAACTAGCTACCTCGCTTACCTTGCTTTCGTCGAGTGAAGTTACAGCAGCATCAGAATTACCGACAAGATGGTCACCAACGGATCCAGTGGCGCGAAAATTCTCCAAGTTGTTTTTAATGGTCAATCGATGTGGCGAATTCTCCACTTTAAAGTTCTTAACGAATCTTTGTTGCACTTCACAATAATTACCACACTTTATGTACTCAATCACCATAAACTCTCTTTGTTTAATATCGTAGCGATTTATACTCATTTTAAAAACAAGAATTTAAGCTTAGCCACTTGCACTAGAGAAAAAACTTTAAATTGAACTTATGCACTATGCAATGAACTACAAAATAAGATCTTAACCATTTAGATATCTCAACTAATTGCTGAGGAAATTTAATTAACATCAAGTTGAGTCATCGAATTCTCATTTTCAATCATTTGATTATAGTTTTCAAAACAAAAACAATTCACAAAAATTTTAATTGTTTTATGCAATCTTGAGATCAATAATCAATTATCGTAAGTATCATCAGATTTCAATTATAATTAAAAAAGTTATTAGCAATCAAACCCTAGCACATTAATCGTGAACACGCTGTAATTTCTATCAAGTTGATTTTTTAGATTGCTAAATATCATCAATAGGTGGCCATCATTTCCCTGTGGAGATGTGGTCATCTTGTGGTCAGAAAAATGATTCTCTAGTAAATTGAACTTTTAGTATCGATAGTTTCGTTATTCAGTCAATGAACATGAAAAAATGTCCAACTGATTATTTAATTCAAAAGTAACGTTAATATGAGTATAAATCCAATTCATTTGGAATATTTTTGTGACCAATCAGTTTTCTGGGTAAGTTTAGTAAATTTCTTCGAACTTGTAATCACAATTAAATTTCCACATGCTAATTTTTATCATAGTGCAATTAATGAAACTAATCCATTTTTATTAAGAATCACAATTTAACTTGGAATACAAATCAACCCAAATTAACTCGATGTTTCCATCAAACTGTCTTGAATTGGTTACCAGCGCTTTTCCTCAGTTTATTTTCAATATTCGAAGTGACCAAAATAATCAAGTTACAAAAAAAGTTTATTCATTGGAATATAATTAATCGTTCTAGATTAGGATTAACAATTTTCCTGATTATCATCAATTTCATTCAATTAATTAACGTAACTCGACAATACGATAATCCATCAATAACCAAAAAACCAAATCTATCTGATTTAATTGCTCCATTTATCAACATTAGCTCTTTTGTAAGTAATCCTAACATTAGATTTGCTTTCAATTTATTAACAAGTTGATTAATACAAGAACTAATCATTTTGGTTTTTGTAATAATTAACGTTTAACATTAATAACATTTTTCCGTTGGCCAACAAACAGCAATTGAATTAAAACAAAACTTGTTGACTTTAATTGACCGGAAATTTAATACTCTGTTAGAAATTTATTACAATTAAGTCAACATAGTCTATGTTTACATTGAACTTTATTAACTGTTATTTTTTATATCGAATCAAACTCTTCATTAACGACAACATTTATGATGTTAATTGTTTGATAACTTTACTAATATTAATTGCATTTACCTTCTAATTTACTTAATTTCCTAGACGTTAATTGGTTTATTATTTTACTGTCATCAACTCCATGATATTCATACAAGTTGGATCACTTGGATTTACTGTTTAATTAAAATTATTTGTCTATTTGGAATCGATTATTCAATTTGGATTGATTCAAATGAATATACAGAAATTGAAGTCACTTTATACAATTTACAGTTAATTGTGTTTATATTACTACTGATTATCATCTCGTTTTCTGATTCTAAATCATTACCTGATTATCTTAGCTTAAAACTGTTCAGGGACTTACGAAATCCCCAAGAGATTGGTAAGTCCAAAAATCCCGAAAGATCAGCTTCGTTTCCGAACTATATTACTTTTTGGTGGTTCAATAAATTGGCTTTACTTGGCCATCGAAAAGCTTTAGCAATCGAGGATCTTTGGGAGCTTCGAGATGACCTTAAAGTAAGCACATTGATGCAGCCTTTTAACTTTCAGTATAAAAGATTATCAGAATTGACTGATAAACGTTCAAAAAGTAATCTAAATGGTTCGTCAAAAAATCAAAGTAAACGAAAAGTAAATATTATCAGAATTCTGGTTAAAAACTTTGGTCATAGTTTTCTAGTTGGAACGACATTGAAACTGGTTCAGGATATTCTGCAGTTCATTTCACCACAGTTACTTAAGTGAGTAGATGAAACTATTATCCATAAATATTTACAGCTGATTTACAATTGATTTCATTGAGTTTATCAATCGGTTTGTATTTTCATTTAGATTATTCATTAATTTCATCGAAAATCAATCAGAGGAACAACTTTGGCATGGAACATTAATTGCGTGTTTATTGTTCGTAGTCACGTCTTCCAAGACAATTTTTCTTAATCACTATTTCTATCGTATGATCATCGTCGGAATGCAGATAAATTCAACGTTGACTGCAGCAATTTACAGAAAATCTTTCAATATTAGTGACAAAGCAATGAAACAAATCACTTCCGGAGAAATAATTAATCTAATTTCAGTTGATTGCAAACGTTTCCTTGAATTAATGCCTTACATTAATCTACTCTGGTCAGCACCTTTTCAGATATTGATGACCACTTTTTTCCTCTTCCTTGAACTGGGATACTCTGCATTTTGTGGCATATTGGTGATGATCTTTTTGGTTCCAATCGATGGAGTGTCAATTATGCTAAGTAGAAAACTTCAAGTATCAGTTATGGATCATCGAGATGAGAGAGTTAAAGCGATTAAAGAAATTCTGAATGGAATACGAATCATCAAATTCTATGCTTGGGAAAAGTCATTCCTTCGATATATCACCTCGCTCAGAGAAAAAGAAGAAGGTCAACTGAGAAAATTATCATATCTCGAATATATTTCAGCATTTATTTGGCACTGTTCTCCTACGATTGTGTCAGTGACGACGTTTGCCTCTTACGTTTTGCTTCAAGGAGGAACACTCACCGCAGAAAAGGCTTTTGTATCACTTTCTCTATTTCATATAATGAAATTTCCTTTATCCATGATACCTGAACTTTTATCGTCTTTAATTATGGCGAGTGTTTCAACTAAAAGGATTAACAAGTTTTTAAATCTCGATGAACTTGATGCTTATGTAACACGAAACTCTGACGAATTGGATGTTTTGAAAATAGAAAATGGCTCCTTCAGATGGAGTCCAAGAGACGAAAGACCCGAAGGTAATTCCAGATCATGTGGATTCTCAAACAAGAAATGTTTTTATACCACGAATTTATTAAATGACGAAGTCAGTAAGGAATCGGATGGATTGACACTCGAAACTAAACCAAGTCTTCGGCATATTAACATGAAAGTGAAACCTGGCTCGTTTGTAGCGATTGTTGGTTCTGTTGGTAGTGGTAAAAGTTCATTGTTAAGTGCGATTCTCGGAGAGATGGAGAAAATATCAGGACGAATTAATATCAATGGAAAATATTCAATCGCTTATGTCGCTCAACAAGCATGGATTCAAAATACTTCATTGAAGAACAACATCTTATTTGGTTCTCCGTTTGATGAAAGTAAATATAATCAGGTAATTTCTGCCTGTGCATTAGAACCTGATATCGCTTATTTACCTGGAGGAGATGAAACGGAAATCGGCGAGAAAGGAATTAACCTTTCAGGTGGACAAAAACAACGAGTTAGTCTTGCTCGAGCTTGTTACAGTGATTCTAATCTGTTCATTTTAGACGATCCATTAAGTGCTGTCGATGCTCATGTAGCTCAACATATTTTCAAAAAAGTTCTGAGCTCAAAGACTGGAATCTTAAAGAATAAAACTCGAGTTTTAGTGACCAACAAGTTGGATCTTTTATCCAAAGTCGACAGTATTTATGTTCTAACTAATGGTGTGATTACCGAGAATGGAACATACAAACAATTGATGGAAGCTAAAGGAGAGTTTTGTGATCTCGTTGAACAATTTACCAACCGATCAATAGAAAACGATAATGAGCAGCATGAAGAATTGTCAGTTACCGAATCTATTGAAAAGAAAGATATTAAATCTGCCGAGAAGACCGATGATCAAAAGAAAAAATTGATTGAAGCAGAAACTTTAGAAACTGGTAAAGTCAAGTGGTCAATTTACTGGGAATATTTTGGAATGGTCAGTTTTCTCTGGACAACAGTAATAATTGTAGCTCATGCCTCCATAGTTATCTTTTCATTAATTTCTGACCTTTGGTTATCAGAATGGTCGAGTGAGCCCGTTTCTAAATCTAATTCACTTTCGACAACCAAATTTCGAGTTATGGTTTATTCTATCTTAGGTCTTGTTGTAAGCATAACGACCTCCATAGGATCTTTTGCGATCATCGCAGGAACATCAAAAGCATCAATCGAATTCCATGAAAAGTTATTATATAATGTTTTTCGATTGCCTATTTCATTTTTCGATACAAACCCTTTGGGAAGAATAGTTAATCGGTTCTACAAGGACATGGACACCATTGACACTACTTTACCGGAGATAATTCAGTAAGTATTCACTAGAAAATATTATGTATTCATTGGTTTTAATCATTCCTCTGTTTGTTTCTTAGTCATTGGATTATTTTTCTTTTCGAAGTTGTCATCACCTGTGTGATAATTTCGTTTAACACACCGATGTTCGTTCTCGTACTGATTCCGCTCATTTGTCTGTATGGTTACATCCAAACAATTTACATCGGTTCATCGCGACAATTGAAGCGACTCGAAGCTGTAACTAGATCGCCAATTTATTCACATTTTCGAGACAGTTTGTGTGGTGTTAATTCCATACGCGCTTTTGGTGTTACTCAAAGATTCATCGAAGAATCAGCGAATTTGATTGATATTAATGTTAATTGTTTCCATCAAAGTGTTGTGGCTAATCGATGGCTCAGCACTCGCTTAGAATTTTGTGGTAATTTAGTTATACTTGCGACAGCTATTTTCGCAATCTTAGCACGAAGCTCTCTTGGTGCAGGAACTGCGGGACTTTCATTGTCTTACGCTTTAACGCTCATCAATTCATTGAGTTGGCTCGTTCGAATGTCGTCCGAACTTGAAACAAACATTGTTGCTGTTGAACGTATTATGGAATATTGTAAATTAAAAAGCGAAGCTGATTGGTATGAAGGTAAAATTATGCCACCTGATGATTGGCCATCAAAAGGATCAATTAAATTCGATAGATATGAAACTCGATATCGAGAAGGAACCGAATTGATTTTGAAAGGAATTTCAGGAGAAATCAAAGGATTGGAAAAGATTGGAATTGTTGGTCGAACTGGAGCTGGTAAATCGACAGTTACTCTGTCATTGTTTAGATTAATTGAAGGATCAGGAGGATCGATTTCTATTGATGGTCTTAATATCAGCGAATTACCTTTGCATCCATTGAGATCTCGTCTTGCAATTATCCCTCAAGATCCAGTCCTTTTTGGTGGAACCTTGAGATTCAACTTGGATCCATTTGATTGTTATTCAGACAATGATATTTGGGATGCATTGTCTCATGCTCATCTCAAACAATTCGTTAATAATACTGGTCAAGGTCTTAATTACCAAATAGCTGAGGAAGGAAAAAATCTTAGTGTTGGACAGAGACAATTGTTGTGTTTAGCAAGAGCTTTACTTAAGAAACCAAAGATTCTATGTAAGTTTTTCTCTTTTTTTTCTTTTTTTGTTTTTTATTTTTTATTTTTCATTCTTATTTTTTATTTCTCTCTCATTCTTTGCAATAGTTCTGGATGAAGCAACTGCAGCGATCGATTTGGAAACTGATTCATTGATTCAGAAAACAATCAGAACAGAATTCAAAGATTGTACAATATTAACGATCGCTCATCGTTTGAATACAATATTAGATTCTGATCGAGTGATGGTCTTGGATCAAGGTCAAATCGCGGAATTCGATGAGCCAAAAGTTTTATTAGAAAACAAACAATCGACATTCTATTCATTAGCTAAAGAGGCTAATCTTGTCTCTTGATAATTGATACAATCAACTTAATTTACATTTGTATTTATTTATTCATCATCTCTATCAGTAATCAACAGGTGTTATTGTCATCTTACTCTGTTGTAATGATTAAATCAAACACAATTAAATTGAATGCTTAGGAATAAAAAGAAAATCTTTTTACTCTTAAAAATGAAGTTTAATAATCACTTTTAGTTATCAATGACTATTAACTCATAGCAACAGGTTGATTTGACCGAGGTCAACTTGATTGTTGAACAAAAATTTGAGTTCAAAAAACGTCAGAAAAAATTAACGAGATTGGAATGAAAAAAGATTTCGAGATGGAGATTAACTCACAAATAGAGAAATTAGTAATCAAAAAATGAAGGTCCGAAATCTCGTATCATTGATATCAATCGGTATACGAGTAAAACCATTGGGGTTTCTTCAAATGAAAACTTTACAATTATTAATTTTAGAGCGAAATTCTGCTTGGAAATGAAGTTTCATATTCAAAATCATCATATATGTGATTTAAATTTAATTTCGACTTATTACGACGAATTAATTAATTAATCACAATTAAAAGTCGTTTTGGTTTCTTCAAATGAAAACTTGGTTTCTTCATTTGGTGGTTTGGTTTCTTCATACGAAAAGCAGAATCGAATTTTTTACCTTTGGTTTCTTCAAACGGGAAACACTGTAACATCGATAGTCAAACGAAGTAAATTGATTCCAATCAAAGAGATCGAATTGAGTGAAAAAGATGAAATTGAAATATTAAGAGAGATAATCGAAGAGTATGAATACACTTTGATTCTTTATGGACCAATTGGTTAGATCAATTCTTTATCAAAAGCACAAATAAATTCTGTTTATTGCTCTTCTTAACTGGATTGACAAATTTTCCACATTAATCATATTATCAGCTGAGAGAAAAGTCTATTGCTTATGATAAAATTAATCGTTCTAGATCAGAATTAACAATTTTGTTGATCCAGTTAATTATTTGATACACGAATTAGTTATTTTTAACGTTTAACATCAAATAATAAATTTCCCGTTAGTCAACAAACAGCAATTGAATTGAAACAAAATTTGTTGTCTTTAATTGATATTTAATTTGATTTATTAAGCACAACTTTCAGCGGCAAGTCCTCTGGTCCTTTCACCGATTTGGGTTCCATTACTTGGGTGAGCACACCAACAGTGTCCAGTTGATCCATGACATTGGTGTTTCTTGAAGTGACCAGATTCTTCACATGCAGGAATGAAAGCTCCAATTCCTAATCAACGAAAATCGTGAAAATTTAAGAAAATTCAATAGATGAATACAAAGAAATGACACTAAATTGAGAGGAAATTTTACTAACGTCGAGGTCTTTCATTGGTCAATTGATGCCTTTGGAGAATACAATCACAAGCCTTGACCTTCTTTGATGGAGCTCGGATGATGTTTCCTTCTGGGTCCCAACATTGACAGAACTTTCCACCTCCAACAGCTTCACCGTGACATTGAAGGGAAGCGTATTTACCATCAGGTCGACATTCGGGAATCAATCGTCCAGGTAATCGGGTATTGGAATTTGTTTCCCGTTGTCGGTGGTGAGCACATGAGGTAGCATCGGATGTTGAATTTACTGCGGTTGTGGCGGCTGAAGCGACGGCAGCAGTAGCTGCTTTAGCGGTCGCTGATACTGTTGATCCAATAGGTGTTGGAACTGCAGCTCCGGTGGCAGGGGCTGACGACAAAGTGTTTCCTGTCAATTCAGAGAAAAGAAATAAAATAATAACAATTAACAACAATAATCAACATTATTTTGAAAACACAAAGATCACCAATTAACTAACCAGTGGGTGAGGACAAAACTGTCACAAAAAGTGAAGCTAAAGTAACAATTAAAACTTTCATGGTGAATGAGTTTTGGCTAATGATGATGGTAATACAATTAATTTAATGAACAACTATTGATCAGAATGACTTGCAAATTGATGATTACTTGCTGTTTTTATATTATACTTACTAATCATAATCTTGATGTTGATTTAAAAACAATGATTGTTAAGATTGTTTGAGTTGTTTGATTAACTACTCGAAAGAATTGATTAAGATTTTCTAGTTTTTTTCTTATTTCGTAACAGAGAGAAACAAATACTCGAGATTAAGTTGTTGTTCTGATTTTCTATTAAATAATAGATTAAATTGAGAAAAAATGGAGAAAATTGATTATCACAATTTAAGTTGATTCTGTTAATATTTCACCGAAATAATGTTTTCAATGAGAATCGGATGTTTATTTCATTCGTGCTGATTTGATATTTTTGTATGGAAATGATTCAAATCGTAAATTGTTATGATGTTAAAAGCTTTCAAAATTGATACAGAATTAAGTTAATCACTTGATTTTTAGGTTACCATTAGTATCAATAACAACAAGATTAAATCAAATTAACAGAAAACACTTCAATCACTTAATTGTAGACTTAATTGATTTGATTGTTATGATTTCCATTTTCTATTCAGTATCTTGATTGTGATTAAAAGTAGTCAATTAAATATCAACTTCTTTCCGGTTGAACTTTGACCATTCTTACTAGTTAATTGATTGTTTTTAAGCACAATTAAAAGTAATTGTAATTGTAAGAAATGAATTGCTATGTGATTTATTGTTAATTTTATTTGAAGGATCGTCTCTCTGTTTTAATTGCTCAAGTCTTTTGAATTAATCCAATAGCTATTGATTAGTTATAAACAGAATTAACTTTTGTAGCAGTTTATTGATTATTACAATTAATCAATTAATGGGTTAATCAATTTAAAAAAGTTATCATTTTATATCTTATCAATATGTTAACATTTAATTGTTTTATCAAAAACCAATGTTTATTTATAGTAAGTATTAGATAGTTAATGTGTAAACAATTAAGTCTTAGCATGATTAGCGTTTTAATAAAAGATCAAGGTTGAAGTATCAATACGATTTAGCAGTTAATTACAATTTACAATTAGTTTACCGATTAACTTTAATAATAGATTCTAATATTAATCATGAGTGGTTAAGCTCAGGGAGATTTCAATAAGTTGGAAATTCTCAGAGCTCAATCCAGAATTTTTCTTTTTTTGTTACTTTAGAATTTCAATCAACCGAAATCCTATTATTTTGATTTTCTAAAAATCTTATGAGAATAATCTTGAAATTGAACAATGACCGACGAAGTTTTCTCCGTCATAATTGAGAGTCGATCACTTTACATGTATGTCGATTAAGGAATCACAAACATTAAGATTAATCGTTACTATTTTAAAGTTAATGAGATGAAACTAATTTAATGTCGTTGAAAAAAAATCATCAATTATATGAGTGAGACTAATTAATTTTTTCATTTTCTCTCTAATAATCAATTTTTTTATTGGAAGAAACTTATGCTTTAGGTGCCATCTATGCATAGAAATTCAATCCATATAAAATACAATTATCGTAGGAAGATAAATTGATTAAGAAAAGTTCTTGAAACTTTCTCAAATAAATAATCACTTAGCAACTAATTAACTCGCCTAATGATAATCATTAGCCATATGATTACGACCTCAATGTTATCCGATTTCCATGAACAGGTACATTCACACTCGATGGTTAATTAATCAATTGCCTAGAAATGAATGATATCAGAAATGCTAAACACCTTTAATCACCAAAAAATAACATAATCAACGAGAAAGAATTGTGATTAATTACATTTGCAAGAAAAGATTTAATTGATTGTCCAATATAACTTATTAGTACAAGGGTAATTTTTAAATGATCGCTATCAATGCTAATCAAAATCTGAAGAAAATCAAATCATCCAAATGTAACTAATGACAATTATGGACAGTAAAGAAAAAGCTGAGAAATTGAAAGTAATTATAATTCAATTATTTACCTTGAATCAGTTGCAATTATGTTTAATGTTTAGTTAATTGTATTCTTACAATGAACAAAAAAAGTCCAACAAACTTTTCAAGGTTTTCAACAATTTGCTAACTTGAATTGTTTAATGATTTTAAATCAACATTATTAACCTATTGATTTAATGATGTAATTTAATATTTACATTGCTTGTACAATTATTATCAAGATAATCAATCGTTCATAACTATGGCGACTTCGTGATGAAATTATTGATTAGTTTTAAACCAATATCTTATTATGCAATTAACTTTTTCTCTGTAAACAAATCCAATCATACATGTATCATCTCCAACCAATTACAATTACAAGTGCTATCAAAGGTAATGTCCTTAATTAACCTTCAATCAAGTCTCTTTTGAAACAATATATTCTTATTCTCGAACCTGTTAGAACCTTTCAGACACAGGACGAAACTATTGACTACAAATGTATTAATTTACCTTTAACAGAATTGAAAACACTCAATTGATACTAACAAGGATAGACATTGGAAATTTTCAATAAAATTGCGAAAATTTATTTTCCAAATTATTTACATGATGATGATTATTAACTAAATCAATATGATCACAATTCAAATTTAATCGATCGACGAATGAAAAGTTTCATTATGAACCGACAGATGGAGCCACCAGTTATTCTTTTTTATTTTTATTTACATTATGTAAGAGAATCTCTTTCTTTTTTCTCTTACTCTGGTTTCTTTTGAATTGAATTTCATTTTTATTTCTTTCTCTTTCTGCTTTTCCTTTCACCATCATGTTTCTCTCTTTTCTCTGATCAATTATCTTTCAATTTTCTAGATTTAATTTCATTCAATTAGCAATTACAATCAATTGTCACACGTTGGTTATTAAATTTTAAGCTAATTAACTTAAATTCGGTTATTCTTTTTCACTTGTGTCTCCTCTCACTTTCAACCTAATGGATCATAAAATAGTCTTTGAATCTCTGTGCGGTGATTCACTTTTCTGGGTAAGTGAAATTTGTTTCCTCCTTTGTTGTTTCATTCGAATCGAATTTTTTTTTGTTCTTTTTTTGTTAATTCTTTTTGTTTCTTTCATGGGTTTTCTTATCAAATGAATTTACTTTTTACTGAATTTTCATGAGATGATAAATAGATGAGCCAATTTTAACATAAGAACATTGGTTGGTCATTTTTCATTTTGGAGAATCAACCGTGTTAATTGTGTTAACCTTTTCAATTTTTTTTTTCTATTCTTTTGTTGATTCTCAAAATTGAAGGTTGATTGTTTATCAACTAATATGTTTGTTTGCATTTTCTTGTTGGCAATTTTCCAAAGGTTATCTGGTAGAAACTCATTTAGAATATTAGCTCTCTACCTTTTCTTTTACACTCTCATGAACCTGTTCTCTGTTGGAAAATTGTATCTTTCGATTAACTTGTTTCCTTTTTTTTTCTACCCATTAATTAATGTTTCTTTCTCTTTCTTTACACAGGATTACAATCTAGTTTGGAATTCAACTGCACCCAAATTAACTCGATGTTTCCATCAAACGATACTTAATTGGATACCAACATCTTTCCTTTGGTTATTTTCAATCTACGAATTGACGATAACTGCAAGAATCAAAAGAAAAACAATCCCATGGAATTTTCAAAATCGTTCTAGATTAATCTGCACTTTTCTATGTATTTTACTCAATATTTTTCAATTATTGAACATCATTTATCGTAATTTTAACTCCGATCCACCAGCTCCATCTGATTTTTATGCTCCATTGCTCAACATTGCCTCTTTCGTAAGTTTTAATTCAGTTCATAAACAGTTTCCCCCTCATAATCAAACTACTGGGTGACAAATAATACCTTGTTTTTTTTAAATACCCTGTAACTTCTTTATCTTTGATTCAAACCTAATAATTTTAGTAACGAATTAAGCACTAGACTTGCAAGTTAGATATCCATCCTTTCAAAATGATTTTCAATCTACAGGGTGAGTGCCTCAAGGCTCCAAAGGTGGCTAGCGAATAATATTTGATAGTTAAAATCGTGAAAAAAACCTGAAATTTACGCAAATTGAGCACTTAATTAGCTGATAACTCATTTTCTCGGAACTTTAAGTAAAAAATTGAGATCAATAACGATAGATACCTCTATTTAGCATATTATGACACCCTGAAATAGATTATACAACAAATAGTAATCATCTAATCGCACTTTTTGTTATTTTATGAAACCCTCTGTAACTTTTCGATAGAATGTCCAATTTTCGAAAATTTTATATATAAAAAAACTTCAACTAATTACTTTAAAAATAAGCAGAAAAAAAAGTTACTGTAAGTTAGTATTTAGATTTAAACGCCATACTCAAAAAAACAACATATTATTTGTCACCCAGTAACAAGTAAAGTTTGTTACAAATTGTTTTGATTTCAAATCAACTTTGAACAATCAAGTGTTAAAACCTTCACTTAAATATTAGTTATTATTAAGAAGATAAAAATTGAGGTCTTTTTAATTACTTAGCTCTTAATTGTTGATCAAGTGAGACTTTTGTTCAGACCTTTTTCCTTTGATTTTATTTTGCTAATTGACTTTAATTAATCTAAGTTGTCACTTATCATTACTGATTTATATTATAATATCAATCTCACTTTACTCTAGAAATATCATTTTACCAAACCTACAACAATTATCTTACTTTTCAGTTCAACTCGTCCTTAATTTACAACAAGCTGATTAAGATATTCTAATCAATGTTAACATCATCTTTTTCTCTTAAATTGAGACTCATTGTAATAGTAATAAGTGTACTTGCGAATATCTAATTGATCTAATTTTTTTTCTCTCTTTTTCTAGACACTGGTAACTCTTTTCCTCTATTACCACCGCCTTCGTGGTATTCATACAAGCGCTGTGATATGGATTTATATATTTCTCCAGACAATCGGTACTTTTCCAATCGCTTATCAGACTTGGATTGACTCTGCTGAATACACATCATCTGAAGTTGTTTTATTCAATATTTATTTTGTTACAATTTCTCTTTTACTGATAATCATTTCATTCTCTGATGGTCCAATCAACTTTACGACGGATACTGAGCTTACAACTAAGCTCGATCAGAATGAAAGTAAAAAACTAAGTCCAGAAAACAATGCCTCGTTTCTTAACAAACTTGTATTTTGGTGGTTTAATGAGATGGCTTTTCTTGGTTGGCGACAAGATTTAACTAGCAAAGACTTATGGCAACTTCGAGATGATCTTAAAACGGAAAATCTGATTGGACCATTTGAGACTCGACTTGAAGAGGCTTTGCTGGTTGCGAAAAAGAAATCACAAAACTCAAATTCTACCTCTAATGGATCGACCAAAGATACTTCAATTAACCAGGAAACAATTAAGAAACATAAAATCAATTTTATCCCAATTTTAGCGAAAATATTTGGCTCATATTTTGCTGTAGGATCTTTTTTCAAGCTTATCCATGATATTGCTCAATTTGTTACACCTCAATTGCTTAAGTAAGTTGATCTTACTTTTTTGCTCAATTTTACTCATATGGAAATTATATTTTCTCGTCTCTTTCTAGATCTTTGATAAGTTTCATTGAACATAAAACGGACCAACCACTTTGGCATGGATTCTTAATTACATTTGCTATGTTCGCGATCTCAACCATTCAAAGTATCTTTTTGAATCATTATTTTTATCGGATGTTCATGACCGGGATGCAAGTTAGTTCAACGCTTACAGCGGCCATTTACAAGAAATCACTCAACCTTAATGATAAAGCTCGAAAAGAGGTCACCTCTGGTGAAATCGTTAATTTAATGGCTGTCGATGCAAAACGATTCTTGGATCTCATTCCTTTTATTAATTTAATCTGGTCAGCGCCATTTCAAATAACCGTCTCAATTTATTTCCTTTATCTTGAACTTGGCTATTCTGCTTTATTTGGATTAGTTGTGATGATTTTAATGATCCCTTTGAATGGATTAATTGCTGGGTTAAGTCGTAAAATGCAGATACAGTTGATGAAACAAAAAGATGAACGAGTTAAATTTATGAATGAAATTTTAAGTGGAATCAAAATTATCAAATTTTACGCTTGGGAGAAATCATTTCTTAAACATGTCACAGGTTTGAGGAACAAAGAATTACAGCATTTGAAAAACATATCATATCTTGGGTGTGCAACATCATTCCTGTGGATTTGTGCACCGACAATGGTCTCTGTGATTACTTTCGCTGCTTATGTACTCATTCAAGGAGAAACATTAACGGCACAAAAAGCTTTCGTTTCTTTGTCTTTGTTCAACATTTTGCGATTTCCTCTGACTATGTTGCCACAGCTTATCACGTTTTATATTATGGTGAGACTCTTGTCATTTTTTATCATTTGTTCATTATAATTTGACTTAATTTTCTGTTTATTTTTCAACAGGCTTCAGTATCAGTGAAACGGATCAATGACTTTTTGAGTTACGATGACCTTGATCAATATGTAACTCGAAATGATGAAATTGATGCAATTAGTGTGGAAGATGCTTCCTTCAAATGGGGAAAGCAAAAGGATAAAGAAAAAAAGGAAAAAGGCAAAAAGAGATTTTTCTCAAAGAATCGAAAAGTTGAAGCCGATCCAAATGAGAACGGTGATGTTTCTGTTTCCTTGATAAATGAAGTTCCAACATTGCAAAAGATCAACATGAAAGTGAAACCTGGTTCGTTTGTAGCGATTGTTGGTTCGGTTGGTAGTGGTAAAAGTTCATTGTTAAGTGCGATTCTCGGTGAGATGGAGAAAATATCAGGACGAATTAATATCAATGGCAAATATTCAATCGCTTATGTCGCTCAACAAGCATGGATTCAAAATACTTCATTGAAAAACAACATCTTATTTGGTTCTCCTTTTGATGAGAGTAAATATAATCAGGTAATTTCTGCCTGTGCATTAGAACCTGATATCGCTTATCTACCTGGAGGAGATGAAACGGAAATCGGTGAAAAAGGAATTAACCTTTCGGGTGGACAGAAACAACGAGTTAGTCTTGCTCGAGCTTGTTACAGTGATTCTAATCTGTTCATTTTAGACGATCCATTAAGTGCTGTCGATGCTCATGTAGCTCAACATATTTTCAAAAAAGTTCTAAGTTCAAAGACTGGAATCTTAAAGAATAAAACTCGAGTTTTAGTGACCAACAAGTTGGATCTTTTATCCAAAGTCGATAGTATTTATGTTCTAACTAATGGTGTGATTACCGAGAATGGAACACACAAACAATTGATGGAAGCTAAAGGAGAATTTTCTGATCTCGTTGAACAATTTACCAACCGATCAATAGAAAACGATAATGAGCAGCATGAAGAATTATCAGCAACCGAATCTATTGAAAAGAAAGATACAAGTAAAGATATTAAATCTGCCGAGAAGACTGATGATCAAAAGAAAAAATTGATTGAAGCAGAAACTTCAGAAACTGGTAAAGTCAAGTGGTCAGTTTACTTGGAGTACTTCAAAATGGTCTCATTCTTTTGGATTGTTATCATAATTATTGCGCTAACCGCTTCAAATGCTTTCTCATTGGGGTCCAATGTTTGGCTATCTGATTGGTCAAGTGATGTTAATATTGCAAACAATTCACTATCACACACCAAGATGAGACTTGGTGTTTATGGAGGACTTGGATTAGGACAAGCAATTGTTACATTCATTGGCGCTTGGTTTCTTGTTATCGGTACACTGAGAGCATCATCAGGATTTCATAGAGATTTATTATATCAAATATTTCGATCGCCAATGTCCTTTTTCGACACAACACCTACTGGTCGAATAGTAAATAGATTTGCAAAAGATATCGATACGGTCGATGCCGTAATTCCGCAAAATTTAAGGTAATTATTTCGATGGTGTGTAATTTTTCACATAATTAGAATTTCTGTTTTGTTTCTTCCGTAGATCGTGGCTACTCTGTTTCTTTCAGGTTTTATCGACGTTCTTCATAATCTCTTTCAATACTCCTCTTTTCATCGTGGCTTTGATTCCAATCGCTTTTATCTATTTGTTTATTCAACGAATCTATGTGGCCTCTTCTCGTCAACTTAAACGACTTGAGTCGGTAACCCGATCGCCAATTTATTCGCATTTCGGAGAAACACTTAATGGAGTTAGTACTATTCGAGCATTTGATGTTAGTGAAAGATTTATGCAGGAATCAGCGGATAAAGTTGATCATAATCTTTCTTGTTATTACCCCAATATGATTGCTAATCGTTGGCTTGGTATAAGACTAGAGTTTTGTGGCAACATGATTATAATTTTTGCAGCCGTTTTTGCTGTTCTATCTCGAAATTCTCTAGATCCTGGTGCCGTCGGACTCTCAGTTTCTTATGCTTTAAGTATCACAGCGACACTAAACTGGCTCGTTCGGATGTCGTCCGAACTTGAAACAAACATTGTTGCTGTTGAACGTATTATGGAATATTGTAAATTAAAAAGCGAAGCTGATTGGTATGAAGGTAAAGTTATGCCACCTGAAGATTGGCCATCAAAAGGATCAATTAAATTCGATAAATATGAAACTCGATATCGAGAAGGAACCGAATTGATTTTGAAAGGAATTTCAGGAGAAATCAAAGGATTGGAAAAGATTGGAATTGTTGGTCGAACTGGAGCTGGTAAATCGACAGTTACTCTGTCATTGTTTAGATTAATTGAAGGATCAGGAGGATCGATTTCTATTGATGGTCTTAATATCAGCGAATTACCTTTGCATCCATTGAGATCTCGTCTTGCAATTATCCCTCAAGATCCAGTCCTTTTTGGTGGAACCTTGAGATTCAACTTGGATCCATTTGATTGTTATTCGGACAATGATATTTGGGATGCATTGTCTCATGCTCATCTCAAACAATTCGTTAATAATACTGGTCAAGGTCTTAATTACCAAATAGCTGAGGAAGGAAAAAATCTTAGTGTTGGACAGAGACAATTGTTGTGTTTAGCAAGAGCTTTACTGAAGAAACCAAAGATTCTATTCCTGGATGAAGCAACTGCAGCGATTGATTTGGAAACGGATTCATTGATTCAGAAAACAATCAGAACAGAATTTAAAGATTGTACAATATTAACGATCGCTCATCGTTTGAATACAATATTAGATTCCGATCGGGTGATGGTCTTGGATCGAGGTCAAATCGCGGAATTTGATGAGCCAAAAGTTTTATTAGAAAACAAACAATCAATATTCTATTCATTAGCTAAAGAGGCTAATCTTGTCTCTTGATTATTGATGCAATCAACTTAATTTCTTTTAAATCATAGTTATTCGTATTTCTCACCATTCCAGCAATAGAAAACTTTCAAACTACTTAAGTTCATAATCAACGCTACGTGTCATCCTATGTAGCATCATGTGCAATCAAAAAATCCTAAGGACCAGACCAAATGGTCAATAGGATCTAGTACAATCCTTTACTATTTCAATAAGATTATTAACTTGAAAGCGTTTCGTTTCACTAATTGCATTAATTTCTCATCAACTCTTCTTGTTATAAGCTTAACAAATATGAATGTTGTATCTGTTAATTAACTTTTGTTGTCCTCATTTAATTGTAATTTAATGTCAAATAAAATTCTCATTGATCTTAACGCTATTCGTCCGTTTATTTAAATGTTATCAATACGAAACATTCAACAGTGAATTTGATGATAAATCAACAGGTTGATTTCACTTTGTCACATTAGTTTAATCATCTAACAACCAAAGACTCACATGTAAGAATTATTCTAAATAATAATAATAATAATAATAAATAATAAATAAATTTTATTATTTTGATCTAATTGTGATGAACTTAATCAATTTTCATAGTCAACTTTTCTTTATTCGAGAGCGGGTTTTCGGTGGATCATTCCGTCTGTGATTGATTTCCTAGTCGGTCAGGACAATAAGCGCAAAAACCAGAGCCAGTGTCATACGGGTTGAGGGTCTAAAGTTAGAAAAGTTTTCCTTTCACTTTCTTTACTCTTTAGTTATTATCCTCTCTCTCTCTCTCTCTCTCTCTCTCTCTCTGATCCATCATATCCTTAATTTAATTAATCCATTTCTTAGGTAACTAATAAATTAAAATTTTAGGAGAGAGAGAGAGTAATCTTTCTCCAGAAGAGAGCTCATAATATTGTTAAATTAGAAAAATTTTCAAGAAAACAGTTAACCTTTTATTTTGTTAAATTAACTCTTCAATCCATATGAATCTTAATCTTAATTCAATCATCCAATTGGAATCAATTTGTGGTGAATCAATTCTATGGGTAAGTTGATAACTGTTTCCACTTTTCTCACCAAAATATTGGTTCATTTTTAGTCATTTTCATGATTGATTGGTTTATTGATTAGATTGTTGATCGATATGAGAAATCGGGTTACCAATTGTGGTTAGATATTAATTCTGTATCTTGAATGATTCAATTTCTTTTTTTCTGATTTCCTTTTTATCTTCTAGGATGTTAATTCAACTTGGAATTCAGATTCTCCTAAATTGTCTCGATGTTTTCACACTACGATTCTCAATTGGTTACCAACTTGTTTCCTTTGGTTACTTTGCATCTATGAAATTAGACGAACAATTAAAATACGGAGACAATTGATTCCTTGGAACTGGATTAACACATGCAGATTAATTTTATCCACATTAAATATCCTCGTAAACTGTTTACAATTAGTCAACATAATCTTCAGATATTTCAATTCATCTAATCCATCAGTTGCTGCTGATTTTTACTCTTCCTCAACTAATATTGTTTCTTTTGTAAGTATCTATGAAAATCTCAATGGTGCTACTTTGAAATTTTCTAGATAATTGAATTTCATTTCATATTACGTTTTGTAATCTTCTCCTAGACATTGGTCAGTCTCTTATTCCATTACCATCGTTTGCGTGGTATTCGCACAAGTGCCATCATATGGATTTACTTTTTTCTACAAACAATTTGTACTTTTCTAATCGCTTATTCGACTTGGGTCAATTCTTCCGAATACACTGGGACAGAGGTCATTTTAATGAATATCTTTTTCGTGTCTAATCTCCATCTACTTATCATAACTTCTTTTACCGATAGACCAAATTCGTTGACCTATGAATACAACTCGATAGCTGAGAAAGACAACAAATACAGTAAGAAGTATAGTCCAGAAAACGAGGCTTCTTTTCCAAGTGAAGTATTATTCTCGTGGTTCAACAATATGGCCATTTTGGGCTGGAGAACTTCTTTGACTACCAAAGATTTATGGGAGCTTCGAGATGATTTGAAAACAGAAAATCTCATTGGAGCTTTTGATTCGAAATTGCATCAACAGGTTGAAAAACAAAAAAGATTATTCAGAATTTACGATGATACAAATGTCTCATCTCAACCCAATCAACCCTTCAAGGTTAAAGTGAACATAATCCCGATTCTAATCAAAGTTTATGGCATATATTTGATGAGCGGAGCTTTTTTCAAATTGGTTCAAGACGTACTTTCATTCATAATCCCACAATTATTAAAGTAATTATGCAAAAAGATAAATTTGATCTCAAGTTGACACTTAATTAATGTTTCATTGCTCACTGAAGGTTATTAATCTCATTCATAAAGAACCAATCAAGTGAACCCATTTGGCATGGATTCTTAATTGCATTCGCAATGTTCATCATCTCATTTGCTCAGACCGTTTTCGTGAATCGTTATTTTTATAGCATGTATATTCTTGGAATGAGAGTAACTTCAACTTTGACTGCGGCAATTTACAAGAAATCGCTGAATCTTAGCGACAAAGCGAGCAAAGAAGTTAATTCGGGAGAAGTTGTTAATCTAATGTCCGTCGACGCCAAAAGATTTCTGGATCTACTTCCGTATCTTAACTTAATCTGGTCTGCACCTTTGCAAATTCTTTTGTCTATTTGGTTTCTTTATATCGAACTAGGATATTCTTCTTTGTTTGGTCTTGGTGTGATGGTGCTGATGATGCCGATCAATGGAGCGACTATTCATTTGTGTCAAAAGTTTCAAGTAAAATTCATGGAGCAAAAAGATGAGAGAGTAAAGTTCATGAATGAAATTCTGAGCGGGATAAAGATTATTAAATTTTATGCTTGGGAAAATTCATTTCTAAAGATCGTCAATGAGCTACGAAAGAAAGAGTTGGGTCACTTGAGAAGATTGAGCTACTTGGAAAACTTCAGTGCCTTTTTGTGGCTTTGCTCTCCAATGATTGTATCGGTGGCCACTTTCGCCGCATATGTGTTGATTCAAAAAGAATCATTAACAGCAGAAAAAGCATTCGTTTCTCTTTCGCTATTCCATCTACTCCAAAATCCTTTATCTATGCTACCCGAACTTTTGTCGTATTTCGTCATGGTGAGTACTCGAACTGTTCAGAATTTTTTCCGTGTGTATATTACTATTTCTAACACTAGTCCAATCACTGTTTTATTTAGACTTCCATATCTATAAGGAGAATCAACAAATTTCTTAGCTACGAGGATCTTGATCCTTATGTAACAAAAGATCAAGAAATTGATGCTATTTCTGTCGACGATGGTTATTTCAAGTGGAATAAAAAAAAGAAAATTAAAGAGACCAAGAAGAGAAAAAGTTTACTTGGATTGTTCAGAGGAGGAAAAGAGGAAATTATGAATGATTCAGAATCTCCTCAGGAAAAAATTCCGACATTACAAAAGATCAACATGAAAGTGAAACCTGGTTCGTTTGTAGCGATTGTTGGTTCTGTTGGTAGTGGTAAAAGTTCATTGTTAAGTGCGATTCTAGGAGAGATGGAGAAAATATCAGGACGAATTAATATCAATGGAAAATATTCAATCGCTTATGTCGCTCAACAAGCATGGATTCAAAATACTTCATTGAAAAACAACATCTTATTTGGTTCTCCGTTTGATGAAAGTAAATATAATCAGGTAATTTCTGCCTGTGCATTAGAACCTGATATCGCTTATTTACCTGGAGGAGATGAAACGGAAATCGGCGAGAAAGGAATTAACCTTTCAGGTGGACAAAAACAACGAGTTAGTCTTGCTCGAGCTTGTTACAGTGATTCTAATCTGTTCATTTTAGACGATCCATTAAGTGCTGTCGATGCTCATGTAGCTCAACATATTTTCAAAAAAGTTCTGAGCTCAAAAACTGGAATTTTAAGGAATAAAACTCGAGTTTTAGTTACCAACAAGTTGGATCTTTTATCTAAAGTCGACAGTATTTATGTTCTAACCAATGGCTCGATTACCGAGAATGGAACATACAAACAATTGATGGAAGCTGAAGGAGAGTTTTGTGATCTTGTCGAGCAATTTACAAATCAATCAGTCGAAAAAGATAATGAACAACATGAAGAATCAACTAACAATAAACCCATTGATGAAGAATACAGTGTCAAGCTATCTAATGAAGAGAATAACGATAAAACAAAATTGATCGAAAATGAAGAATCACAAACGGGGAGAGTTAAATGGTCGGTTTACTTTGAATACTTCAGAATGGTTTCTATACTCTGGACATCACTGATTGTTTTGAGCTATGGAATTTCAAATGGATTCCAAGTAGCATCATATATTTGGTTGTCCAAGTGGTCAAGTGATTCGACCACTCGAAACGTTACTTTGCCCAACCCCGAAATGAGGCTTGGAGTTTATAGTTTTTTGGGATTTTGTAGAGGTAAGAAGTCCCTACTACATTTTGAGCTTGGATTATAATTATTTAAAACGATTTTTATCTTACAGGTGGTCTTACTCTTCTTGGGTCTTTTTCACTCGTCAACGGTACATTGAGAGCATCAACTGAATTTCATCGAAATATTGCTTATAAGGTCTTCCGGTCACCTATGTCCTTTTTTGACACCAATCCCAATGGCCGAATCGTTAATAGATTCTCAAAAGATATTGATGTGATCGATACTGGATTACCAATATTCTTGAAGTAAGTTTTTGTTGATCCGTTTGAAAATCGCAATAATTTTCATTTTTGATTTGTTTTTGTTGCAGTTATTGGATTTTACACCTTTTCGAAGTAATTTCCGCATGTATCATCATTTGTATCCATACTCCGCTGTTTATCATTACTCTGGTTCCAATCACGATGATTTATACTTTTATCCAACAGATTTATATGTCATCGTCTCGACAACTTAAGAGACTCGAATCGGTCACTCGATCACCGATTTATTCACATTTCGGAGAAACACTAAATGGAGTCAGTACTATTCGAGCTTTTAATGTCTCCGAGAGATTCATTCAAGAATCGGCTTATAAAGTAGATCACAACCTTTCGTGTCTCTTTCCCAGTATTGTAGCGAATCGATGGTTGAGTATAAGAATAGAACTATGTGGTAATCTAATGGTTCTATCAACTTCCATTTTCGCCGTTCTTTCTCGAGGTTCTCTTGATCCCGGGGCTGTTGGTCTCGCTGTTTCGTACGCTCTTAGTATAACTGCATCACTCAATGAGCTCGTTCGGATGGCATCTGATTTGGATACCAGTATAGTGGCAGTTGAACGTGTTATGGAATATTGTAAATTAAAAAGCGAAGCTGATTGGTATGAAGGTAAAGTTATGCCACCTGAAGATTGGCCATCAAAAGGATCAATTAAATTCGATAAATATGAAACTCGATATCGAGAAGGAACCGAATTGATTTTGAAAGGAATTTCAGGAGAAATCAAAGGATTGGAAAAGATTGGAATTGTTGGTCGAACTGGAGCTGGTAAATCGACAGTTACTCTGTCATTGTTTAGATTAATTGAAGGATCAGGAGGATCGATTTCTATTGATGGTCTTAATATCAGCGAATTACCTTTGCATCCATTGAGATCTCGTCTTGCAATTATCCCTCAAGATCCAGTCCTTTTTGGTGGAACCTTGAGATTCAACTTGGATCCATTTGATTGTTATTCAGACAATGATATTTGGGATGCATTGTCTCATGCTCATCTCAAACAATTCGTTAATAATACTGGTCAAGGTCTTAATTACCAAATAGCCGAGGAAGGAAAAAATCTTAGTGTTGGACAGAGACAATTGTTGTGTTTAGCAAGAGCTTTACTGAAGAAACCAAAGATTCTATTCCTGGATGAAGCAACTGCAGCGATTGATTTGGAAACGGATTCATTGATTCAGAAAACAATCAGAACAGAATTTAAAGATTGTACAATATTAACCATCGCTCATCGTTTGAATACAATATTAGATTCTGATCGAGTGATGGTCTTGGATCGAGGTCAAATCGCGGAATTCGATGAACCTAAAGTTTTGCTAGAGAACAAACAATCAATATTCTATTCATTAGCTAAAGAGGCTAATCTTGTCTCTTGATTATTGATGCAATCAATTTAATTTCTATTTGTATTTATTTCTTCATCATCATCATCATCTCCTTCACCAATCAACAGGTGATATTGGTATCTTACTCTGTTGTAATCATTAAATTAAACACAATTAAATTGAATACTTAGGAATAAAAAGGAAAAAACTTTTTACTCTTAAAAATGAAGTTTAATAATCACCTTTGTTATCAATTGTCAATTAACTCATAGCAACAGGTTGATTTGACCAAGGTCAACTTAACTGTTCAAAAATTAAAAATTTAACAAGTTTGATCGAGTTTATTAAACTACAGGGTATGAAGCGGATTCAGCGATACCACACATGTTTTTATCTCGAATAACTCGAATGTAACCTTCTTCACCCCAGTCTGCGCCCCATGAATTCTTGACGATCCAGTAAGGTGTTCCATTATCGACTCCGTATCCAACAGCAGTGACACCATGGTCAAGATTCTCAGGATCACATGATCGTGAGTTAAGGATTCCAGAACTGAATGAAACGAAAGAATCATTATTATTTAGGTTAAGTTGGTGTTGCGATTTTTAGGCAACCTGTTGCTTTCTGACTAAAATGACTGTAAGAAACAACGAAACTTACTCATAGAGTTGGAAAGGTGTAGCATCTACAGCGACGGAAACGACTCCTTTAGCGACAGCTTGGAGAAGGGATTTTTCATCTCCTTCAGGAATATCAACATAAGATGAAACAGTAGCACCAACAGATGATTTTGAGAATTTGCAGTTCTTGCTGTCTCGACCACTTCCTGAAGTGTATGGATAACTGGCTTCAGTGTCAATGCCTTTGTTGGATTTGACATAATCGAAAGCGTAGTCCATTAAACCACCATTGCAACCTTGGTTTCCTTGTTTCCATGAACAATCAACCAAATTTTGCTCAGAAAGTGAGACCAATTTACCGGTTTTTTGTGCGTTAGCTGCTTCGATAGAAGCAATGGCAGAGAATGCCCAGCATGAACCACATTGACCTTGATCTTTGACCTCTGTGACGATTGATGATCGCCAATCAACGGATTCAGGAACAGATTGGGTAAAGTTGACGTTGTGAATAAGAGGAGCGGGCTTTCTGTGGATCGATTTGTAACCAAGTCGAGTAGCTTTGAATTCCTCTGCGGTCTAAGCAGTGGTTGCGAAAATCTCGTTTAGTATAAACTATCAAAAGTAGATGATTAATTTGAATACTTACCAAATCAGCAAACTTGTTGACTCCCAATCGGTAAGTGTGAACTCCATTGTCGGCTTCTCGGTTGTGGGCATTGATTTTTTTCAGATTGGTACTGAAAATTGATTTTCGAGTTGACTCTTCGGTTGATGAAGCGTAGACTTTGTTGTGCTTGGCCTGGAAAATAAAGAAAAACAAAATGATTATCAAATACATAAGAAAAATCCTCAGGTGGGACTTACCTTGAATGATTCCCATTCGTTGTTGAAGGAAAGATTCGCGGCAGTGGCCAAAGCGAAAAGAGCGATGAAACAAACAAATCGAATCATTTTAATTCCAATTGTAATGGTTGGTGTTTAATGGACGAGAATTTAATTAACTATGATAATTATTTTCTTCTCGTCATTTCATTTATATATATTGGATTCAGAGTCACAAGTTTATGATCATCAGATAAACCTAAAGAACAATACAAATAATCACAATTAGTAAATTGTTTTCAATTGTTGTTTAATCAATTATATTGTTACAATGTGATTTTATCACTAATTAATTGCGCTATTTTTACATTTTTGATTGGTTTGATTATTGATGAGTAAATTATAATAATAATTGGCTGGTGATCAGAATTTCAAATAACTAAAAATCCTACTTCCTATTAATGATGATTATTATGTAAATAGTTATCTGATCGCTTAGAATTGATCATTACTCACCATTGATCATAACTGAATCATGTTATAATCATGTTTACATGAGTACAGATGATCTACTGATTAAATAGTATTATTAATAACATTTGATGAAAAGACAATAGGGATTTTAAGAGTATCATTTTAATCACTTCAATTGTTTTCAATTACGTGTGATTGTACATTTTTCATGAGAAAATCATATTGATGAACAATTTCTGTAACGAATCAGTTACATTTGACCAATGATCAAACTCCAATTGATTACTATTTAGAAATATTGATAAAACATTTAGATTAGTAAACAAAAATATTTTTTGATTCGCAAATCAGATATTATCAAAACAATATTTTCTTATTAATCATCAACTAATAATGGTAATTTAAGTTATAATTAACAACTTCTTTTTGATTACTCTACTTTATTATGCCAATTGGCTAATGCTTCAAACATTGACTTCAGAGAGAAGCCCTGAAGGCCCATTTTGGGCTCTGAACAATCGCTCAGATTCACAAAGAAAAGTGACAATTTTGTTGAGTTTACATTTCGTTTGATAATTTGTACAATTGAAATAATTGGCGTTAATTAGAAGTTACTAGGTTGATGGTGGAGTTGAAAAGAAAGTCAATTGAGTGTTAAGTTGAGGATCGGTGATTAAGTCCATTTGAACTCGAATTTCATAAGACCATTATTCATGTAAAGAGAGGAAATGAAGAGTTAATATTCAATTGTCGAAAATGTTCAAGTTTAGTGTTTTTGATTGTAGTATTTTTGTCTTGTTAGTTTCTTTTTTAGGCTTGAAAAATGTCAGTTAATTAAAATGTCAAGTTGATCTAAGTGTCAGGTCAATTAATAGTTTGATTATTGATTTTAAAACGATTGTTGCAAGTTTAGTTGTTGATAGATTTAGAAATTACTTGTATTTAGTTTTCCTGGTAACGTTTCGATTCACAAAGGAAAAGTCAGTTTGAAAAGGTTGATTCCATTGTTTGCTTACAGCTATATTGGTCTCGAAATGTCCGTGGTCCTTAACTTAAACAAATTGAATATAATTCTTCGGATAATTAATTGAAACTACTTTATAATCAATAAAAAAACTGGAGAGTCAAATTCGGTGACTTTTGAAATCGAGAATCTAAAGATTTTGCTAATAGATGGCTGTCCAACTTTTTTAAAAATTCTTTTCCCGGTAAATAACAACTATTGCCCTCTAGCGCTAGAATTGGATTCACAATCGAGAAATTTTTCTCAATTTCTTAAATTGAACAATCGGTTTTTAAGAAAACAGTTAACCTTTTATTTTGTTTACTCTATTTTTATATTTAAATCTAATTATTTTTAGATCAATTTTAGTTACAATTAACTATTATTTTGTTAAATTAACTCTTCAATCAATATGAATCTTAATCTTAATTCAATCATCCAATTGGAATCAATTTGTGGTGAATCAATTCTATGGGTAAGTTGGTAACTGTTTCCACTTTTAGGTTTCTCACCAAAATATTGGTTCATTTTTAGTTATTTTATGATTGATTGGTTTATTGATTAGACTGTTGGTCGATATGAGAAATCGGATTAACAATTGTGGTTAGATATTAATTTTGTATCTTGAATGATTCAATTTCTTTTTTTCTGATTTCCTTTTTATCTTTTAGGATGTTAATTCAACTTGGAATTCAGATTTTCCTAAATTGTCTCGATGTTTTCACACTACGATTCTCAATTGGTTACCAACTTGTTTCCTTTGGTTACTTTGCATCTATGAAATTAGACGAACAATTAAAATACGGAGACAATTGATTCCTTGGAACTGGATTAACACATGCAGATTAATTTTATCCACATTAAATATCCTCATAAATGGTTTACAATTAGTCAACATAATCTTCAGATATTTTAATTCATCTAATCCATCAGTTGCTGCTGATTTTTACTCTTCCTCAACTAATATTATCTCATTTGTAAGTAATCAATGTTTCATTTTCAATTGTTATCATTGTCAATTTCCACACCGACTTCAGTTAATCAGATTAGCATGATGCAAGTTCCTTATTTGTTGCTCTTGAGAAAATAGTAGTATGTTTATTAACTAATTACTTTTATCAGTTTACAATCGTTCTGTCAATGCCTTTATTAAACTTAATCTAATCTTGTTGATCATCTTGACATTCTCAATCGAATTGTTTATATTGCCTGGATGATTCCATCATGTTCCATGTTAGTGCATACATTTGACTTTCGGTTATACAATTTGGATAATTAACTTACTATTTGATGGTTGTTCTTGTTATCGATTATTTATCTGCCTAATAACTTTCTATTTTCATCTAGAGTTTTAGGAAGCACTTAAATATTTCCATAATTTAATCTGACTGAATCTTTCTCATGTTATCAATAATCTTTTATTCGAGTCATTAACTTATCATTTTGATTGTCTTTATATCTTCTCATAGACATTGGTCAGTCTCTTATTCCATTACCATCGTTTGCGTGGTATTCACACAAGTGCCATCATTTGGATTTACTTTTTTCTACAAACAATTTGTACTTTTCTAATCGCTTATTCGACTTGGGTCGATTCTTCCGAATACACTGGGACAGAGGTCATTTTGATGAATATCTTTTTCGTATCAAATCTCTTTCTACTTATCATAACTTCTTTTGCTGATAAAGCAAAGCCATCAACCGATGAACATGAATTAATCGTCGAGAAAGACAACATATCCAGTAAGAAGTATAGTCCAGAAAACGAAGCATCTTTTCTAAGTGTCGTTTTCTTCTGGTGGTTCAATAAAATGGCCATTTTGGGCTGGAGAACATCTTTGACTACTAAAGACTTGTGGGAACTTCGAGATGATTTGAAAACAGAAAATCTCATTGGAGCTTTTGATACGAAACTGCATCAACAGGTTGAAAAACAAAAAAGATTATTCAGAGTTAACGATAATACAAATGTCTCATCTCAACCCTTCAAGGTTAAAGTGAACATAATCCCGATTCTAATCAAAGTTTATGGCATATACTTGATGAGTGGAGCTTTTTTCAAATTGGTTCAAGACGTACTTTCATTCATAATCCCACAATTATTAAAGTAATTATGCAAAAAGATAAATTTGATCTCAAGTTGACACTTAATTAATGTTTCATTGCTCACTGAAGGTTATTAATCTCATTCATAAAGAACCAATCAAGTGAACCCATTTGGCATGGATTCTTAATTGCATTCGCAATGTTCATCATCTCATTTGCTCAGACCGTTTTCGTGAATCGTTATTTTTATAGCATGTATATTCTTGGAATGAGAGTAACTTCAACTTTAACTGCGGCAATTTACAAGAAATCGCTGAATTTAAGCGACAAAGCTAACAAGGAAGTGACTTCGGGAGAAGTAGTGAATCTAATGTCCGTAGATGCCAAGAGATTTCTAGATCTACTTCCGTATCTTAACTTAATCTGGTCGGCGCCTTTGCAAATTCTTTTGTCTATTTGGTTTCTTTATATCGAACTAGGATATTCTTCTTTGTTTGGTCTCGGTGTGATGGTTCTGATGATGCCGATCAATGGAGCGACTGTTCATTGGTGTCAAAAGTTTCAAGTAAAATTCATGGAGCAAAAAGATGAAAGAGTAAAGTTCATGAATGAAATTCTGAGCGGGATAAAGATTATTAAGTTTTATGCTTGGGAAAATTCATTTCTAAAGATCGTCAATGAGCTACGAAAGAAAGAGTTGGGTCACTTGAGAAGATTGAGTTACTTGGAAAACTTCAGTGCGTTTTTGTGGCTCTGCTCTCCAATGATGGTATCGGTGGCCACTTTTGCCGCATATGTATTGATTCAAAAAGAATCATTAACAGCAGAAAAAGCATTCGTTTCTCTTTCGCTATTCCATCTACTCCAATTTCCTTTATCTATGCTACCCGAACTTTTGTCGTATTTCGTCATGGTTAGTAACGAATTGTTCGTAATTTTGCTTCACTAATACAATTACAATTCTTTTCATTTCTTTATTTAGACTTCCATATCTATAAGGAGAATCAACAAATTTCTTAGCTACGAAGATCTTGATCCTTATGTAACAAGAAACAATGAAGTTTATGAGATCTCAATTGAAGATGGTTACTTCAAATGGAACAAGAAAAAACAAGAAGATAACAAAAATAGAGGAAAGAAAAACTTTTTTTCTCGAATCAAAAAAGATAAATTGAGCACTAACCTCGAATCTTTGGCAAAAGAAATTCCGACATTGCAAAAGATCAACATGAAAGTGAAACCTGGTTCATTTGTAGCGATTGTTGGTTCTGTTGGTAGTGGTAAAAGTTCATTGTTAAGTGCGATTCTCGGAGAGATGGAGAAAATATCAGGACGAATTAATATCAATGGAAAATATTCAATCGCTTATGTCGCTCAACAAGCATGGATTCAAAATACTTCATTGAAAAACAACATCTTATTTGGTTCTCCATTTGATGAAAGTAAATATAATCAGGTAATTTCTGCCTGTGCATTAGAACCTGATATCGCTTATTTACCTGGAGGAGATGAAACGGAAATCGGCGAGAAAGGAATTAACCTTTCAGGTGGACAAAAACAACGAGTTAGTCTTGCTCGAGCTTGTTACAGTGATTCTAATCTGTTCATTTTAGATGATCCATTAAGTGCTGTCGATGCTCATGTAGCTCAACATATTTTCAAAAAAGTTCTAAGTTCAAAGACTGGAATCTTAAAGAATAAAACTCGAGTTTTAGTGACCAACAAGTTGGATCTTTTATCCAAAGTCGATAGTATTTATGTTCTAACTAATGGTGTTATTACCGAGAATGGAACATACAAACAATTGATGGAAGCTAAAGGAGAGTTTTGTGATCTCGTTGAACAATTTACTAATCAATCAGTTGAAAATGACAGTGAACTGCATGAAGAATTAGGCAAAAGTAAATCGGTCGATAAAAAAGATGATTTTAAACTACCTGAGGAAATTCAAGACGACAAGACGAAATTGATTGAAAATGAAGAATCAGAAACTGGCAAAGTCAAATGGTCAGTTTACTTCGAATACTTTGGAATGGTTTCTATTCTTTGGACATTACTTATCGTTTTGAGTCATGGAATTTCAAATGGATTCCAATTAGGATCAGATATTTGGTTGGCCAAATGGTCAAGTGATTCGACAACTCAAAATGTTACTCTGTCCAGCACCGAAATGAGACTTGGAGTTTACAGCTTTTTGGGACTAATGAAAGGTAACGAATCTCAACTATTTGTAAACAAATTTTGGAATCTTTTTTTCGCTCTATTATCATAGGTGTTCTTACTCTTATTGGGTCTTTTTCTCTTGTCAATGGTACACTACGAGCATCCATTGGATTTCATCGAAATCTTGCACATAAAGTTTTTCGATTGCCAATGTCGTTTTTCGACACTAATCCCATCGGTAGAATCGTTAATAGATTCTCAAAGGATATTGATGTGATAGATACTGGGTTACCAATGGTTTTGAAGTGAGTAACAATGAAGAACTTGTATGATTGTTTAATTATTTTGTTATAAAATTTTTATTGTTGTTTTTTTTAGCTATTGGATTTTGTGCCTTTTCGAAGTAATTTCCGCTTGCATCATTATTTGTATCAATACTCCTTTGTTCATCATTACTCTGGTTCCAATCACAATAATTTATATTTTTATCCAACGTGTTTATGTCTCATCATCCCGTCAACTTAAGAGACTCGAATCGGTCACTCGATCGCCGATTTATTCACATTTCGGAGAAACACTAAATGGAGTCAGTACTATTCGGGCTTTTAATGTCTCCGAGAGATTCATTCAGGAATCGGCTTATAAAGTTGATCACAACCTTTCGTGTCTCTTCCCCAGTATTGTAGCGAATCGATGGTTGAGTATCAGACTAGAACTATGTGGAAATCTTATGATTCTATCAACTGCCATTTTCGCAGTTCTTTCTCGAGGTTCTCTTGATCCCGGTGCTGTTGGTCTCGCTGTTTCATACGCTCTCAGTATAACAGGCTCACTTAACTGGCTCGTTCGAATGGCTTCTGATTTGGAAACAAACATTGTTGCTGTTGAACGTATTATGGAATATTGTAAATTAAAAAGCGAAGCTGATTGGTATGAAGGTAAAGTTATGCCACCTGAAGATTGGCCATCAAAAGGATCAATTAAATTCGATAAATATGAAACTCGATATCGAGAAGGAACCGAATTGATTTTGAAAGGAATTTCAGGAGAAATCAAAGGATTGGAAAAGATTGGAATTGTTGGTCGAACTGGAGCTGGTAAATCGACAGTTACTCTGTCATTGTTTAGATTAATTGAAGGATCAGGAGGATCGATTTCTATTGATGGTCTTAATATCAGCGAATTACCTTTGCATCCATTGAGATCTCGTCTTGCAATTATCCCTCAAGATCCAGTCCTTTTTGGTGGAACCTTGAGATTCAACTTGGATCCATTTGATTGTTATTCAGACAATGATATTTGGGATGCATTGTCTCATGCTCATCTCAAACAATTCGTTAATAATACTGGTCAAGGTCTTAATTACCAAATAGCTGAGGAAGGAAAAAATCTTAGTGTTGGACAGAGACAATTGTTGTGTTTAGCAAGAGCTTTACTTAAGAAACCAAAGATTCTATTCCTGGATGAAGCAACTGCAGCGATTGATTTGGAAACCGATTCATTGATTCAGAAAACAATCAGAACAGAATTTAAAGATTGTACAATATTAACGATCGCTCATCGTTTGAATACAATATTAGATTCTGATCGGGTGATGGTCTTGGATCAAGGTCAAATCGCGGAATTTGATGAACCACAAGTTTTGTTAGAAAACAAACAATCGATATTCTATTCATTAGCTAAAGAAGCTAATCTTGTCTCTTGATTATTGGTTAAATGAATTTCGTTAAACATTAGTCATGTTGAAATAATGTTAAATAAATAGTTTTAGAATAATTCAATCAAATCAATCACTTTTGAAAAGCAAAAAGAGAAAAAGTAAGAGAAAATGTAAGCGAGCTAATTAGCTAAGCGGTGAGTTAATCAACTGGCTGATGTCGATTTGAGCCAATAATCAAACGGCTCGAGTGAAACACCAGTATGAGTGGTTTAGCGACCGGCTCAGATCGGCTGGTTTCGTCATCTAATTACAATCGACTGAGTTGATAGATTTTCGGCTTTGACTTTGGCTTTGATTGTTGATCGACTGACTCCACCAACCACCTTCGGAATCTAGAAATAGTTTTGAAACTTGGTTAGTTATTAATATGATTTAAGAGTAAACGTGGGGCATTGTCAACTCCTCAAAGGCCATCTTAATGATTGGTGCGTTTTTTTAAGAAAACATAAGCATTCATTTTCCTTACTCCATTTTTATATTTAAATCTAATTATTTTTAGATCAATTTTAGTTACAATTATTTTGTTAAATTAACTCTTCAATCAATATGAATCTTAATTCAATCATCCAATTGGAATCAATTTGTGGTGAATCAATTCTATGGGTAAGTTGGTAACTGTTTCCACTTTTAGGTTTCTCACCAAAATATTGGTTCATTTTTAGTTATTTTGATGATTGATTGGTTTATTGATTAGACTGTTGGTCGATATGAGAAATCGGATTAACAATTGTGGTTAGATATTAATTTTGTATCTTGAATGATTCAATTTCTTTTTTTCTGATTTCCTTTTTATCTTTTAGGATGTTAATTCAACTTGGAATTCAGATTTTCCTAAATTGTCTCGATGTTTTCACACTACGATTCTCAATTGGTTACCAACTTGTTTCCTTTGGTTACTTTGCATCTATGAAATTAGACGAACAATTAAAATACGGAACAATTGATTCCTTGGAACTGGATTAACACATGCAGATTAATTTTATCCACATTAAATATCCTCGTAAACTGTTTACAATTAGTCAACATAATCTTCAGATATTTTAATTCATCTAATCCATCAGTTGCTGCTGATTTTTACTCTTCCTCAACTAATATTATCTCATTTGTAAGTAATCAATGTTTCATTTTCAATTGTTATCATTGTCAATTTCCACACCGACTTCAGTTAATCAGATTAGCATGATGCAAGTTCCTTATTTGTTGCTCTTGAGAAAAATAGTAGTATGTTTATTAACTAATTACTTTTATCAGTTTACAATCATTTTTGCCCGCATTAAACTTAATATCTAATCTTGTTGATCATTTTGGTATTTTTATTATTAAAAACAGCAATAGTTAAGACTCTCATGTTCCGATCATTCAATGATTCTAAATTTTTTCTATTGATCTTTAAATCGTATTTAAGTTCATTGATTGTTCGTTGATTGTGTTTACTAAGTTAAATTAAAAGTTATTATAATTTTGTTTCAGAATAATTTAATTTTCACGTTTGTGTCAATTGTATTTCTAAAAAGATACAAGGAAACAGAGAAACGACTAAGAATACATTAGAAAAATGAATCATTTCATTTTTTCATTCAGGCGAAATTCCCTATTTGAATGCCTTTTGTTATTTTTATTTTGTCTCAGTGTTTTAAGAAGCCTTTAAGTAATGTTGTAATTTAATCTGACTGAATCTTTCTCATGTTATCAATAATTTTTTATTCGAGTCATTAACTTATCATTTTGATTGTCTTTATATCTTCTCATAGACATTGGTCAGTCTCTTATTCCATTACCATCGTTTGCGTGGTATTCACACAAGTGCCATCATATGGATTTACTTTTTTCTACAAACAATTTGTACTTTTCTAATCGCTTATTCGACTTGGGTCGATTCTTCCGAATACACTGGGACAGAGGTCATTTTGATGAATATCTTTTTCGTATCAAATCTCTTTCTACTTATCATAACTTCTTTTGCTGATAAAGCAAAGCCATCAACCGATGAACATGAATTAATCGTCGAGAAAGACAACAAATCCAATAAGAAGTATAGTCCAGAAAACGAAGCATCTTTTCTAAGTGTCGTTTTCTTCTGGTGGTTCAATAAAATGGCCATTTTGGGCTGGAGAACATCTTTGACTACTAAAGACTTGTGGGAACTTCGAGATGATTTGAAAACAGAAAATCTCATTGGAGCTTTTGATACGAAATTGCATCAACAGGTTGAAAAACAAAAAAGATTATTCAGAATTAACGATGATACAAATGTCTCATCTCAACCATTCAAGGTTAAAGTGAACATAATCCCGATTCTAATCAAAGTTTATGGCATATATTTGATGAGCGGAGCTTTTTTCAAATTGGTTCAAGACGTACTTTCATTCATAATCCCACAATTATTAAAGTAATTATGCAAAAAGATAAATTTGATCTCAAGTTGACACTTAATTAATGTTTCATTGCTCACTGAAGGTTATTAATCTCATTCATAAAGAACCAATCAAGTGAACCTATTTGGCATGGATTCTTAATTGCATTCACAATGTTCATCATCTCATTTGCTCAGACCGTTTTCTTGAATTGTTATTATTATAGCATGAATCTTCTTGGTATGAGATTAACTTCAACTTTGACTGCGGCAATTTACAAGAAATCGATGAATCTTAACGACAGAGCGAATAAGGAAGTGACTTCGGGAGAAGTAGTGAATCTAATGTCCGTCGACGCCAAAAGATTTCTGGATCTACTTCCGTATCTTAATTTAATATGGTCTATGCCTTTGCAAATTTTTCTGGCTATTTGGTTTCTCTACAGTGAACTTGGATATTCTTCTTTGTTTGGTCTCGGTGTGATGGTTCTGATGATGCCGATCAATGGAGCGACTGTTCATTGGTGTCAAAAGTTTCAAGGAAAATTCATGGAACAAAAAGATGAGAGAATAAAGCTCATAAATGAAATTCTGAGTGGGATAAAGATTATTAAGTTTTATGCTTGGGAAAATTCATTTCTAAAAATTATGGATGAGCTAAGAAAGAAAGAGTTGGGTCACTTGAAAAGATTGAGCTACTTGGAAAACTTCAGTGCCTTTTTGTGGTTCTGCTCTCCAATGATGATATCGGTGGCCACTTTTGCCGCATATGTATTGATTCAAAAAGAATCATTAACAGCAGAAAAAGCATTCGTTTCTCTTTCGCTTTTCAATCTACTCCAAAATCCTTTATCTATTCTGCCTGAACTTTTGTCAGATCTCGTCACAGTGAGTGTTTAAAGTGTTAAGAGTTTTTCATGTAACTTCACTGTAACACAAGTCCAAAAACGTATTTTTTTTTATTTAGACCTCCATATCTATAAGGAGAATCAACAAGTTTCTTAGCTACGAAGATCTTGATCCTTATGTAACAAGAAACAATGAAGTTTATGAGATCTCAATAGAAGATGGTTACTTCAAATGGAACAAGAAAAAACAAGAAGATAACAAAAATAGAGGAAAGAAAAACTTTTTTTCTCGAATCAAAAAAGATAAATTGAGCACTAACCTCGAATCTTTGGCAAAAGAAATTCCAACATTGCAAAAGATCAACATGAAAGTGAAACCTGGTTCGTTTGTAGCGATTGTTGGTTCTGTTGGTAGTGGTAAAAGTTCATTGTTAAGTGCGATTCTCGGAGAGATGGAGAAAATATCAGGACGAATTAATATAAATGGAAAATATTCAATCGCTTATGTCGCTCAACAAGCATGGATCCAAAATACTTCATTGAAAAACAACATCTTATTTGGTTCTCCATTTGATGAAAGTAAATATAATCAGGTAATTTCTGCCTGTGCATTAGAACCTGATATCGCTTATTTACCTGGAGGAGATGAAACGGAAATCGGCGAGAAAGGAATTAACCTTTCAGGTGGACAAAAACAACGAGTTAGTCTTGCTCGAGCTTGTTACAGTGATTCTAATCTGTTCATTTTAGATGATCCATTAAGTGCTGTCGATGCTCATGTAGCTCAACATATTTTCAAAAAAGTTCTAAGTTCAAAGACTGGAATCTTAAAGAATAAAACTCGAGTTTTAGTGACCAACAAGTTGGATCTTTTATCCAAAGTCGATAGTATTTATGTTCTAACTAATGGTGTTATTACCGAGAATGGAACATACAAACAATTGATGGAAGCTAAAGGAGAGTTTTGTGATCTCGTTGAACAATTTACTAATCAATCAGTTGAAAACGATAATGAACAATATGAAGAGCCAACTAAGAAAAAACCTGTTGATAAAAAAGATGGTTTCAAATTACCAGAGGAAAGTCAAGATGATAAAACGAAATTGATTGAAAATGAAGAATCAGAAACTGGCAAAGTCAAATGGTCAGTTTACTTTGAATACTTTGGAAAGCTCTCTATCCTCTGGACATCACTTATCGTTTTAAGTCATGGAATTTCAAATGGATTTAAATTAGGATCAGATATTTGGTTGGCCAAATGGTCAAGTGATTCGACAACTCAAAATGTTACTCTGTCCAGCACCGAAATGAGACTTGGAGTTTACAGTTTCTTGGGACTAATGAAAGGTAATGTATTAATAATATCTCAAATGTTGTATAGTTAATATTCAAACATAAATGTAACATTTGAAATGTTACAATCATTTTCAATCTATTACCATAGGTGTCCTCACTCTTCTTGCAACTTTTTCTCTTGTCAATGGAACGCTGAGAGCATCGATTGGATTTCATCGAAATCTTGCATACAAAGTTTTTCGATTACCGATATCGTTTTTCGACACTAATCCCATCGGTAGAATCGTTAATAGATTTTCAAAGGATATCGATGTGATTGATAAATCGTTGCCAAGGTCCTTAAAGTAGGATAAAAAGTTTCTAAGCTTATTTGCAAATTTCATTTTCATTGTTTTGTTACAGTTTTTGGATTTTGTGCCTTTTCGAAGTAATTTCCGCTTGTATCATTATTTGTATCAATACTCCTTTGTTTATCATTACTCTGGTTCCAATCACAATAATTTATATTTTTATCCAACGTGTTTATGTCTCATCATCCCGTCAACTTAAGAGACTCGAATCGGTCACTCGATCGCCGATTTATTCACATTTCGGAGAAACACTAAATGGAGTCAGTACTATTCGGGCTTTTAATGTCTCCGAGAGATTCATTCAGGAATCGGCTTATAAAGTTGATCACAACCTTTCGTGTCTCTTCCCCAGTATTGTAGCGAATCGGTGGTTGAGTATAAGAATAGAACTATGTGGAAATTTAATGGTTCTATCAACTGCCATTTTCGCAGTTTTTTCTCGAGGCTCTCTTGATCCAGGTTCTGTTGGACTCGCTGTTCTATACTCTCTTAACATATCAGGGTCACTTAATTGGGTCGTTCGGATGGTTTCTAATTTGGAAACCAATATAGTTGCTGTTGAACGTATTATGGAATATTGTAAATTAAAAAGCGAAGCTGATTGGTATGAAGGTAAAGTTATGCCACCTGAAGATTGGCCATCAAAAGGATCAATTAAATTCGATAAATATGAAACTCGATATCGAGAAGGAACCGAATTGATTTTGAAAGGAATTTCAGGAGAAATCAAAGGATTGGAAAAGATTGGAATTGTTGGTCGAACTGGAGCTGGTAAATCGACAGTTACTCTGTCATTGTTTAGATTAATTGAAGGATCAGGAGGATCGATTTCTATTGATGGTCTTAATATCAGCGAATTACCTTTGCATCCATTGAGATCTCGTCTTGCAATTATCCCTCAAGATCCAGTCCTTTTTGGTGGAACCTTGAGATTCAACTTGGATCCATTTGATTGTTATTCAGACAATGATATTTGGGATGCATTGTCTCATGCTCATCTCAAACAATTCGTTAATAATACTGGTCAAGGTCTTAATTACCAAATAGCCGAGGAAGGAAAAAATCTTAGTGTTGGACAGAGACAATTGTTGTGTTTAGCAAGAGCTTTACTAAAGAAACCAAAGATTCTATGTGAGTTTTTCTCTTTTTTTTCTTTTTATTTTCTTTTTATTTTTCTTTTTCATTGTTATTTTTTATTTCTCTCTCATTCTTTGCAATAGTTCTGGATGAAGCAACTGCAGCGATCGATTTGGAAACCGATTCATTGATTCAGAAAACAATCAGAACAGAATTTAAAGATTGTACAATATTAACGATCGCTCATCGTTTGAATACAATCTTAGATTCTGATCGGGTGATGGTTTTGGATCGAGGTCAAATCGCGGAATTTGATGAACCAAAAGTTTTGTTAGAAAACAAACAATCAATATTCTATTCATTAGCTAAAGAGGCTCATCTAACTACATGAGTAACTAACTAATTAATTGCTCTTACGTTCATAAATTAAAAAATTCTATCATTTCTGATGTCTAAAAATGATAATTATATCAACGAATTAATTGATCTTATGACATCAAAAGAAAGCAATTCCATTTCAGAATCGTTAATTAATCAAGTGGCCTTTAATTTCAATTATAACCACCTTGTTGTTATTCATTAACTTACGAAAACAAAACTATTTTGTAATTTCCTTTGACTATTGAAAAAATAAAAGAACTCAGATGGTTCAAAATTCGTCGCTCATTTCGTTAGTTCATCTCTTTGGTGTCTGGTGTTTCCGTCAATTTTCCAGATTTAATTGTCTTAAATTGAACAATAAATCAAAAATTATTGTTTATTGTGATAATTTATTGGAAACATTGTAAACAATGTTCGTATAACAATTGTCAGGGTAAGTGATTGTGTTTTTGGATGTTTGTTTGGTGGTAAATGGTTTGGTTTTGGTGTTGGCAAAAAGACTGAACAATTTGGATTAATGAAAAAAAAACAACCAATTAGATGATAGATAATATCAATATAGTCATAGAAAATGAACATAACCACTGAAGTGATCGTGATTCCAAAGCATAGTTCCCAAAAATTTAATAATTTTCGCTGGATCACTTTTGTTTGATCCTAAAATGTAATTGTCTGTACTTGATTTAGTATAACGGACAACATCACAATATTCAGATTCCTCTAATTCCTGGTGGAATAGAATAACATGGGCCCAATTAGAATACTTTTGTCCTCTTAGGATAGATTTTTCTTCGTTTTTGAAGGCTGACCAACTCTCAAGGAACCAGAAAAAGACTAAAGATTCATTTGGAGCACATTGATTGTGACCATTTCGATATGTTTCAATGTAGACTTTTTTGAAGCGTTTCTTCAAGTCCTTTTCTACTCGTTCAATCAGCAAGAAATCATCATCAACGCTTGAAGACATTGGTATTAATTTTATGGTCCTTATTTCTGAATAAGATGAAAACAAAACAATTTGATAAGATATTAATACAAACTGGAACAATTTAGAATCACTTACCTTTTAGCATTCCCTCTACAGCATAAAGATCCTTTTTATAAGTAACTTTAAATAGATTAGAAGGAGATCCTCGAACAACTTTGGTCTTGACATCGGTATATTTTCGTACCAAGTCCATACATTCAGTGCCATTATCAAGATCGAAATCAGTTGCTCCATCATAACCCTTTTTAATCACTTCGTATCTGAATACTTGAGGCATTTCACTTTGTTTGAACAAATTATGATCAAGTATATCGGAGACAAAATTTTCTGAATCAATTTTTACTGTAGTTGATATTAAATCGCAAATCGGTCCTGCTGCCTGTTTAACGAAATACAAGATAAATATTAGAAACCGGCAGACTAATAATTAATCAAATTTACACCAATTACCCCATTTTCTTTTGCCATCTCAATTAATTGGGACAGTAAATTTGAGTCTACCATCGGTCTGACTCCATCATGAATAATAACTAATTCAGGTCGATCTGTTAATAAGGAAGCAATATAGAAATATAATTAGAATCATTGATCCCGAGTGATTAACATGTACTAACACAATCAACAAACCTGGTCTTTTGTGTAGGTAATTCAAAGCTGTATTAATTGAACGATGTCTACTATCACAGCCTAAGATGACAGTTAGTGATCCCTTTTCAAGTTGATTTGAAAAATATGACAGAACCTCTTCTCGGACAAGACTCATATATCCTTCGGGACAAACTACAACAACAGTTAAACCATTTCGAAATCTAAACAATTAATAAAGAGAACAAAAAGAGAAAAATAATTGACGTCAGTTTGATGTGTGAAAATCACAAGCTATTGTTGATGGAGTGAGGGAATTGGGTGAAGTGAAGAGCTACACTTACACTGTTGACGATAATCTGGAAATGAAAAGAGAAACAAATAAATAAAATAGTATTAGAAAATGAAAATTGAATTATTGATGATCTATCGATTATTGTACTTACTTGACAAATGTAGATATTGTATAATAAAGTAAAGGTAGGCCATCAACTTTAACAAATTGTTTGGGTGGTGAATTATCAAAACGAGAACCAGTACCAGCAGCTGGAATAATTATCCCGATGCTCATTGTTAATTATAGATGATTGAAATGGTTAGAATCCGTTGATCACTAGGTGAAGAAGGTTAATTGGTCCAGAACAAATTAGAACTAGAATTAAAAAATGTTCTTTAATAATAATAAAATGAACATGTTTCTATGCGGAAGAGAAGAAGAGTAAAGAATAATCAAAAGAATAAAAACCGTAAACAGTGAATCAGAATTAAGATGGATTATGAAAGGGGCTGATCAAAATTCTTACCTTGAGAATATCAAGATAAACGTACCAAATTGTTGAACAATTTTTTCTAAATTTAGAAGAATAAAGATGAGCAACAATTACTTAATACATTTAATGTTCTGATTAAGGTTCAATTAACTAGAAGCAATAAAATAATAAAAAAAATGATAGAAGGCAAATTGAAATTCGTAAGATGGAGCCACTGATAGAAAAAGAAGAGAAAGAGAAAAGTCTTTCTTTTCTCTGAGAGAAGCAAAAAAGTAAACAAAACGTAATATTTTCCAAAATATTTCATAGATGGAGCTACTTTCATTTTAGAAATTAATTTAATTAAAGGACAATCGTAAGAAATTCATTACAGTCCTCGACAAATACAGTCTTGTGCAAAAGTTTAGAGACAACAATCAATTGATTGTATAAACTAAATTATACATGAACACTGGTCAATTCGACGAAGATATTTAATTGTCAATAACGTTGTTAGAGATTCCGAAAACTTTTTTCTGCTATTGTTTTAAATAAAAGGGACAAACGAAATTAATTTATTTTCAGTGTAATTTACAGTTAACTTGATTTTTTTATTCTTTTTAACGAAAAGTGTTGACAAATGGACAATCAAAATTCAATCGTTTCAATCTCTCTAATCGATCAAGTCAATAGATTTGATTTTTACATTTCGTTTGTTATTTTCTTCTTGTTTTCGCTTCTCTTGTTCTTGTATTAACTTAATCTCAATTGGATCCCATTTTTTTCTCGTTAAACTGAGCCAAAGTGATACGATAAAAGGGTAAAACATAATCACTGCTCCCATATGATGAGCTGCTCCAGGGAGAGTAGCGATTGTTGCATTGAACAAGGATGAATAAATGAAAGTTCCTAATGTTGGTGCGATTGATTCAATACATGCAAGTAAAGAAAAGATTTGACCAGTTTCTTGGTTATCGATTATTCTTGATAAAATTGATCGAGTGCAAATTGCAAATAATCCAGAGAAAATCATCAAAGACTTTGCAATAAAATAACCGACTGAGTCGAGATAACCACCAAGAATTGACATTGAAATAATAGATGAAGCTGAACCAATTATGCTAAGAGATGTGTCAGAAAAATGTAATTTATGAATGAAAAGCAATGAAAGCAGCGGACTGATTAACGCACTGACAAGTGCGATTGTGGCAGAGCTGTAAGAGTATTCGGATGCATCCCAATGATAAATTTTCTGTGAAAATTGGAATCCGATAACTGTTTCATCGAAAGCTACGATAAATACAAGAGTCATGTTAATGAGTAAATTCCATAAGATTAACCGCCGATTGTTTGATCTCGAATGAAAACAAACTTTTACTATTTTTATGAAAGTCAACGGACTAAAAATCTCCTTTATCACAGTGAATAAACTTTTCGGCTTCAATAAGTCAGTTTGTCTCATCTCATCGATATTTAAATTTTCACCAGGATTGTCCATTTCTTTGGATATTTCAAACTTATTGTCAATAAAAACAAGAACCCAAACTAGTCCAATGAAAAAAGTTACGAAACCCGTCACGAAAACGGCAAGATAGTTTCTGTACTGACCTGAAATCCAGGGTTCAGTTATCAACAGCTTACCTGCGATAGCGGTCGCCAAGGGGTTGGCTGTAAATTAAAACATAACTTAAATTATATCGACAAAACTACGAGTGACAATTTTGAACTCACCGCTGAAAGTGAACAAATCGAGAACAGCAAATCTTATAACTCGATATTTGGGCTTCGTGGTTCGAGCAATATAAGTATACGACCCTGTATATACAATGAATGCACCTCCAGTTAGAGCATATGGAATGCACTTCCACAGTAAATGATACGTATCTTAAAGGGGAATTAATAGAATCAAATGAGATAAAGTGAAGAAATCGCAGATTCGGTGACTTTTCATACTCGCGTTGAAGTAGTAGACATTTGCGATGGTCATTATCCCACAGAGACATCCACCTAGAGCAGGTAGTGCCAGAAGGTATTTCAGTTGGTTCGGATAAGCGTCAATCCAATAGCCAAAGAAGATCATGGAGAATATTCCTGGCGATGACATAGTCAACATATCATAAACTGCGAACGTAGTTGAATAGGCCAACACTTGATTCTTCAAATCTTGAAATTCGACTTCAGCTGATCCAAGTTGAAGACATTTGGATACTTCGACTCTAAGGGTATTGATACAATATTTATCTTGGACTAATTGTGAATAAGTGACCAACGGTAATCTTAAACCAAATGAATATAAAGCGACATAAAAATCAACTCGTAAAATCGATAACAATTTAAATATTTCGGACAGTTTATAATTGAATAATTCGTCAAACATTTTGGTTCACCTGAATATCGTTGATTATCCAATCAAACATAATTGTTTCAATCAATTATCAATACTTAAATAGACTCAGTTCTAAATCAGGATGATTAGATTTTTTTTCAAGATTGGTTGTAACTGTAACAACCTAATTTAAATCTTGATTGTCTTCGGGTTAACATTGACCTTTGGTAAAACAATCAATTAATAATCTAATTATTAATATGTAACTTTTATATAAACTGATATGTTTAATTATATAACATATTGAACAATTAATTCCTTGGAAACAGAATGCGGAAATGAACTTAATTATTAGTTCAATTTTATTGTCTATTACTGTTTATCTTAATTAAAAATAATTGTCTGAATAAATACAATTCAGACTATTGGTAACAGTTTTTGCTACATCGATGACCTTGACCCATTTTCTTGGTTTCTCATCACTTTATCCACTATCTGTAAATTAACCAAAGAAACTAAAAGATATAATGAAAAAGATAAATTGGAATATGAAACAACGACTAAGACGATAAGTAAATTAAACGAACGATATTTGTGAATAAAAAACTTGTTCAATGTGACGAAGCTATTTAATTGTCTATAATGTTGTTAGAGATTCCGAAAACTTTTTTCTGCTATTGTTTCAAATAAAAAGGGACAAACGAAATTAATTTATTTTCAGTGTAATTTACAGTTAACTTGATTTTTTATTCTGTTTCACGAAAAGTGTTGACAAATGAGGACAATCAGAATTCAATCGTTTCAATCTTTTTGATCGATTAGGTCAATAGATTTGATTTTTACATTTCGTTTGTTATTTTCTTGTTGCAATTTAATCTCAATTGGATCCCATTTTTTTCTCGTTAAACTGAGCCAAAGTGATACGATAAAAGGGTAAAACATAATCACTGCTCCCATATGATGAGCTGCTCCAGGGAGAGTAGCGATTGTTGCATTGAACAAGGATGAATAAATGAAAGTTCCTAATGTTGGTGCGATTGATTCAATACATGCAAGTAAAGAAAAGATTTGACCAGTTTCTTGGTTATCGATTATTCTTGATAAAATTGATCGGGTGCAAATTGAAAGCAAAGCCATTATTGGTCGTAAACTTTTAGCTAGAAAAAAGCCCGCTGGCTTCAGATAACCACCAAGAATTGTCATCGAAATGATATAAGAAGCCGAACCAACAATCGAAAGCGCTGTATCAGAATAATGTAATTTGTGAATCAATATAGCCGGAAGCACCGTACTCATAACTGCGCTAATTAGTAACATGATAGCGGAATTATAAGAATAAGTAGAAACATTCCAATGATAAATTTTCTGTGCAAATTGGAATCCGATTGTCGCATCGTCCAAATAAGCAATGAACAATATCGTCATATTAATTAATAGATTCCATAAAATGAATCTTCGATTATTTGATCTCTTACGAAAACAAACTTTCATCATATTTTTACAGTCGCTGGATCGAAAATATCTTTTACGATCTTGCTGAACGTTTTTCTTTTCTCATTCTCTATACATTGTCACTTGAATCTTTGGCTGATTCAAATTGGTCATTGACAAAAACCAGAATCCAAATTAATCCAATTAAGTAACATACAAAACTCACAAACAAAACAATCAGATAGTTTCTTGGCTGATCAGGTAACCAAGGCTTAATTGTCAACAATTTACCGGTAACTGCAGTTGCCACGGGACTCGCTATGAATCAAATGAATATCGTTTCAATATCGTTTATTGATTTCTCTTAAGTTAAGCGCTTACCAAGAAATAAGGCCAAATCGAGAACGGCAAATCTAACTGCTCGATATTTAGGTTGAGTGGTTCGAGCTACGTAAGTATAAGATCCCGACATTACTATTAATGCACCACCAGTCAACGCATATGGAATTGACCTCCACAATAAATGATTTATATCTAAATGTAGATACAGATAGTTGAATGACAATTAAATTTCACGATCAAATGGAAATTGATTGGAAATTAATGAAAGACTTACGAGCTTTAAAGTAATAAACATTTAAAATTGTAGTTACTAAGGATAAACATCCACCTAAAGCAGGTAAAGCTAAGAGATATTTAATGTGATTCGGATAAGTGTCAACCCAGTGACCAAAGAAAAGCGATAAAATAATTCCGGGCGATGCTGTTGTTAATCTATCATAGACTGCGAAGGTCGTTGAATAGGTCAAAACGCTATTTTTAATATCTTCGAATTCAGGTCCAAGTGATTCGAGACGAACACATTTTGATACTTCGACTCCAAGGGTATTGATACAATATTTGTCTTGAACCAATTGCGATAAGATGACCATCGGTATACTAAAACCAATATAATACAAGGTAACATACAAATCAACTCGTAAAATTGATAACAATTTAAATATTTCCGAGGGTTTGCATTTGAACAATTTATCCAACATTTTAATTTACTTTAATATCTTTGATTGACCAATAAAGTCTGATTGTTCAACCAATTACTTAAATAGTCCCAATTTCTGGGCTAGTTCTTAGTCGCTCATCAATCTATTGAGATCTAGATATGGGTTGATAATAATCATAGCAACAACTTAATTTGAATGTTAATTGTCTTCAATTTTACACTGATTCTCACTTATTAGCATTAATAGTTAATTGTGGTTCTTAATCAATATAACTTTGTGATAGCTAATTACATGATTTCATGATAAAATACAAATCCTTAGAAACAGAATATGGAAATAAACTTCAATCTTAATTTTATTATACGATTTATCACCCAGAGCAATTTAAATTGTTACAATTTGAAGTCAACTTTCAGCCGACAATCAGTTTCAATGTTAAGATATTGTAATTATTAACAATATCAAGTAAATTTTTCCTCAATCCTACTGATATGCTGATGAATCTTAATAAAATTAATTGGTGTTCAAAGAGTTTAGATTCACAATTAATAAAAAGTTGATAATTAATTAGAGCCAATCAAGTTAGATGGAGCCTTATGCTTGGTGATAATTACTTATTACAATAACGAGATTAAATCAACATTAATTCAAATGTTTGACTTTCGTGTTGAGTTAAGAAAAAGTTGATTGTCTTGCAAATTATTATCATTTAATTGGATTAGTTTCAAAGAGTAAAAACCTCTCTACTCTTTGATTAGAATTGAATCATGAGAAGCATTAAATTGTTAATCAAAGCATTTATGTTATTAATATAATTTGTTAACTGTTCTATTCGATTAATAAACTGCGTAGTGGGGCAAATACAGTGTGAATTTGATTAAGATGGTAACTTTATCTGGAATATTTATTTAGCCATGTGATTAGCTGATCATCTTAATCCAATTTGTGTCAATTAAAACAGATCATATTCCAACCAATGGACTCTGCTCATTTCAAATTGTGGGTTGTGGGTCTTATCGCAGTGCTCATAGTACCAATTATTATCTGTAATCCGACTGATCCTCGTGGAGTTGATGTAAGTTGATACTCTGTTGATGTTTTGTATTAGTATCGCAATTATTTTTGGTTAACTTTTTTTCAGGATGATATTCGTAGTGCATTAGGTTTACAGAACAAGGAGACAATGAATGGTCGATTTGAGAGTAATAAAATTCAAAAAAAGCCTCAAAAACATGCCATACAATTAGTGATCAACAAAAATCATGCTAATAATCAATTCAAAAGAGATACGACCGATTCTAAAAAAGCTTTGCCTCCAGGTAAGTTTTCAAATTTATTATTATTAAAAATATTAAAGATAATGATTATTATCAGTCTGCTATTTAGATATTGTCTGTAAGAATTTTAATCTATTTTTAATCAGGTGAAGCAATTGATGGCAAAAAATCAAACAGTTCATCTGAATATTCCGACCAATCAAATGTACCCAATCTGGGACCAGGGAAAAGTACCACACCATCACCAGTAAATAATACAGTTAATGGACTGGAAAATAATACGAAATCGATAATCAACTTTGATAAATTCTTAGAAGAGATATCAAATGTTATTATTATACTTGAGCCAAAGATGGAGAAAAGTAACAAAAGCATATCACTGGTTGGCAAAGTCATGCTAAAATCTGATAATCAAACAATTCCGCTTGATTCCATTGAATTTGAGCAAAATTCACTAGAAGATATGTTTCGAAATCTAAAGGAAAAATTGCAAGAACAAAGGAATGACAATTCGAGTCAAACCAATTGGACTTCAACAAACAATAAATCGGAAAACAATATTGAAAATCAGATTAACGCCCAACCAAGTAAAATAAGTCCAACGAATTGTACTTGTGTTTGTCCAAAATCAAATTTTGATGAAAACTTGACTCCTAAATCGATTCCAACGCAGGTCATTACACCAACACCACCACCACCACCACCACCATCAGCACCACAAATAATGTCTTCTACAACATCTATCGTTGCTAATGTTACTCAATCTCCAAGCCCAATTATAACCTCACCACCAACAACTACGATCCAACCAATTTCAACGACTACAAATTCACCACCAAATATTACTACTACCACTACACCGGTAGTACCATCGAGAACATTGGATCCTGAAGAACTAAATGAAATTATCGAAAAGCTCATCTCTGATTTATTGCTTAGCAAACCAAAACCTATCCCACAAACACCATGGAATCCTGATGGTGCTAAGCCACAATATCGGGGCTCAAACAATCCTTATTTGGAAAATGAAATTGAAACTAGAGACAACCAGAATAATCAAATGAACTCACAAATTGTCAAATTGATTAATTCACCAGAAGTCAGAGGAATTAATGAATTATCCCAGCCTGATCAATTTGTCCATCGTCGAGATCAAAATGTACCTTCAAATGTTCAAAAAAATCACTTTTCTCAGCCATATGATCCACGACAGAAAAATTCAGATTACAATCGATATAATGTCGAAAGTAAAGCCGTAAATAGAAATGTACCAAACGGGTACGATCAATATGTGCCTTTTGCTGTCGAAGAGATTGTCCATCGTCGCTTGACGCCTCAGGCCAAAAGAGATTTCACTACAAGAGTGGTTAGTCAGGTCATGGGTAATGCGATGAAACCTCAAGAACTATTCAAGGAAACGTACATGAGATATCCACCTCAACCGAAACCATCACAATTTCGAAGAAAACTATTGTAATTTTGTCGAAACTGTTAATATAATTAAAGGACCCAATTTAATCTTGTTAAGTAACTATTAATACTTCCGTGAATGAAATCACAATTTATTAATAATGACAATCTCGTACATTGATCGTTTCTGTTCAAACGATAAGTGTTTTGTGATCAATGCTGAGTACCAATAATTATAAGATTCAACTCAAATATTGGCAAAAATGGGTTGATAATTTTATTCAACTCGCAACTATTAATAATTGTGAACTGATTTTCTGTTACTGAACTTGATTCAGTTTAAGTATTAAATTGATTTAAATTTTAATCATAATATTATATAATGAAAATGATTAGTTGATTTGATTTCAATCATATTGATAAAACTAAATTTTTCAGGTACGTTAATATAATGAAACAGTTAACTAACTAGTTAGACATTAATAGCATAAGAAAGTCCAAGGTTGATTTTCAATTAAAATCTATTGGTAATCATTTTGTTAACACACGTATTCATCGATTCGCTGATTAATTGATAAATATCTAAACTTGACGGAATTTTTTATACAATATTAGTATTCAAACGCGATTTTCTCGAAAACAATTGACCAGAAATATCATCAATACAAATTTAATGCAACTATAGAATACAAGTTCTTTTGATTTGATTGTTTGTGTTATTCGACCAATTTTATTTAAAAATCTACATCAGATGCGTATTAAGAAGTCTCCTCAAGTACAAAAATTCTGAGAAGAACGCTGAATCGACAAATTTAATGAGTTGTTTCTGATAATTGAAAATATTGTGATTAGCTTTGAATGGTTTTGTGTAAAAGAAAAGAGCTTATAGCCAGAGCTTATAATTGATTGTATATTACCGTTTGTCTAACAAACTGATAGTTTGGACAATGTTTTTCTGGACACCTTTAGTTTTAAAAAAGCAATGTGCATTATTTTTACTAATAGTAACAATGGTTATGAATTTCAATTGCGCGAATGGACAAATAGTCAACGAGCTAACAGAATATTCTGGTCGAAAAATGGACAACAATAGTTCGAGAACACAGACACCACCGACAACACCATCGAAAACACCATCGACCACACCACCGACAACACCATCGAAAACACCACCGACAACACCATCGACAACACCACCGACAACATTATCGACCACACCACCGACAACATTATCGACCACATTATCGACCACATTATCGACCACATTATCGACCACATTATCGACCACATTATCGACAACACCATCGACAACACCACCGACAACACCATCGACCACACCACCGACAACACCATCGACAAGACCACCGACAACACCATCGACCACACCACCGACAACATTATCGACCACATTATCGACCACATTATCGACCACATTATCGACCACATTATCGACAACACCATCGATAACACCACCGACAACACCATCGACCACACCACTGACAACACCATCGACAACACCACCGACAACACCATCGACCACATTATCGACAACACCATCGACAACACCACCGACAACACCATCGAAAACACCACCGACAACACCATCGACCACACCACCGACAACACCATCGACAACACCACTGACAACACCATCGAAAACACCACCGACAACACCATCGACCACACCACCGACAACATTATCGACCACATTATCGACAACACCATCGACAACACCACCGACAACACCATCGAAAACACCACCGACAACACCATCGACCACACCACCGACAACACCATCGACCATTATCGACCACATTATCGACAACACCATCGACAACACCACCGACAACACCATCGAAAACACCACCGACAACACCATCGACCACACCACCGACAACACCATCGACCACACCACCGACAACACCATCGACAACACCACCGACAACATCATCGAAAACACCACCGACAACACCATCGAAAACACCACCGACAACATTATCGACCACATTATCGACAACACCATCGACAACACCACCGACAACACCATCGAAAACACCACCGACAACACCATCGAAAACACCATCGACCACATTATCGACAACACCACCGACAACACCATCGACCACATTATCGACAACACCATCGACAACACCACCGACAACACCATCGACCACATTATCGACAACACCATCGACAACACCACCGACAACACCATCGACCACACCACCGACAACACCATCGACAACACCACCGACAACACCATCGAAAACACCACCGACAACACCATCGACCACATTATCGACAACACCATCGACAACACCACCGACAACACCATCGAAAACACCACCGACAACACCATCGACCACACCACCGACAACTCCATCGACAACACCACTGACAACACCATCGAAAACACCACCGACAACACCATCGACCACACCACCGACAACATTATCGACCACATCATCGACAACACCATCGACAACACCACCGACAACACCATCGAAAACACCACCGACAACACCATCGAAAACACCACCGACAACACCACTGATAACACCATCGACAACGACAAAGACATCACCAGAATATTCTGATCGAGAAATAGACAACATCAAATCGAAAACGACGTCATTATCAAATGTCACACAAATTAACCAAGATGAGATATTAGAGATAACGGCACCAACGAGTTCTCGTAGTAAAATGAATCAACATGTATCACCAGGTACTATTATGTATCGATCAAATTCGAATCTCATTAATAGTTCATCATCTGCGACTTATGAAAACTTTAATCTATCTAAAAAAAATATGTCTCAACAAATCACAGGCTCGCAAAATACAAGTAATCAACCATTAGCTATCGAAAAAGCGCATTCACAAATCCCCTTAGAAGTGAAACGGGCAGTTTTTAATGATGTCGTTCGTCAGTACTTTTCACTCGCTTTGGCTAAGAAAAGTAAAAACAAAAACAAAAATAAAGAATCGACGAGTTTTCAAATAGACGAAACCGCTTAAATCTCCATATCGACCAATGAAACGATGTGAGTCGTGGTTATAAAGTCCAACAAATTCAAATTCGCGAATCTTCAATTCTTTGTATGTTTGGTCAAAATGTTACTGAACTCGACTAAATTGGTGTAAATTAAATCATTATATCATAGAATGAAGATGATCAGTTGATTTGATTTCAATCATAAAACTAAATTTTTCAGGTACGATAATATACTGAACCAGTTAACTAGCTAATAAATATAAATAACATAATAAAAGTTCAAGGTCGTTTTTTAATTTAAATCTATTGGTAATCATTTTGTTAACACATATATTCATTGATTCGATGATTAATTTAATATAAATAAACGAAATGATTAGTTTCTTACTTTGGATGAGAAATCATGAATCACGGAATTGACTCAATTAGATGAAACATTATCACGATAAACATAATATTATCAATAATTGTCATCTAAATTGAAACCATTTTAAATTAAAAGGTAAATAAAGATATCAAGTAATCAAAAGCTATTAATACAATTAAGACACAATTAACTGATAAAAGTAGTGACATCTAGAGACGAACAACTAATTGTTAAGTTTAAATTTGTTCACATGTTTTGATTATTCATCTCATGTAATAATTGGGTTGATTGAATTTCTTTTATAATGGATTCTGCTAATATTTTATTTTCTGAGAATTTTATTGTAATTGATGATAATTGTGATAATGTTGTCGGTGAAAATGTCAACAGAATTCATTGTGAAGGTGAAATAACCAAAAGTGATCTTTTACTCGATGTTTTGTCTTCGGTGTTCAAAGTAACCAGCGGTCAAACTCTTGAAGTTTTGTTAGTTAAGGAAATACAAGATCCTGTTGTCGATTTCGCCGAAAATGGTGACCCTATTCCTCGAGTTGACCCATTGGACACTTCATCAATTCTACCCGAATACTCATCATACGAATATATTGTTCACGGAAAAATCTATGCAATAGAAAATAAGATGATTGGTACTGAGCCGATAATCGCAGTTCTTGCTTCGTTTGGTGGTTTATTGTTTCGTCTTCAATTACCATTAATTTACTCATCTAGTTGGGTAATTGACAATAATTTATTTCTCCTAATTAAACATCAGCTTTCGTTAATGCAACCACCGACTATCCATCAACCCGAGAAAAAGGTCAAAAAGGAAATCAAAGTTAAGATGGAACCCGATTCATCATGAAATTCACTGATAAACTAACATCTACAGTTGATTGTATTTCGTTATTTATTTGATCAAATTAATTGTAACTTTATTCTGACAATCAATTAAAGTCTCACGTTTCAACTAATCATTAGTTACCAATGATTGTTGTTTTTTCATAACATTGAAACATGTGCTTTTGAAGCGGACAATTCAAAATCTCTCGTTTTCTCAACTAATTGATTGGATGAATTTCAAGTTATCTCTTTGATTAATAAGTGGAACTGATTAATTAAATGAGTTGAAATATTAGAATTCTAAAAATTTGAACTATTTTATACTTTGAGAAGGGGCAATGATCAATTAGAATTCAATTATTGTCGTAAAAGGAAATAAACAAACATTGACCTTCACAAACAATTTCGATTATGATTAGAGTCTAAACTCTAATCATTTTAATCACACATTCTAATCAAATGTGTGTTAATTAACTTTGTAACACATTCGCAATCTACCTGATGGATGAGTTTTAATTGTACTTGATTGATTGATTAACACAGAGAACTGTTAATTTTCCAACATGAGAAAAATTTATTAATTAGTTAATCTGATTGTCAAATCAATGATTCCATGAGTTTATCTATCATCTGTAATGTTGATTAAACAAAAAAAGATGAGTATTTAATTAACAATTAACAACTTAACGTCATTAGATAAAAATATTCACTTACTTACTGAAAATTAGTTTTAATCAATTTTTAAATCCGCTCCAAATTAATCAGTTAATAATAATCATGACACATTCTAATCAATCTATTGACTGATATTGATTAAGACACAATCAAGAATCAATATAAGTTTCAACAATTGTCCATTTGATTGTGATAACTTATAATCGTCAATCTATTCAACTGATTTAAAACTCAAATGTACTAATTGTTTATCAATTTAGTTAATAGGAAAATCTATCTTGATTTTGAGTCGATGGATTCAAATACCATTTAATTGCCCTTGAATCTAAATGTTCAACAATTAAAATCCAAATTCATTTGAAACTGATTACCTGATTTTTAATTGTTTCATTTTAAACTTTGATTAACACTCATCATCTATGTGTTAATTGTTTTCCCTCTTAGTTTTTCCTATTTAATCACAATCAAAACAATTAATCAACTCAAAAGCCTCAAGTTAACCATTAGTATTAATAGAAAGGGATTATTGTTGTTAATTTACAGTCAGATTGATTTGATTGGTTCCACCCAATTGATTGATAACAATTAACTGATCATTTGTAAGATTATCAGTAGGACAAAAATAAATGATCATCAAATTAACTAAATTAAATCATAACATTCGCTAACCTAGTTAATTAAGAGGTGACAAGTTTTTTTATTAATTAGTTTCTCTTTTTTTAATTGTCGCAAGAGACAAAATCGTCCCTTTAATTGCTTTTGTTTAATTGTTAATCTCACTCGACAAGTGAGCAATTATCTCTGATTAAAATAATTTGTTTATTAATCTATTGATTAGACTAATTTTTAATTCAACACCATTAGAATCATTCAATTTATTTTAATTGTAACTCTTTAATCGTGTAACTAAAATAGTGAAATCACTTCAATAGATTTTGTTATTTTTTCGTATGAAAGTAAAAAAAATTGTAACTCTAATTGATTGTGATTCTTAATCAATTAATTGCTATTTTCTCCTAATTGTTTTCTTACCTTGATCTTAATCATGATTGATTCAAATTATCTCAATATTCCTGGTGACTTGGAATTGATTCCAAATAATTTACTCTACTCATCACCACTTGATTCGTCACCTTCATCATCTTTAAATCAATCAGAGTTTTATGATTACTTAGGTAATTACGACAATCAAAATAATCTCAACAACAACAATCTAATTGATTTTTGCTACACCGATTTAACCAACAATACGGTCAATCTAAACAATCCCAATCCTCTTGACCATTACTATGACAATGATTACAATGGAGACAATAACGATGGTTACAATCTGACTAATTTAACTAATCAATTAGTTGAAAATCAACCAAGTCAATCAATCTCATCAACTTTTGAAGCCTTATCACCAATCGTTACATCCTCATCTTCATTAACAAGCCAAGTTAATCATCGTTATTCATCAGGCTCATCAATTTCATCAGCATCTTTATCGTCAACAGATTATTCATCTTCTCATCATAATCGTCCATTGTCAAACACAAGCGTTGATTCAATTGATGCAAATCGTTCAATCGATGGTTGTAAACGAGATCTAATTAAGGCAACACTTAATTTCGCAATTAAAAGCCGTCGACGATCAAGAGGATTGGGTGACATTGAATTTAAACATGTTAAAAATCAAAATCAACGACCATCAAGTTGGGCTGATGAAGACGACGAAAAGAAAATGTCCCGACGAGAAAGGAATCGAATCGCTGCTCGAAAATGTCGAAAAAATCGTAAACTTAAATACATTGGATTAAATAAGGTAATTAACTTAATCGATTAATCAAATTCTCATTCTTATTCTTCCGGTGATTGAAAATATAATTTCCAACTTAAATTAATGTTGTTTTTACACTTGTAAACAAAAGCACGAGACTTTGATCAAGCTAATTAGTGATTAGATTAATCAAATTAATAATCACAATTGATCAGCAAATTATCATTCATTTTTTTCCCTATGAAAAAAGCTGAATCATATTGATAAATTGATAGAAAACTAATTAACTTTTGTGTATCAAGTTTAATTGTTGATGTTTCTTTCTTTTTCTTTTTCTATTTACAATTAATAGACTATGGAAAATTTGGATAACGCTAACAACAATTTAAAGGAACAATTAGATAAATTGGAGCGAGAAAGTGGAAAACTTGAAGATCTATTGACTTCACATCGATCACAATGTTACCTGGTCTCGTGGTCATCTCAGCCCATGTTGACTTCCGCTTCCTCATCCGTATCATCCTCATCACCTAATCATTTGTTAACAATTAACAACAAGAACAGCAATTACTCACAATCAGGTGAATCTCATGGATTTATTTCTTACATTAATCAATCTCAACTCTGGCCTAATGCATTACAATAAATCGGGATAACTGGATTAACCGTTAATCCATCGTCACATCAATTTAATTACTGTTTTTTTAATGTTAATCTATTACTTAAAACTTGAACACGTACTCTCAGTCCAGGATTAGGCTTTTTCTGATTTAATTACTCAACTCAAATCAGTGAAAATCTCACAACAATTTATTTATCTCTAATGTATCTCAATCACTGTTGATTACCACCAACCTCTTGTACTCGTTGTAAATTTTTCACTCAATCAATTAATCTTGATAGTTGACTAATTGTTGTCTCACCTTTGTTTTTTTACTTGTTAAATGATTTCAATAAAATTTTGTAATAATTTTTACAACAATTTTCCTAATTCCAAGTAAAAGACAATACAATTTACCTGCAATCATTTAAATCCAGTTAAAACTTACCCGGGTAACAATTAGAGAGTCGAGATAAAACTAAAAAATTATTCTTCTTTTTAATCAACAAGAAAGTTCATTAACAATTAACAAATCTTTAATTCTGTAAGTTAAAGTGTAAATATATTATTATAATATAATCAATTTTACTAAACAAATATAACGAAACCTTATAATCCTTGAATGGCAATGGAACCAAGAAAAACTTTCATCACAATAAACAATTATCGCCTTGATGATTTACTCCAACGGAAACTTGTCCATTATTTTCAACAGTTTTCATGAAACCGACCATTTCATTGAGCAAAGGCTCATGACCTGAAACTCCGGCCTCACATTTAAGTTTAACTTTGTCCCAATCCTTGACTGATTTATCAATCATTTTCTTTTCTTTCAATGCGCCCTGCAATTAAGAGAGAGAGAGAGAGAGAGAGAGAGAGATAGAAATTGAAATTTTAACACTCACGAACATCGAAATGTCCAATTTCGATCACAGAGAAAAATGACCAGCACAACTTACGACTGTATCAAGACAGGCACAGTCCGTCATCTTAAAGATGTCCACGAATCCAGCGTTACTACAACAGGCCATTCCAAGTTTCATAACGTTTTTCTCTTTGCTCTTTTCCTCTGAACATTTACTGAATTCGCTGAACGTATTTTTCTCGCACATGGAATCGCCGTCCTTTAATTTACTGAGACATTCCTTGAAAATTGCTTCTATCCCACTGACCAGCTCATCTTTCTGTTCCCAATCAAATTGTCCAATGTTAATTGTTAAATATTAATTGTTAATTGTTCCTCTTACCTCTTTACACTCCAAGTAACTTGCGACCTTTGCTAACACTGGTTTAACACCCTTTTCAATTACAGTGTTAAGGTCAGCGCCGTTTACCTTTAGATCACAATTACCTGAGAAAATATTGATTAGAATTGTCATTTAATTGTTGGTTTAACTTATTTTCGTTGATTAGTTAATTGTGTTCAATTTACATACCACAGATCTCTTTGTATGAAGCTTCTGCTGCTTTTTTAACTGGATTAACTTTACTCATTCCTGCCATACAATTACCGTTAACTGTGATTGATTGTAAACTTATGGTGATCACAATTAAACCAATGATTCCGTAAATGTTAATCGACATGATTGTTATTTTTTTGTTGATAATCTTTAATCACTTTGTAAATTAAATTAAATATTTTTTTTACGATAAGTTATCAAGTTGATCAAATTGATATAATCAAAAGTATATCAATTGATTAAATTATTTAAACTAATTCTCACTCGTAAATACAAAAACTGATTACAATTGTTGATCTAAAAATCTCATTTTATACTTAAATTGTTAAGGGATGATCAATAATGATCATTATGATATTAATTGTTGATTCAGTTACCCAGTCATTTAATTGACAGTATTAAGGACCATTATGTTTTTTGTGTAAATTGTTCAAATTTTCATCATAATCAACGAAACAATCAAGGTCTAAATTCACAACTGAATCAATATTGAAATGAATAGGAGATTAATTATCTTTTCGTATTATTAATTTTCCTTAATACTTTTTGTTGTTTATTAATCTTCTTGTTTGCATACATTAAATTTTCAAGAGCAATTAATTTGGTTACATTAGACTAAATCACATCAGTTAATCATAATTAACTTTTTTAATTTCATCAACGTTCATCCAACTCAGAAAATTATCAAAGAAATGATTTAATTATCAAGCTAAATATTAGTTTTTCTATCGATTACTTTACCTTAAAGTAATTAACAGTTATGATTTTCTGGAATGGTTTGATTGTTAAATTGATTTGAATTGAGTTTTTTTAATTGTTTAATGATAGCTTGTCCATTCAACAGTTTACCATTGTGATTACATAACTAATCACAATAAAAAAGTTTTAAATCAATCCAGGAAATTGGAGAATCGGATTAACTGTATTTTTCAACCATTCATGTTCATTGAATTAAATTGTAACAATTAAACATTATCATCGATTTGGTTATTGTTGATATCCTGGTTTAGGTTTTTTTTGTTGATTTCTTGTGCCTCGTAATCAATTTGAACTACTTTTAATCACCACGATAATTAGCACACTGAATTTGTATCATAGCAATTATCACTAGTGGTCAAGAGCTACTGACCATTGAGAGGATTTCGGTCAATGTTAATGCTAAAACAATTAACTTAGTGATTAGATTATTTAAATCAATAACGAAACATTGTTTATTTTCAACCATTTCATCATTTAAATTAGTAATCAATTGAAATTAGGTTAATTTTGCATTAAATGATTAGCTTTAATTGTCCTTGATTTTTAATTACAATGAGATCATCAAAACAATTAGAGCTCCTAATATAATATTAATTGAAATCTGATACTTAATCAGCTCAACGAAAGGACTAAGGCTTCATGATCATAATTAAAGATCATTAAATTAACAGCAATTTACAATGAACGAAATCAAGTATTTATATTCAATTAACTTTCCAATCAATTTGATTTAATTTTGATCAACCTGAATGTTTAACCTGAAACAGAATGATAATCAATTGAAAGTTTGATTAACTAATATGAAAATGATTATAATCAGTTAAAAGGTAAATATTTTCGTTGAAACTGTGAACAATTTAATCAATTGTTTGCCATTATGATTTGAATTATGTTTTAATCAACTTTGATTAGTAAGAAGTGAGAAATCAAAATGAATTGTGGGCTCGTATTTTCACTTAATCAACAATTAATTGTTATTATAAAAAATCTCATCAATTCTTTGACATTAAAAAGTTCATTGGACTTGAAGTTTGATAATCAAAGTTAATTGTGAAAAACATTTGGCTCCTTTTTCATTGATTTGTTATCGGACAATCAATAACAATTAAAATCTTTACAACTTATCATTAGTTAATTGTGAAAGTACAAGTGTATGTATAAGTTAATACATTTTCACATAATATTAGATAACAATTATCATGATAATCACTTGTTTCAAATCAATTGGTGGATTTCAAATCCTTTTTGAGTTCGAAACAATTGATAAAACAGTTTTAATTGTAAAATCTAATTGCTATTAAACTGATAATTCTGTTAATTAACAATATGTAACATTTGGTTGATTCTTCGGTGCTTTCATAATCTTGTGATCCACGTTATGTCATTGCTCTAATTAGATAATTAATCTAATTGGAATGCAACAATTCAACAAGAAAACTTTTTAATTAACTAAATTGTTCAAGTTTTTCTATTCGTTGAGATTTTAATTGTTACTAAAAATATACAAATTGTTTCATCACAAATTGTGTTTATTAAAATAGAAACATTTGGAAAATTTTTCCTCAGGAAAGTTTTGTGAATTGAATACAATTTAATTTTCTGCAAAAATTAATCTGATTCCAATTATCTAATCAGATGTTTGATTAACCAGAAATTTTCATCGTTGATTTGAATTTGGCGCTGCGAAAAAACCGAAACCGTTTTTATTTTTTTCAAACTTTGTTTTTGTTTTCAGTTTAAAAGAAAACAAATTTTTTTTCCTTAATTGTTGATCTTTTTCTCATTTTATTGATTTTTTCAAATTGATCGAAATGTTGACCTAATGTGAAGTGACCTTCGTTCTCTGTAGAATGTTACCCAAAATACCATTTGAAGAGCTGATCCATGCCTTGGAAGGAGCCGATTCCATATTCAAATCATGTCCCGATCTAATTAAATGTTACCTTCATCCTGCTCAAGTCGATCAAATTGAGAATCTTATCCGATTATGTGACCTTTACTCGACGATCAATAGGTTCATTGTGACTCATGAGAATGAGATTTGTCGCTATAAACGTTCCCTATTCAAAGGTATCAACGAGGCCTTGCGACTCTACAAAATGGATGTACGAAGTTTGGAAAATGAGCTTGATGATCCGTGTTTGTCTTTGACCGCGTTCAGTAAACTCAGAAGATTTATACCAATTCACCAAGATATTATACAGATTCTTGAAACATCGGAGAAAACCAACCCCATGGAAACTTTAGATTCAATTTACAAAAAGTGTTTCTCACCTCATCCATTTTCCCGGTTAATCTTTGAAAGAATGTACAAAATCGCTTCGAAACCTTTGTTTGATGATATTTGGTATTGGATGATTTATGGTCACTTAAGTGACCAAGGGAAGGGAAAATTTTTCATTGAATCAAATGATTCAGGATTAATTATTCTCTCAGGTTCACTGTTTCCATCATTTCTTAGTCAAAGTATTTGTAGTAAAATCTATTTCGCCGGTAAAGTTGTCAGAAGCTTCACCTGTAAAGGTAAATGTAACCGGTGATAAACAATTAAAACGGAAAATAATCATCTTTAATTTCTGATATTTAGGTGATTCTCTCTCTCAAATTTTTGACGATAAACGAGCTGAACTTTTGGAACAATATCAATCGATCATTGAAAAGCCTACTTTTGAGAAATTGGACTTCGAGCTTTTGATTGAGCAAATTCGAACGATTTGTGCCAAGGTAAGTGTTAGCAATATTAGTTCTATCTCTGAGAACTTATCATGGTGAAAATTTTCTCTCGATTCAACAGATTTCGATTGGACATGTTTTCGAGAAAGAAAATCTTCAAATGTACCTTAAATTGATCAAAGACTTTGTCTTAGCGGGAAATGAAGATTTGTTAGGATGTTTCATCAACAATTTATTCGTAACTTTACAAAAAAAACCAGCAAATCGACGCAAGTTGGAAAAAGGTAAAGATCCAAATTAGTAAATCAATTAAATTCTAATTGTTCTCTTTTCGTTGTTTACAGGAGTTATGCTTTCGCTTAGTAATACGCTGATGGACTTTTACAGTTCCGAAAGGCTGGAACGTGTTTCTAATTGTATTAGTATTAAACTGGCGGGAACAGTTGATTACAATAAATGGCCATCGACTATTATTGAATTTTCATTCCCAGAAACTGTCAAGTCCATCATTAGAAATGATCACCTAATCGGGTTTGTTGGTTTCGAATTTTTTTTCTAAATAATCAAATTAACCAAATTCTATTTTTCTCTTTGTAATAGATATAACAAAATTTTCAATTTCTGTGTAAATTTATATCGAGCTAAAGAAACTCTGACTGAAGGCTGGCGATCGCTAATCAAGAACAAAAATAAAAAACCGATCTATTGGTTTCTTCATCATCGATTGTTATTAATTATTGGACATTTATACTACTTTTATAAAGCAAGTTGAAACTATTCTTCATCAATTTCGTATTTTAATTGTTTCTTTACTCATCTACAAATAGGTAAATGTAATTGAAAGACTTTATTATGAATTTACTTGCGTTGTTGAATCTTGTCAGGATATTGAGATTCTTATTGAAACTCATCATCAATTTGTCGTTAAACTGGTCACACAATCGTTATTGGATATTGATGCAGTGAGTTGATTGAACAATTTATTAAACAAGAAGCTTGTTACTAATTATTTTCATGTCGATTGATTTAACAAACTCACTCTTAGGTTTCCATGACTTTGAATGATCTTTTCACATTCATTGGTAAAGCTTGTAATCAAATGGACGATAAACTGACCTTTAAAAATGTTGAAGATCTTGAAAAGGTATTGAATTAATTATATTTCCAACTACTATTACTTAACCACAATTAATTCAATTTTTTTCTTCCATTCTAACAGGAACTCAGCCAATTGTGCTCCAAATTGGATGGCTTATTTACAAGCCTTAAATCCTATTCCATTTGTCCAACTTTGTCACATCTTGTGATTCAAATTCATAAATGTTTAGGTTATCAATCAAGAAATTTTTGATTTAACCCAATGAAAAATATTCATATTTGATATTGTGATAGTTTTACTTTGTAATTTCATTGTAAATTTCCGATACACTTAACTTCAATAAAGTCTCACATTAAGTTTCGAGCCGAAAAAAATCAGCTCAAGTTAATGATTTAGAAGCAGTAATAAATTATTACTAATAATTGTGGTTCCTGCACACGAGGTTAATTTTTGCTTTCTCAATTTCTTTTATAATGGATTCTGCTAATATTTTATTTTCTGAGAATTTTATTGTAATTGATGATAATTGTGATAATGTTGTCGGTGAAAATGTCAACAGAATTCATTGTGAAGGTGAAATAACCAAAAGTGATCTTTTACTCGATGTTTTGTCTTCGGTGTTCAAAGTAACCAGCGGTCAAACTCTTGAAGTTTTGTTAGTTAAGGAAATACAAGATCCTGTTGTCGATTTCGCCGAAAATGGTGACCCTATTCCTCGAGTTGACCCATTGGACACTTCATCAATTCTACCCGAATACTCATCATACGAATATATTGTTCACGGAAAAATCTATGCAATAGAAAATAAGATGATTGGTACTGAGCCGATAATCGCAGTTCTTGCTTCGTTTGGTGGTTTATTGTTTCGTCTTCAATTACCATTAATTTACTCATCTAGTTGGGTAATTGACAATAATTTATTTCTCCTAATTAAACATCAGCTCTCGTTAATGCAACCACCGACTATTCATCAACCCGAGAAAAAGGTCAAAAAGGAAATCAAAGTTAAGATGGAACCCGATTCATCATGAAATTCACCGATAAACTAACATCTACAGTTGATTGTATTTCGTTATTTATTTGATCAAATTAATTGTAACTTTTATTCTGACAATCAATTAAAGTCTCACGTTTCAACTAATCATTAATTGCCAATTATTGGTGTTTTTTCATAACATTAAAACATGTGCTTTTGAAGAAAGAGAGAGAGTTTATTCTGCGAGTTAATTTTTGATTCAATTCATTGAATACTCCGATTGTAATCATATTTACTACAATGACAATATACTGACAATATATTAAAAAAGTAGATGTTGAGAAAATTAATTATCAAAAACTGTAACAACTGATTCTGAAGATGAAAATATTACATTAAGCAATTAATAAAGTTTGTGTTGTCTTTGAAACAGATTTACTGTTTTGGCGAAAGATGATCAAGGAGCCAGAGAAGACAATTCATCTCAACGTCTAAACCATGAGATGTTTTGCCAATACTGTGATTGTCTTCATATACAAGGCACTTTGTGGCCACTCCACGGGCTTTTAGTCCATAGTAATAAGCTAAACCTTGGCACATAGCAACTCGTTTATCTTTGGTACCAAGGACCATTAGGACTGGCGTTTTGACTTTATCGATGTGGACAATTGGAGATCTGAGCATAAGATTTGACAAAAGATCTGATGAAGGTAAAGTGGTCAGTGGGTAAGATTCCAGTGAGCCAACACCTTCAACTAAATGCCAATCAGGGATATCTGATGTTGAGAAACCGGCGGCAAGATCAGTAACGGGATTGAGGGGACAACAAGCACGAAAACCAAATTCGCTATGTTGACCAATCAAATGTGTAACCAAGAAACCACCATGACTACCACCATATAAACAGACTTGATTTTTATCGACTTCTTTCCGATCAATGTAATAATTTAAGGCTTCCATACAATCGGCAACGTCTAATTCACCAACTTTACCACATAAAATTTTATCGTGAGCTGAATTTATTCCTACAGATCCTCTGTAATTAACCAAAATCACTTTGAATCCAACCTCAGCCATAATTGCAACTCTTGGCATGTAAGTGGCAACGAATGAGCTATGGGGTCCACCATGAGGAATTAATATAGTCGGGGTGGGTTTGCCGAAAGATTCTTTGGGTCCGATGAGAATACAAGTGATTAATTGTTGGCCATTAGTTGAATCGCTTTTCAATATCTTGTCACATCTGAAGTCAATTTCATCTCGTCTCACCACCAAATCGGGATCGACTGATGTTAATTGGGTTATTTGATTGTTCTTCAATTTACCAATCTTTATATTAGATCCCATATTCGGTTGAGTTAAATTGAGAACAATTATATCATCACGAAAATCTAAAATGGAAACTACTTGACCCCCTTCGACTGGAATGAGTTGTCTTTGACCATTTTCTGCATCAACCAAGAAAATATGAGCTCGATAAACAAGTTCTGGGTTGACGATTATTTTCTTATCATCTGATGTCCAACACCTTTTAGGTAAATAAAGGGAATAAAATGTTTCGAAAGTCGTTGGTGCATCGGGTTCATTAAGTTGTGAACTTCCGACATCGATCAGAGTTTTGACTTGTCCATCTTTCAAATTGAGAAGGGTCAATGATGATGCACCAAAATGTGGACCTGAAGATGGATTGACCAAGAAAACAATCTTGCTTGAATCATTACTGACTCGAGGGCTTCTTACTGATTGATCAAAGTTTCCGCCGAAAATGATGACAGGATCTGATTCGGGATCACGTAAGTCACATTTGTAGAGACATGATTTTCTAATTGGACAGAAAATGAGACCTAATCGACGAGGTTCCTCTTTTATCCCGACGAATCCAATAGTTTTATTGTCGATCCAGAAACCTTCGCTGCAAGATACATCGGGTATGTCAATGGTCCGTATCTTGTAATCATCGTTAAGATCAACTATATAGACCATCGGATGACAAGTTCCCTCGAGTTGTTCACCCCAATCCTCCTTGATTAGATATTCATCACCTTGACCGGTGGTTTTCACATCTTCACCTTCACTTATTTCCTTGTCGCCATTTTTATCATCACTTTTTTTCTTATCACCGAAAAATCCACTTGTTGTTTTAAATTTTTCAGCGATAAACATCAATTTAGCTCCATCACGAGACCATTTTGGAGAACCAAATGTCTCAAACAAATGAATTGTACCAAAACTCTTATCTTTTCCTCCATCCAAAGTCTTGAGTAGACCTTTTTTTGACCAAAATTCGATGACTTGACCACTTTTCCCATCTTTGCTGGTGTCACGGACAATCGCTGTCAATTTACCATCGAAAGTTGAAATGCGACAAAGTTCACTTGCCACACCTTGACCACTAGAAACATGAGTAATAGAATTGACCAGATCGTCACCTTGCAGATTAACAATATAATCAGAAAAAAATTGTTTCTTTTCAACAGAAATCAAATCAACTTGACTATAGTTTACTCTTAAATTGTAGTTTATTGATGAAGATCCAATAGGAAGTAACGAAGCTGATACAGCATTTCCAGTTGAACCATATTTTGTGAAGATGTTGATCAAATTGTCAATCACCACCGAATTAGATGAAGGCAAACCTTTAATTTCTCGACACAAGTTGATTAAACGGGAAGACATGATGAAAAAGAATCAAACAATGACAAAGAAAGTCTACAGCGTAATTGAAGACAATTACTAATCCAATCAGTGGGTCTTTCAGATAACCCAAATGACTAACTATGTAACTTTAAACCAACAATCAAGAACAAAGAGCAATAAGATTTAAATTACTCTTTGATCAAGAACCAGAAATCTAACCATAAACAGAGAAAATGAGCCGCGATTTTCAAAGCCACAACTTGAGGCGAATGTCTGATTGTGTCCATTTGATAGAAAAAGCATCTTCGATCAGAATCAATAGATTAATGGACTTTTAAAGTTCCAACATATTTCAATTGAACACTTGATTATAATGAATAAAATACTAAACAATTTATCATTAAACAAGAAGCACAATTGTTATTAACATTTCTTTCATGTCAATTTATTCAATCAACCAATTGATTTAACAAACTCACTTTTAGGTTTCCATGACTTTACATCATCTTTTCACGATCATGAGAGCTCAAAGCTTGTGTTTATTATGGAAATTTCATCGTTAATCACTTAGTCTTATCACTCAATCGTTAATAAAGTTAAAATAAATTCTAAAATTAATGAAATGATTATTGTAACAATTAATTTCTGTTTTAATTGAAAGACAAAAAGAGAAGAAAATGAGATCGATTATCGATTAATCGATAGAGGGAACGAGCTGTCAGGCTGACAAGTTGGAAGGGAAAATAACAAGAGCCTTGTTGGAAAAGACATTTTGTTTTCTTTCATTTTGATTATTGTGACAATTAATTAATTACTTTTCATTTTATTTTTTCTTTTCTCTTTGTTACATTCTTAAACTATGTTAAAAGGTAAGAGAGGAAGAGGAGCTCGAACAGCTCCTACTCGAGGAAGCACCAGAAATAAAAAGACTAAAGATGTTCAACCAATTCAACGGGTAAGTTATACGCGGGGTTTTGTATTTATGTGTTTCTTTTTAGATGTCTCACTTTTTTCTTTCACAATGATTGTCTAATTTTTTCTTTTCATTATTCATTTTATTCCATCATATTAGGAAATTGAAGAAAATAAAAAGTCTCTGATTGAAGAGAAAAAAATGGAAACGATAGTTGAACCTGTTTCAATTGGTAGAAGTAAATTTTTTGAATCTCGAGAGCAAACACAAATTCATGCACCAATCTCTGCACCTTCACCTCCACCACCATCACCACCTAAACCAGAACGAATGGAAACAAGTTCAACCATTGCATATCATAGTAATAGTGATACTGAAGAAGAATCTGGGGATGAAAGTACGAATTACTATGATGCAGTTGATGGTAAGAATCATTAATTTCCTCAATCTAATTCATGTACTAGTCTCTAAATAAGCATAAAATTGAAATGCCGCTTAGTCATCAAAGAGATTGACATTGTTAGTCATCAAGTCTGTTCTCACATGTTTTCTGTGTTTCATCTGATACTTACCTGAAGTTTAGTCTCCCCAAATTTATGCATTACTCTTACCATGATGTTGATTTCGTTCAGAGTCAATACCTTTTTATTTATTATCTCATGTTACTGGTTCAAAATTTTACATTCAAATGAATTGAAATACATTTTTTCTTTTCTTTTTAGTTGTGGCACAAGAAACTGAAAACAGAGAGATCAGAGAAGAATGTCACAAATTTTTTTCTAGTCTAGATTTTATCATGGAACCAGATATTATTAGTCAATTGAAAAGATATTTCCAAGCCGGTGGTAGTCCAGAAGAGGTTGTGACCCTTTTATCTGGAAATTACCATGGAATAGCTCAAACAGTGAACCTTTTAGCCGAATGGTTGATTATGACTGGTATGAAAATAGCAGAAGTTCAGTCACTAGTTGAAGATCATCTTAAACAAATGATTATGAAACGATTCGATCCCAAAAAAGCTGATTCCATTTTCGCCGATGAGGCCATCAAAACACCTATTTGGTTGACGGAGATGATCGAACATCCAACATGGCGTTCACTTATTTATCGTTTAGCCGAAGATTATCCCGACTGTCTTATGCTGACTTTTACCATTAAATTGATCTCAGACGCCGGTTTTCAGGGTGAAATCACAAGTATATCAACAGCTTCACAGCAATTGGAAGTGTTTGCCCGGATTTTGAAGACATCAGTAAACAATTTCCTCGACGGAAGTGAAGATTATATGAAAAAACATATCGATGAATTTACTAAGATGGTTTGTCACAGTGAACACACTTTTCTCTACAGTTGTGCCATTTTGCATGTTTTATCTCAAGAAAACAAAGGAGGTACAATAATCAAAAGACTTTTACAAGAAGTGACCCAAAGAGCATCTAAAGATGGACACAATGCAACCCCAGTTCTTGTTGCCTTAAATGGAGCTTGGGCTCACCTCAGAGTAACACAAGCTTTGGCAGCCATGTTAAGTAAAAACAATCTTAATCCAGCTGATATAACTGTATTAGCCAAAGCATATCAGGCACCTGATCCACCGCCGGTTGATCTTCTTCGTATACCACAGTTTCTTGATCTCCTTTTGACCATCATATTTAGACCAACATCGAAAATAAATCCTGAACACAAGCCTAAATACATTTATCTATTAGCTTATGCAACAAGTGTTCACGAGACATGGAAAAAAAGTGTTCGTAAGAATATTAACCGGGAAGAATTAAAGGCCACCAATCAAGCAATCGAAAAAGTGAACATAATTAGTAACGAAAAGAAAGGATCGTCCGAATTACTTCCAGAACTCAATACACTTTATCAATGTATTAGATTTCCTGTTGTCGCTCTTGGTATCATTGAATGGGTAAAGTACTTGGTCAGTGATCGAAGTTATTTTCAGTTGTCCACCGAACACACACCTTTACACTTGGCTCTTCTTGATGAAGTTGCCACTTGTCACAACACATTACACAACAAAGTATTAGATCTTTTGATTCATCTCTTTGAATCTCCACATGACGAGTTAGATGTTTTGGTTCAATTGGAGGTGAAAAAGATGCTCATCGACCGTATGGTTCACGTTTTAAGTCGAGGTTGTGTTGTACCTGTTGTAAATTATATGAAATCTTTATGGCAGAAACAGGCTGCTGATGTATCTCTCATACGATATTTTGTCACCGAAGTTCTTGATGTAATTAGTCCTCCATATACTCCAGACTTTGTTCAAATATTTTTACCACTGGTTGAAAATGAAGAGATTACCGGTAACATGAGGAAAGAACATGAAAGTACTTTGGTCTCACAATTTATCACCGAAACAGGAGGAACATGATGAAATCCTCTTTCCAACCAAAATATTCAATTTAGCAAAAGTGTCTTTTAATCAACTGTATCAAATCTCATCCCGGTGCAATTCATCAAAAAAAAAAATCATCGAAAATCGTGACTCAAGAACATAAACAAAACTCATCCTGAGAAAATTCATTGTTCTTGAGGATCGAAAGGTTTCCTGAATTTGGATTGAATAAAGATCCTGGGTACCGATAGACCTTCTTTTTTGTTGACAGTTTCTTTTCGTACAAATTCATTAGAAATTAATTCGAACCCACTTTTTGTGAAAATGTCCAACACTTTCTCTGCAAAAGCGAAAAACATTATTTTTAAATCTATACAAATCAATATTTTTTCTGTACATTTTTCTCACTCGACTGATTTTTGTTGTAATAGTTTCAATCAAGAAATTTAAATCCAAGACGCTGAATAATCAAATTAAGGTAAACAAATTGTTCAAGTCAACTCACTTTTTGTGAAATAAAAAGCTCTTGTACCATCTTGTCTAACGTAAAAGTAATCACTTATTTTGTGACCATCAGCGAAACGGATCATCGCATGATCGAAAACACCATAATCACGGAACAAAACAATTCCACCAGGACTAAGAGCCTGAAGAAAGTATTTAAGTGAAAATTAATTGAATGTTGATAAAAGTTTCTCATTGGAAAAATACCTTGAAGATGTTATCAACAGCAGAATCCATGTTGTCAGGAGAAATAGCTGACAGAACGAAAACCAAACTAATTAGATCAATTTTTCCAAGAAAATTCATTCTCTCAATTTCACCAAGAAAAACTGATTCATTTGTAATATCGGCGACAAAAGCTTTACATTTACTCTCATCGTAAAGTGGATTAGTTTTAAGTAAATCAACTGCAATCGGGGAGAAATCACAAGCAAGAAAAAAGAAATTATATCCACTTTTAATCAGTGGAAAAACAAAATTTCCAACACCACATCCAACCTCAAGAAGAACTTTATTGTTGATTGATTGGTCAGCCATCGTATTGGAATCAATTTGTTTCTCCGTAATTAGCTCAACAAACTCTCGTGTAGTCCAATGTCGATCCTTAAAGAAATGATCTCTATTCCGTTTATAGAAAAGGTCCCAATTCTTTTTAGCCTCACGTTCCAATTTGGCCCGATGGAAATTAGATATACATTGATCACCCGCTATTTTCTCAATTTCTGACTCACTTAATTCTCTGGGAACATTTTCCTCTAGTAAAATTTGTCTAATCGACTCCATTGATCAAGTTGACAACAAAAAACGAATAACCAAATTAGCCAAATGAAAATCCAACGACGAAATTAATTCCAATAAATCACAGTAAAACTGTGACAACAAAAGTAAATCAAACTGGATCAATGAATAATAAACAATTTAGAGAAAGACAATTAGTGACACGAATCAAGATTAATCAATGAAAAGAAATTAAATTGAAACCTCTTCCATCGAGAAAGATACTTAAACATATGGAGAATCAAAAAAGACAACGAGTTAACTTGTTCACTAAACCGGTAGATTTAAATGATTGAGATTAATTCTTTTACAAAACCAGAATTCAGGGAAGAAGCAAATTCTAGAATTAGTTGAATCACTAATAAAAATGGAATCAATGAACAGTATCAGGAAGAGAGAAAAAAAAATCAAAACAATCTATTCACTTGTATTTCATATTCTTTTCTGTATTTTGATAACAAATAAAAGAATTTTTTTCTTTACTTCCATTTCAATAATCCCTCTTCTCTTCAACAACAATTCAAATTCCCTTAATTCGGTGTTAAAACAACATGATTAACCTTGATTAAGAAAGAATAGTTGACGTTGAATTGGACAAAAAGAAGGTGGAAATTCATATTTACCTGAATACGTTGGACCGACGGATGAATCACTTTAGAATTTTTCTTTTCTACCAAAACCATTGACCGATTTTAGAGAAGAAAAAAAGCCGAACAATTGTTCTATTCTCCAATGGAAACAAATTGTTATTCTTTGATACCTTAGTTTTAATTGATTACCCTTTTAAAAGAATTTAATTACTTTTGTTAATTATTACAATTTTTTTTTCTTTTAAAAGTGAGTGTTTATAAATCGCCATGGTTACCACCAGAAAGGTAAACTTACCATATGATTGTCTTTTTATTTTCTCTCATTTTTTTCTTACTTCTTTCTACTTAATTGTCACCCGATTTTTGGATTGAATTTTTACTAATTTACTAATCACAATCATTTTTCAGCAACGTAAATCTGTACGACATCATCCTTATGATCCAAACCAAAGTGACATTGTCAACATGAGTGAAACAAGTGCTGGAGATGAAGTTAAACAAGAAAAAGACAAAGCGCAAATTTTAGCGGAAGGATTTAAATTGTAAGTTAATTAATCCATTTTAACCTTTGCTTGTTTGTATTGTTAATCTATTAGTGTTAATTGCTTCTCTTTTTTCTTAATTTTCTCCCTTTCTTTAGGTATAAAATTAGCTTGAGAGATCCTGAGAGTAAACGTATTCTCTGGTCAACCAAAGAAGACATTACAAAGAGCAAAGAGGAATTCAAAGGTATAATTAACTATTAATTTGAATAGAAAAATAATATCAATGGTCATTAATTATTAATTTCTTTCTTTTAGTTACCTTGACAAAGGATGTTTACGATCGGACCAATGATCTATTGATGGAAATTGTTTTCTCTTCAGCCGAACCGATGGAAAATTTTAATCTAAAGAAGCGAATCCTTTTCAAGAATAAATGTCTTGAGGGTTAGTTGATTTCTCTAGAAAAATTTAAAGACAATTAAATGATCAACCTTTAGATCATTAAGATTTAATTTCAACATTAATGATTCTTTTAAATTTTCATCTCTAGAATGGTTCCTTGAATTCGGAGAGGTCAAAGAGAAATCGGCTTACACTTGGCAAGTTGTTTTATCCTCTTCTCCAAATGTTACCAATATGCCTTTCGAAGCCCTCAGGTTAGCATTTCATATAATCGACCTTGACATTGACCGTAAATTCAATTAAATCAACATTTCTAACATAATTAATCTTTTTCTTTACCTGTCTAGTGGACTCACGACCATTGAAACAAAATTCTTTGACCAAGATGTCGAGTTTCATTCTGGTACAATGAAAATTTTTTACGAAGAAATATCATCAGAGTGACAACAATTTATTTTCTACTTTTGATGAAAAGCTTTAAACAAAATCGATGACATTAGCTGCCATTATTAAAATGAATTGTCCATTTTAGAAAAACAATAATTAATTGTTCTATGTCAACAATAAAAAAGGACCGTATTCAATTTTTTTATACCAATACAACAATCAACAATAAATCAACAATTACACCATCACAATAATATTATTAGAATCACTGATTATTTATCGGATTCAAGGGTACAAATCAAATGACACAACTCATGATAACTAAAGTTAACGATTTATAAAAAAGCACTTAATAAGATTATCATTAAGTACATTCGTGAGACAATTAAAACAAATCACTTGACAAAATTTTCACAACAAATGAAAATAAAAAGGAAACATTTTCAATCTTTTCCATCAACCATCAGATTGACCATAACATAGAGATGAAAACAAACAATGAAAATTAACCAAATTACCAAATGATTGAAGATAAACAATTTAAATTATCACATTAAACAAATCGAAACTCGTTACTATGGTCACTAATTTATTCATATGCGTTTAAGCAAATGCTTTGTCAATGGATCCAAATGTTAGATGTCAGTTCACTTCTTGCTCTCAATCTCTTTGTTTACATAATTTGTTTTCTTCATTCTTCTAATTAATTCCAATATTTTGTGTCAATTTCATTGAATTAATGTCTATTCTTGTATAATGTCCACTCTCACCGGTCATTATTGATAAAATAATGCAAGTTAATAATCTAAATCCTGTTAACAGTAACAGTATTGGAAACAATAATAGTCAATGTAATACAAACAAACCAATCAAATGTGTAGTTGTTGGTGATGGTACAGTCGGTAAAACTTGTCTTCTAATCAGTTACACTACGGAGGAATTTCCTGGTGAATATGTTCCCACCGTGTAAGTAGCAATTGTTAAATTGTCTTTATCCCAACAATTAATCATAACCTTGTCAATAGAATTTGTGACTGAAAACAAACCTGCAAGAAGAAAAAAAAATCCCATCAGTTTATCCCTTACATTTATTATTTTGTCTCAAGTGTGAATATCAACCTTTCATTTATTTATACACACAATTAACTCAAATTGTCTTTAAATAGTTTTACCTGACAAAATAATTACCTGGTTATAAATAAATCTCATCATGTGGTTTCCTATTTCTGTTTAAAAACAAAACGAAAATGTTGTTTCCCTGTTTTGTTTACTAGAATTTTGATTGTCCGTTGCATTAATTTATTTTATTTTCTATTTATTTTCACTTTTAGATTTGACAATTATTCGGCATCTTTGATATTTGAAGGAATGACCATTACCCTTGGACTATGGGACACCGCTGGACAAGAAGATTATGATCGACTTCGACCCTTAAGTTATCCACAAACCGATGTTTTTATTATTTGCTATTCTGTTGTGTCACCATCTTCATTTGACAATATTCTCACCAAATGGTATCCAGAGATTAGACATCATTGTCCAGATACACCGATTCTCTTGGTTGGTACCAAGATTGACCTAAGAGAAGACAATGAGACACTTAACTATTTAAGCTCCCAAGGATTGGCACCGATTAAACGTGAACAAGGTACCAAAATGGCGTCCAAAATTCGAGCTTGCAAATACCTTGAATGTTCAGCATTAACCCAACGAGGTGTTAAACAAGTATTCGATGAAGCAGTTCGATCAGTTCTAAAGCCTTTAGCTTCTCATCCCTATCACAATAACAAGAAATTGTGTAATATTATGTGATCTCTAATCCAATTAGCTAATCTGGATTTCTCTCTTAATCATCATCAACACCACAAATTAAGGAAACCAATGTTGCCACAATCTTAGCAAAATCAATCTAATTAACCATAATCATCAATATTTTATCCTTGTCTCCTTTACAAGTTTAACTTTCTTATTCTCCCTGAATGTTACACCTTAATAATTGTGTACTACTCTTGTCAATGGTAGTAAATCATTTATCCATTAATATGATATATTTAAAGGATAATTGTTTACACACCGAAAACCACACAACAACAAAAGCCATAATTACCTTCGTCTTTTAATTTATATTTAACTTTTGTCAGAGGAAATGAATTGAAAAGGAAAAGAAAAGAAAAACATTCTAAATAATTGAATTATTTTCTTTTTCTTAAAAATTTTTCCAAATTTTCGATCATAAATTTACCTTTTAATCGATTCTATTTGTATTACACTCGACCAACAAATTGTAATTGTAAATTGTTAGCAATTAGTTTAATCTTTTCCTCTCTTCGAACCACTTTCTGTACTTTTGGATCCAAACAAATCCACACTCACAAACAACACAAACATAAACATATAAATACTCATACATACAATCCCAAAAGCCCCTCAACTAATTTCAAAAGTAACAAAAACTCGATAAAATTAACCATGATTACTATTAAATGGAAATCTAATTAAAACGATAAAATAATCAAGGTAAAAATCGGAATCTTTTCCAATTCAGAAGGTGGAGATTCATTTCTGCGCATGCGCAGTCGGTTTTCTTCATTTTTGTTGATAAACAAAACTGATAAATGCCACTTTGGCAACAGCAATCATTCAGTGATTCTAATTGTTTTTTTGTTCATCATTTGATTACAACAATCAAGGTAAATCAGATTAAGTTTGGTTAATCTTTAACTCGTAATTTTCCTTTGTTTTATACTCTGTTAAATTTATTCTTTTTGTTGTGTTTGCTCGTTTTGTGTGTCAACTGTAAAGGTAACTCATCATGTCATCAGGGGAAATTAAAATTTATCGTCTTGCTGAAGTTGAACAACATAAAGATAGATCATCAACTTGGATTGTAATTAACAACAGTGTTTATGATGTTACATCTTTCCTTGAAGAGGTAATTGTTAATTTCATCCTCATTCTGCCCTTGCCCATTCAAATTGAATCCAAATTTTTCCAAATTCTCTCAACAGCTTTTTCCCTCTTTCTAATTAGTTGATTAGAATTTGAAAAGCAATCTTATTTGGTTTCAATTTCTCTTTCTTCCTCTTTCTCTTTGCATTTCTTTCTTACATTTTCTAATTCTCTTTTTTATATTCTTTTTTTCTTCCTCATGTGTATTGTCTATCTCATCTATTCAGCATCCTGGTGGTGAAGAAGTTCTCCTTGAGAAAGCTGGTGGAGATTCAACCGAAGACTTTGAAGATGTCGGCCATTCAACAGATGCAAGAGAATTGATGGAAAAATACAAGATTGGTGAACTTCATGAAGAAGATCGATTCGCCGAGAAATCAAAAGAAAAAACAACTACAGAAGAATCCAAATCAAGTTGCAGTATTTTCTAAACTCACAACTCATACTCTCTCCCTCTCTCCCTTACCTGTAGATGCATCTTACCTGAAATCGGCTGGTTATTGCTTATAAATATATAAATATGTTTGTGAAACTTTCCTCATAAACATTATACATACAAATAAATCCTAATGTAATTGACAACGAGGTAAAGAAAAAAAAATTCTGAGTTGAATCAGAACAGAAAAAAAAATGAATAATAAAACTGAACTTATATCCACTTTGTTAATTCTCATGAGCAGTAAGAGCTTTTCGATTTGTTTAATTGAGAGAAAGTCAAGGAAAAATATTGTCCCTTCGGTGAGAATTTGTGATAATCTGTTAATTTCCATCAATCATCACAATTGTAATTCTCTTCTAAACAATTTAATATGATTCAATGAATTGGAATCTTCTCACTCTCTCAGTCATATTTAATTTCCTCTTTCACCAATTATTCCGGAAATAGGCTTGGTTCATCTTCTCATCATCTCCTTTGTCCCATCAATTTGCTCCACTGTTGATTTATGTTCCTTGTTAATTAATTGTAGTTAAACATTCACCAAGTAAACAATCAACTGGTTCTCATCTCATAGTCTCCATTTTCTTGCCTTAATTTTATTCTTTTCACTCTAAATTCTCATCGGTCAAATTGAACCAAAATTCTCACTTGATGATTAGTTAATTTGATTCTTGATTCTTCAATTCCTATGGTTCCTTAATCTTTGGTGTTGATAGAAATTCAGTTTTCAATGTTCATCGGGACTCTGGTGATTTCCAATGCGTTGGTGTGTTGAGGCTGAAATATTGACCAAAAGAGAAGAAGATAAGTGAGAAAGAGAAACAATTGAATTGTGGGCCATTGGAAGATAAAAGAGAGAGAGAGAGAGAAATGAAGAAAGCAAATGTTTAAAGGAAAGAAAAAAAGTAAGAAGAGAAAGAGGAAGATGATTGATGAGAGAGAAACGACCAGACCAAGAAGATTAGCCTCTGAGAGAGCGAAGGTAAGTTTACTCTTGCTTTTAAATTTTCTCTTCTCTTTCTATTAAATTATTCTAATTGTAATTAAATTTAATTTCCATTTTAAATGTTACCACCTTCTAATTAACAGTATCCTTCATCTATTGAAATACAAATTAAGTGATTATTGTGGATACAAATTGTTATTAATTGACTTTTTTAATTTTCTTCTGTGTTTCCTATTTTCAATTTGCTCTTCTTTTTTCCTACACCTCTCATCTTCTCTCTCTTTCTCTCTCTTTCTCTCTCTCTCTTTCTCTATTTTCCTCTATTTCTATTTCTCTTTCATTTTGTTTCTCTTTTCACTCTCTTTTATCTGTCTTTCTCTCACAGGCTTATTTCTTGAGCGATGCTTCAATTTCAAAGCAATTGGAAAAGGAGGAAAGAGATCTAAGGAAAGCTCTAAAAGTCTCTCGAATGGAAGCTTTGAGAGCCCGAAAGAATGGCAATGAGAGCAAGAGTGTAAATTGTTCATCGTCTTCTTCATCAACCACATCTACCTCATCATCTAAATCATCCTCATCTTCTTCATCTTCATCACCCACATCTCCTCTTTTATCTCTACCAACTACACCAAAAACCACTACCAAAGGAACAAGAACTGCCTCTGTAAACCAAAAGCTCCAAAGGAAAATGGGTAAACCTAAACCAATGGAAATATCAACAAAAAACATCAAAGGTTCTGGTAAAACTATGAACCAGGTTAAGCCCATTGACGATGATGAAAAACCAAAGTCTCCAAAATGGATTATCCGAACCCGAAGTCAAAATCCGAATAATAACAATAATTCCAACTGCCAGCTTGTGAATTACTCATTGGATTCTACGGATAAAGAAATGTTTAATTGTGATAAACAAAAAGCAACAACAACAACAACAATAACAAATCAATTAAATGGCAAAACGATTGATCCAATACAATCTAATGGTACAACCAAAGGTATTTTACCTTCACCTTTGATACCATGTGCCAATTTACCTTCAGGCAAAGATAATGGTCTCATTGGTTTAATTCCTACAGTTAATGGTGAAAATTGTGATAAACCTCGACCCAGGATCATGGCACAGAGGAAATTTGCATCTATTACATATAATTGTAATACTTACCTTAAACCTCGTGATTCCGATTTATCTCCAATTAAGGAATTGTTCACCAAACATAAACCATCGGCAGAAGATTTTCTAACTTTCCTGTGTTTCAAACGAACTGATTTACTGCCACCTCATCTTGATTTCTATTCTCTTAACAATATTACCTCTTCTTCTTCTTCTGATGGTTCTAATGTACCATCTAATGGTATTAATACTACAATTACCAACGATAAAACTGCCAACGGGATAAATCCCGTAAATTTATCCGATAACAAATCCACCGTTAAACAGCCATCAAACACTAGCAACAATTCATCTACCTCTGCAATTAAAACAAATTCTAGAAATATAACAAATGGTAAAGTTCAACAAAGTTGCCGAAAACGAGCTATGAATTTTATAATTCGAAAAAGTGTCGATAATCGGAAGAAAGAACCTGATCTGGTGCATGCGAATCAAATGAATCGTAAAAATTGTATAAAATCAAGTAACAAAAACAATTCCGATTGTGGAACATTGAAAACCAATCAAAGGACAAATAGGACAAACACTTCAGGTCGACCATGTAAATCACCAAAAAAGTCAACATCAAGAAGTGATGAAAATGAAGTTAAAAGATCACCTTTGAAAAAGCCCCCGAAGGCATCGTCCTCATCCCGCCACAAATCTCATACCGAAGTCAAATTCACTACCTTCAAGGAAAAGATAAATACTAATCCAAAGGTTGATCAGAAGACAATTAATCCAATTATAAATGGGAAAGTATCCAAAAAATCTCAACCTAAACTGTCTAATCTCAATCCCGATACAAGAGACAGAAAAAAGGTCGAGAGAAAAGTTAATTGTGATCGTATTCTTCGGTCAAATCGTGCATCTAGTTCAACATCGAGTACTGAACCATGTTTGATCGTGGAAACACCTCAAGAAGTATTAACAAATGGAAAGCGTTCTAATATAAAAGCAGAAAAATTGGATTTAACAACAATTATGATCAATAGTAAACCTGAGAAAAGTGCAATAAATGGAAACCCTGTTGATAAATTAGATAGAAAAAGAAAATGCAATGTTGCCGATATTATCGTTGTGGATAATGTTAAAAAACGCCGAACAACAACTGCCCCACAATCAACAGTATCCACCAATTGTGAGTCACGTCGACCCAAGAAAAGCGGAACAATCGAATCATCACCTGAGACAATAACATCGATCTCCGAACAATTGAGAAAAGACTCGACCACCAAGTCCGTTGGCCACAATCGAATTGAGACCAGAAGTCACGCGAAAAGATGAGAGACAAATAAAATTTATGGAACATCAAAATTGGACATTGTTTTTATCCTTCTCACTTCTCGAAAAAAGGACTTTATTCTCAAAGTTAAATTTATTTGTTTGCCTCTTTTTTTATATTTTTATATTTATAATCAACGAGCTTGATCCATATGAACGCTGGTTCGTTATATCCTATCTCTCTCTCTATTTATCATCCCATCTCCATCCTTTCCCCGCATCCTTGAGCACAATTAACTTATTGTTATACATTCAATCAGCTCAGTCACTTTCCTCATCATCGTTTCTCATCTCAATTAATTTTGATTGATTCAAAGGTTGCTCGACATCAGACCTGTCAGATTCAAAGAAAGTAAATTGTGTTAGCATTTATCAAGAAAAAAGAGTAAATTTTACAATCACAATATACCAAGAGAAAAATGAATGAAAATTAATTCTCTTATAAGAAACTAATTGTTGATTCCTATTCTCATCTTTCTCTTTTTTCAACGAATCAATTTAATTGCGTTAAAACCAAAAATACATCAATATATATATCAAGTAACGATATTAAACTAAATTGAATAGTAATTTAAATTGACTATTCTCAAATTTTTGGGCTAAATTGTTGAGACCAATCAAGGAAACTTGAAAAGCAGAACATTTTTCAGAGAATTAATTTTCTCAGTGAACCAATTAACGGATAAAAAATTAACTTACCCATAAATAACATCCTCATCAGAATCATTGATCATGGAAAGAGTTGGATTGTCTCGGACTACACGTGAATCTATTTAATTGTGATTTGAACGGAAGGAAACAATTAAGTAGTGAAATAGAGATCAATGTTACAAGAAAAACAGGAAACAATTTAGTGAAATAAAGGATTAATTAACTGATTTGTTTCCTTTTTTTCTTCATTACTCAAATCAATCAATCAAAATTGATCACAATCAAGTCTCACTATTTGTAAATTCAATTAACCATTTCCCTAGCATGGATTATATTTGCTTCATTGAAAACATTTAGATTCGGATCAATGGATTATTTTAGATTAATGGATTAATCAAACTTACCCATTAATGAGGCTGATGATGGATAATAAAAATATGCTGCAATACAAATGTAAAGATTTGAAATTGAAAAGATGGACAAGAAAGATGCCGAAGATGTGGTCTGATAGGTCATCGGGAGCAGTTGAAGATATGGAATTTGGGTTATGTCCGTTTTACCAAGAATCGAATCGGATGCCGTCGGTGGTTTCGAAAGGATAAATTCGAGGAAACAAATGGTCAAAGTGAAACACAGAAGAAAAGTTTGAATTTTAAGGCGAAGGTCAAAGTATGGCATTGATCGAAGTTCCGTAAACGCGGTCAGTAGAAGAAGAACCAAGTAGATGAAATAGATCAAAAATAGAAGATAAAAGAGGAAATTACAAGTCTATGGGTAGAAAATGAAAAGAGAAATGTTAGTTCGATGAGAGATTTTCATGAATCGAATCAATTTATTGATAATCTGACCTTCAACAGCATGGAACCAGAATAAGCAGTTTCTTCATCTAAAGTTGGATTCTCCATTTTCTTAATTCTTGACCAATTGGCACCGTAAAGGATAATTAACCAGAGAGTTCCAACAATCAATAATTTAAAACCATAGAAACGAATCAGTGGTCGATTATTTTGCCGAATCCCATGGAAAAAGCAAATCCAAAAGAGTAGAACTGAACAAGTGAATGTTGTTTGGAACAGAATCTCCAAAATATGAGGAAATTTGGAATTTGAAAGATACATTAAAGGATAGAATGGATCTAAAGAGAGAGAGAGAGAAGAAAACAGTCAACAATTAACACTAATTGTCAAGAAAAAAACAGATTACAAAACTCACTGTTGTACAATATTAGCGCGATTAATAAAAACGAAGTCCATTTTTGCTCCATTGACCAATCGGCAAAATTATATCGATACAAACAATGATTAAACCAACACTGAAGAAAAGGATAAAAATGAAAAGATTAGATGATAAAGTTGATCAGCTCGTTGAATATTTAATCAGTTAATTACCGAGGTTATGAATGCAATCACTAGAAAGATGAATCGAAACCAAATAGTTAAACTCGTAAAGGATGGATTAATTGATTGGAAAGTAAAGTGAATATCGGTGATTGGATTTTTCTTATTAAAATGTTCTAAATCGGCAAATCTAATAGTAATTGTGTAATCAGAGTATTCCAAGTATTCTAGATGAAGAGCTTGAATTGGATCACAAGAATTACCATTACAATCAAGGTGATGATATCGACCACCACCAGAATCAAAGGATTCCTCTAATATGGTATTGACCATCGGTAAAGTATCATTGGTACCACCGAAGCCCATTGATCCAGTATCTTTACGATGATGATTATTGTTGTTAATTGTACTTTTCCCCTCAATGTTAATCGTAATGGTGAATCTTTTCTGAAAAGCACCCGAATCTGGTTCACCTTTAATATAAAACGTTATCCAAAGGCAAATGTAACCCGAATAGGTTGACATCTCAGGTACCGAGATCCTAAATGGACCAGAAACCAGGAGATTTTGTTGTACCGTTTTATTGACCTTGTCTTTCTCAAATATCTGTGAGGCCTTCAGAGTGTCCAGTTTGGTGACATTCGGTCCAGCAAGTCCGATGAATAAAAGTAATATAAAACAAGATAAAAAACCAGCTAAAGATAATAAGATCTCCCGTTTATGAATAGCATAAATATTCATATGAAGTGACCTGTTGGTTGATCGGAAAATTGTCAAAATTAAACGAAACAATTAGATTTGTGATAACAATTAACTTTACAAGTCTTAGGTTGACACATCTTAAACACCGGAACCTTTTTGTTTGCTTGTTTTTTAAATTAATTGAATTTGTCCAATTCCGGTTGATTGAATTGAGAAGCAAATTGAATTGATTTAAACCAAATGATTTTTGTTTGATTATTAATTTGAAATTGAAAATCGATCACAATTTATCTCTAAGATTAATTAATCTCTTTGTTTACATTGTTAATCGTTAACCTGCCAAGTGTTTACAGAGATAAGTTGATAAAAGATTATCATGATTACCGATAATTAATTGATTAACTTACCTTTCACACCGATCATGATAATAGGTTGGAGCAATATAACGACGAAATTCACTGAAAAAATCATTTAATTGATTACGAGTTTTAAATAGTAAACTCATCGTGTTGATTGTTGAAAGTAAGATCAGTGATTGATTTTTGATTATCACAAGATTAAAGGTTTAATCGAGATTAATTGAGGACAATTTGAGATTCTTACAATTGTTTAGATTGTATTAATTGGATACATGGGAAAAGATTGAATTAATTATGGATTTAGAAAGATAGTAATTAGATTTCCAATCGGATTTCTGGTCAATATTGTCAGATAATTGTTACTCTTTCATATGGAATGATACAAAAAAAAATCCTTTGGTAAAATTGGATAAGAATCTAGGAAATAATATTATTTTTCGAAGGCGAAAAAAGAAAGGGAAAAGAAAGGGAAAGAGAGGAGGAAACTTTTCAATTCTCGAAGCGCATGATAAGTTGAACTGTTCAGTTTTTGCCGATCGATTGATGTTCTTGTCAAAGTGATAAACTCGATGGTTACAATTTAACCTCTGGCAGCTAATCACAGGGACACCCGCGTACATTGAATTCGAGGGTTAATTAGATGATTGGGATTCGTGAATTAGTTTAATTGTTGATGTGTTTGATTTTTTTCTTCGCTGATGTTGTTTCAATTCGAGCCACAGTTTTAACGGTTGTCTCAATGGTTAGAACATTTTTACTGGTCAATACATCGAGAAGGTCAACGGTCATTGATGATTTTGTCTCTACCTGTTCATCGGTCACTCCTCGGACAATTGAATGTTGATGTAATTGAATTGATTTAACAAATTCACTCAGAACTGACAATGAATCTTTAATTATACTCGATGATCGTGGTGTTTGACTTAATTGTTGTATCGGTGATGAAGGTGGAGTTGATTGTGAAGATGCTTGGGAAGGAGGTTTAGATGATTGTCCATCCGATGACATAGTTCACCTTATTAAGAAATTAACTAATCAAAGACTAGAAGGATTATAATCAGTAATTAAAATCTTATTTGTATCTCAACAATTGAATTATAATTAGTCATCAAAAGAGCAACAGAAACTAATTGTTGTTACTTTTACCGCGATTATCAAATTTGTTTCCAATATTTATATCATTAAATGATTAGATTAATTTAATAAAACAATAAGCATTTACTAATCATGAAAACAATTAGTCGATTGTTTCAATGTAACAACATGACAAATATTACCAATTGTCTTCTAATACATTTTAACATGCAAGTGAAATTGTGTTTCAATGAAACAAAATAATAGAAAATGATAACAATCAACTGGTAACTTTTAATTAGCAACAAATTGTCATCACAATTTAAATGTGTTCTCATTTTAATCAATCAGCTGATGTTTCAATCAACTATCAGTCTCTTAGCAACTCAGATGATTACAAACTCATTAAAGAATCAGCTCTCTTTCTTGCTCTCTAACAATAGTAATGATCCATTTGTGATACAATCAAGAGAGTCAATCAATCTGTCGTATCATGATTAATGAGTCACTAATTAAACATCTCAATTTCATTTCATTGTTTATCCATAATAACAGTGCCATCTATGTGATTATCATTTCGGTTTATGGTTTTTATCAACATCAAACATTAGATATTTACAATATTTAATATGTGTCTTGATTAGTAATTTGGTTTTAATTGCTCTCTTGATTAGTGACAATTTTAATACTTTTTCTCTCTCACTTTTGTACATTTGTTTATTACCTTTGAAACAATTACCATTCCAGTCAATTCTTTACCAAATCAAAATGTCTACATGTAAAGTTGCTTTAATCACCGGAATCACTGGCCAGGTAAATATGATTTTTGTTATTCTTTTGTTTTTGTTATTCTGTATTGTTGATTGTTGATTGTTTTATTTTGACTCTTTCATGATTAGGATGGATCATATTTGGCTGAGTTTCTTATTGAGAAAGGTTATCAAGTCCATGGTGTCATTAGGCGGTCAAGTAGCTTCAATACAGCTCGGATTCAACATCTATACAAAGATCCGAAAACTCATAAACAAGGGTCAATGAAGCTTCATTATGGTGACATGACCGATACAACTTGTCTGGTTAAGATAATTAATGAAATTAAACCTGATGAAATTTACAATTTAGCTGCTCAAAGTCATGTTAAGGTTTCATTTGAGTTAAGTGAATACACTGCCAATGTTGATGCTATTGGCACTTTAAGGATTTTAGATGCAATCAGAAGCTGTGGATTAGTTGATAAAGTGAAATTTTATCAAGCCTCGACCAGTGAATTATTTGGTCAAGTTCAAGAGATTCCTCAGAGTGAGAAGACTCCTTTCTATCCTCGATCTCCTTATGGTGTTGCTAAACTCTATGGTTATTGGATTGTGGTCAATTATCGTGAAGCTTATAAAATGTTTGCCGTCAATGGTATTTTGTTTAACCATGAGAGCCCTCGACGTGGTGAAACTTTTGTGACCCGTAAGATTACACGAGGTGTTGCCAAAATTTCAATCGGTGAATTGGAATACATTGAATTGGGAAATCTGGACGCTAAAAGGGACTGGGGTCACGCTAAAGATTATGTTGAAGCGATGTGGCTTATGCTTCAACAGGATAATCCAGAGGATTATGTCATTGCCACCGGTGAGGCTCACAGTGTACGGGAATTTGTCGAGGAATCGTTTAAACATATTGGTAAAAGTATTGAATGGAAAGGTGAAGGAATCAATGAAATTGGAATTGAAAAAGGAACCGGAATTGTCCGAGTTAAAGTGAATACCAAATACTTCCGTCCGGCTGAAGTTGAATTCCTCTTGGGTGATGCAACTAAAGCTAAGAAACAATTAAACTGGTCACCAAAGATCACCTTTCATGCTCTTGTCCAAGAAATGATCGATTCTGATATTAAATTAATGAAGAAAAATCCTGAAGCCTAAAGATGAGGATAAACACTAAAGTTTTTACCTCAAAGGAAACAAATTGTTTTCCTATTTGTTTTTTTTTCTAAGTCCAAGACAATTCATCAATCAAATTGATTTTCATTTGAATGTGAATCAATAAAACGAAATCATTGATTAAGTATTAATACAATTTTAACTATTGATCGACATAAAAAACGGTAAAAACGACATTTGTAATCAAAATGAAATCCTAAGTACAAATAAAACTTAAGTGGACAATGAATTGTTTGTTTATTGGCCTTACAAATTAAATTGCTGATTAGAAACCTGATTAGGCTACATCACAATTGGGTCAATTATAATTTTCTTTAAATTGAGAAGGATTTTGGTAAACAATTGATTCTTTTTTTTTTGATGAGTTTGTGGCTAATTAGATATTATGTTTTCTTTCCGGAAAATCAGCAGATTAAATTGATGTTGATGCTTTTCCTATGGCAATTGTGATGTTCAAGCTCCGAGTTTTCATGATTAAACATTTTTGGAATGATGATGAATTAAAATTCACAAATTATGGGAATGGCCAAACAATTGATTTAATCAACACAACTGATTTGAGTTAATAGTTGAGGAAGAAGATGATGTTTGGGAAAACTGAATTGCTGTTAACCATGATTTTTTAGTATAAAATATTATTTGTTGGCTTTTCATAGAAAGGATTAACCAAATGGAGGTCAGAGATAATTAACTGATCATAAAAAGTAAAATTTCTGCTAATCCAAGAACTTTAGTGTAGGAGAGAGATGAAGACAAGAGATTTTTTCTTGTTAGTTAAAGGTTAATATAAATCACCAGAGATTATCAACTCCTCGATTTGAGTTGATTAGCAATCCACTCGAGTCCTTGATAAAGTCCTTCTCCAGTTAAGGCACAACAAGCTTGTATTTGCCAATGATGTTTTTTGATTGAGGTTAAATTTAATTGATTTGAAATCTCAGCCGGTGTGAGACAACCTTTAACATCCTGTTTATTAGCATAAATCAGTATAGCTGCTTTCTTTAAATCTTCATGGACCAACATTTTCCAAAGCTCTTCCTTAGATAACTTTAATCTTTCTCGATCAGTTGAATCAATAACAAGAATAATAAATTCAGTATTACAGTAATAGGCACTCCATCCTTGTCGAAGGGACTCTTGACCACCGATATCCCACATTATGAAACGAATATTTTTCCAAATGACCTCTTCAACATTACTCCCTAATGTAGGTGACGTATGAACAACTTCATTCATTATGAATTGATACAAAATGGTCGTTTTTCCAGCATTATCTAATCCAATTATGACAATCTTATGCTCTGATTACCACCAAACAGAAAAAAGAGAAAAAAAGAAAACATTAACATTAACATACATGAAAATAAAGATCAAGACAAGCAAAAAAACTCTATGAACGCAATAAATCAACAGTAAACTCCATTGGAGTAACGGTAAACTCAAACAAGTTAATCAAAATTTAAAAAAGAGGAAAAAAACAATTTAAATCTCACCTTCTTTTGTAAACATAGACCATATTTTAGTAAATAGCAAACCCATTTCTCTCTCTCTCTCTCTCCTTTTAGTTATTAAAAAACAAATATCAAGTCATCATCATCGACATAGAACTCACCAACAACAACACTAAAACACTAATAGTAAACTACAAAATCTTGTTGAATAACATTAAAATTGGTCCAATTAAACCTGACGATGATTAAAAGATAATTAAAAAAAAAATTTCTATTTAAAAATTTGGTTCAAATTTATTGATCCTCCAAGAGGTGACTAATTACAGTCGTCCGAAGACTGAGCAGCCTCAAGTGCTGCCCTCGATCGGTCATCTGAGCCACCGAATGATAGAGAATACAAAGCAAAAATTTTCATTTTGTTTACAATTGAAAATAAATAAATAAATAAATAAATAAAAAATATAAAATTAATCAATAAATCCTTTTTTAAACAATTTAGACATTTGATCTTTCATTTTAGTATATTGTTCATATAATTCAGGTGGTGGATCTGTAAAATAGAGGAAGGTAAAAGTATTCTGTCGAGAAGTTGTTGGTGTCAGAGTTCACATAAGAAACGTGTTTTTCAGTATTCTGTCTCAGAGTATTCTGTCTCAGAGTATTCTGTCTTGCTGAACCTACCTGATTATTTGTATTCATTTTGGTCTCCACACTTAGTATTTCAATTTTATGATAAAACACAACTTAAATATTAATTATTTAGTTAAATTTAACAGAAAGAAAAGAACAAGTTTAACAGTTCAAAAGATCAAAAGAGCTAAAAAGTTAAAATTAAATCCAAAAGATGGTAGCACTTTTGTGAGCGAAAAAGAACAAAAAGTAAACAAATAAATCGATAGATGTCACTGTTGATTGGAACATTGAAAATCTCAACGAACTGAAAATTGTAACGAAATATAAATTCAGTTGTTAACTTGGCGAAAGTAAAATAAGTTAAATTGTTAAATTAACGTTTTAATGGAAAGACTTTGTTGTTAATGTGTATACACTTTAATGTATATACAAGAGAAATTTTTTTACTTCTTCTTGTTATTCCAACAATCAATGAGATTCTCATTCACTAAATGTAACCTTTAACGACGACAACAATTTAGTAATAATATTAATCATTTTTTTTTTTCTTAATCAATATCGTTTAAATTAACTTGTAGTTCCTTTTAATTATATTGGAGAAAATTTTTTCTTCCCTTCTTTTTTCACTAATTACAAGACATTAATCGTATTAATTGTGTTGACAAAATACTCTTTTTCCATTTTGTTTTTCTCCCAATTCTGTTTATCCTTTTAATTTTTATATTATTGATATTTTTTACTCCAATTTAATTGATCATCTATTCTTGATTTGATTAAGTCTTCATCCCTTTTTTTTCCAACAACAATTACAATCATTTTAATCATCTTGTGATTGTTGATAATCATAATCAATCTTCCGTCTTGTGTCTGTGTGTCACCTTAATCATTCTGGTATCATGGTAACCCTGGAGTTCAGTTGGAAACCGGACCAAAAATCATCATCATCTTAGGATAATTAGTAAATCATCATCATCATTATTATCATTATTTAGTATAGACATCAAACAACATTAATTAAATTGTGATTTCTTCCTCATTGTTACATTGGTAGACAACTAAATTAAAAGAGCGAGAGAGAGTGAAAGTGATTCCAATCAACTAATAGTTGAAAGGAAAATAATAGAAAACCAATTTAAAATAACGAATTGATTAGTTTTAATTGTGTTGATTTTTTTTCCTCTTTTCTATCGTTAGCTTTACACTTTTAATCCAATAATAATCAATTTCCATTGATAATTTAACCTAATCATTAATAGATTTTACATCTTGTCCAAACACCTTTGCTGTGTTAATTACAATTCTGTGTTAAATAATCAATTTTGATTAATCATCATCATCAATTCTGTGATTTAATTGTGTCATAATTGTATCTCCAATCTACCTCAGTGTCTAAATATCATTTCTTTTTCTCTCTCTCATCAAATTGTCTTTGTAAATTGTTTACCTTAATTCCCATAATTACAACCTAATCCTAATCACTTTCATCTTGTATTGTCCATCCAATGCCTTTAAACAACAAGTATATAATTTATTATTATTACCCCAAGTGATTACTTTCCTCTATACAACAATTAAGGATTGAAAAAACAATTGATATAATCTTATAATCAACTAGAAATTTAAACAAATACAAAAGCCAATGGTGATTAAACAAGATTCAAATAAAGTGTCAAAGGAGAGGAAAAATCTTGAATCAGTTAATCAAGAATCAACAAGAAGCAATTTAAGGTTAAATTAACTAATTGCATCTGAAACCTCTATCAATTTTCTTAATTATTGCTAATATATTACAACTACAATCAATAGTTAATCAACAACAACAATTATGTCAAACAATACGATATCAACAAACATTTCAATCTCAAACAATTCAACGGACCAAATGATGGACAGTTTATCATTAAAGTGAGTAAATCAAAATTAAATCAACTAACCATTAATTGTTGTAGAATCTCCTCCACCCATTTAATTGAATTTAACAATTAATTGACAATCAAAGTGGTTAGGAAACAAAAATCAAATCAGAATCAAACCAGAATGCAAATCAAGTTTCGATTCAAAGCAAAAGTAATAATAAATTAATAGATTGACAATTAATTCATTTTTCAAATCATTCATTCAAATTATGAACTAAATTCCAGTTTCTTTAATCAACTTTTCTCTCCGATAATTAACCATTGATTGTGAATTTAAAAAGGTTTGGTCATGGTAGTAATTGTAATCAGAGGGGAAAAAAAAAGATTCCATGTAATTATCATGTAATAACATTGAGAAAAAGAGTCACTCTTGAAATGATTAAAAAATTGATCATTTAGTGATAAAGTAATTAAAGGAAAATAGGTAAATGATTGATCGTTAATTGTTACATATGAAAATACATTAGAATATGGGAAATAAATGATTTGAGGATAAATTGGAGAATCAGAAAGTCACCGAACTAATTTGATTATCATTAATCCAAAAGGAAATCGCGTGTTAACCATCGAGACAATCAGTAAATTGTTTGAGGATAATGAGAGTAGACACAAAATCAGCAAATACACACTACAAGTGAATCCTTTTTCTTTCATATCGAATGTTGAAACTTCATTGATTAACTGTTAATCTCAAGTAAAATGGAGTAAAAAAATTAACCATAGATATTAATAGGATAAAGTAACTAATACCTTCCTCAATAATGTAACATGGTTTCAGGGATAAACCTTTTCAAGGTCGATTCAATAAGCTATCAGTTACATTCAATACTTTTTTTTGACATAATTTCCCATGAAAGATGATCTTGATTATCATCATCAACATGATGGTTATGATGATTAAGATGAACATGATTATCTATACGAATGAAAATTTCCAGCATACAGAACGGATTAAGTTGACTGTTAATAAATGTATTCCTCTGATTGTTGTTGATCATGTTGACATATAAAAAAAACTAACGTTTAAATTGTTTATCCTCAACAATAATCATCATCATGATTACATGATAAACTACTCAAGGTTCTAGGTCAATCATTATATTAATAATCAATTGTAATTTTTATCCATTAAGTTTTGATTGGCATTGATTTCACTTAATCAGCTCTCTAATCCTCCATATAAACATATTAATCTTGCCTCCCGATTCATTCATTAAATTGTTTTTCAACCTGCTAATTAATTAGCTTTAATTGTTACAAGAATTGTTAGTTAATTGTTTGTTTGTTTTTCTATTATATTTAGACGAAGTGAAACTTTACACATTTCGGATCCCGAAAAAAACACCAAACCCGGTAAACGAATCAATTGCCGCTTATTTTGTTGTGGGTTCGTATTTGGCCTCATCAGCACGATATTGATTTTCGCAGTCACATTATGTAAGTTGCAACAATTAACTTTAATCATTTATTTACATCGAAATCTAATTGTTCACCTTTAGTTCAACTTTGATTATCCGATAACAGACAAAAAAAGTTATTGGCAATTAGTTTCAATCTGATTTGTTGCTTTAATTGTTGTGCTTTTGTTTGATTCTGTTTACCTTTCGTGATACTAATTTTCCAACAATTAACATTTAATTAGTTAACCAAAATAATCAAATATTCACAATTATCATTATTAACCTTTTGTTATCATTGTTGAAACTTTTTTCGTGGTTGTAGACAATCAAATTATTAAACTAATCAACTTGATTATCGGATAAACAATTGAGCTTTTTTCTATTATTATTTATACTATCAGGTTGTTACCTTTAATTACTAATCATTTTATAAATAGCAATAGGATAACAAACAGTTTATCAAGTAATTTAATTTAAATTTAAATGATCTTGAAAATTATTAATATTATCTTTCATCATCGTAATTAAATCCTATCATCAATAAGTCCAGTCAATTATTATTAACCATGGGCGATATTGATTAAATCTTTAAACAATTTATTATTAATAATCAATTTTCATATCGATTAGTCTGTTAATTACATTGTGACTTTTTCTTATTCAATGAAAAAATCAAGGTTAAGAATCAATTGTTACCAACAATTAACACATTGCAATCAACGATAAGCAATAATTAACACTTTCACTGTTCATACTCTTCATCGTGATCATAGTTAATTATAAATTTCTAATTGTGATCAATAGTATTTGCAGATTGTTCCGATGATACAATTAATCAATAAACAGCAATTTTCTTTGTTCAGTAGCAATTAACAGTTAGAATGAGAGAGAGAGAGAGAGAGAGAGAGAGAGAGAGAGAGAGAGAGAGAGAGAGAAATGTAAACAATAAAAGCGAATATAATTTATTGATTGAGTTCATGAAGATTTTTCGATTTTTTTTCGAACTGTCGACTAATTAGTCACGTGATTTGTTTCGAATTGTTCATTAGATACTTTCGATTACATGGGAACAATTGTTCTAGATATGCCATATTCACCTTGGAAGCAACAACAACGTTCATCGAGTTTCAATCGAACCGCTTCAACCTCCTATTCGCATCCTGATGGAGGTTCATTAATACATGATGATAATTCTGGTCATTCTCATGCTCATCATGCTCATCATCAGCAGCAACAATTTGATCCAATCAGCAGATCATATGTTTTACCTGATAGATTCAACTCAACATCAACAATCAGCTCTGTAATTAACAATCAGGTTAATAATAATAATAATAGTCTAAGTTCAACTCAGGTAAAGTTTTCATTCAATAATTTTTTTCATAAAGGAAACTAAAAAATGAATTAACTTACTAGCCAATTATCAACACAATTTAACTGACATTTGCTAACAATTTACTCTAATTACATTATTATAAAATTAACTAGAGATACAGAAATTCAAATGTTAATCAGATCAAATTCCTAGTTGATTGTTACAATCAAACATTAATTTAAAAGGTCAATAGTTTCTGATTTATCAATATAACATGATGATACTGGTCAGTTAATCAATAGATGAATTTTATTAATGATAATTTTATTTATCATTTTTTTTTTCAGCCAAAAAACTCAGAATCCGATAAAAGGCAGATCACCATGAATTCTGGTGATCTTCTGGTTAATTCTGGTAATGATATTGATGTTGTCACAAATGAGACATCAAGAGTTCATCCTGATGATAATAATCATCATGAAAGTAATGATGATGATGATGATGATGATTCATCTCATGTTTCCCCTCCTTTCCAGCCAATTCAATTTGACGATTCAGGTAAGAATGATAATTAATTGTGACAATTTGTTTCCTTTTTTTTGAATTTACATATTTGTCCATCATTATGAATCTCACAACAATTAAAATTAATTCATCAGTCGGAATATAAATATTTCTCCCCTAATGAATTTGATACATTTAATAGGTTAATATTTCTGTCAAGGGTCAAGCATTTACAGAGTACATTAGTTAAGCCAGAAAATTTGCCCTCTGGCCATTTGGTGATGGGATTTACCCCTTTTCTTTGAACGGGGATCAAATCCTTTAAAAATCAAATAAACAAATGACCATCTATGTATTAAAACATTAGCCCTCAGGCCAATTAAACAAAATTAGGACCCGTTAGACCAGCAAATCGTTTTAATAACTATTTTTTCATGACTTTGATTCCGGTCCGGAATTGATGATTATTATTATATTACAGTTTCCGTTGTCAACGGGTTAATCTTTGACCTGGTTTTCTTTATTTTCTCATAATAAAATTGAAACATTTCATCAATTGGTGGTCATTAATTTCCCTAACACTGACCACACATACGCTCATCTATGAGGTACTTTAAATATTTAAATTCAGGTCAAGATCAGATTAATTATTTTCTTTTCATTATCCAAACACTTAACTCAACAAATGAAAGGTTAAGTTTCTGGTAAAAGTTGCTGACCATCAGATTAGTTTCATTCATGGTCACTTAATTAGCTATTATTAGTATTCGAAAGGCGTTAATTGTATCATTATCTACTATTCTAGAACTGTTCGAACTTGTTATTCAACTGATTAAATATTTAAACTCTATTATCAACAAATAACTTCCTTAGTATTTTGATTGAATCTAAATTGTTTTCTCCCGGTATCATGATAATTAAAGATACAGAAAATTATCATTATCAGAATAATAGTTTCCCGATAATATTTGCATAATCAATTTTAGTTAATTGTGAACAATTTGGTGAAATATTATACAGATTTTTTCAAAGAAAACTATTTTCGAACAGCAATCAGTTAATTGTTGCAACTTTCAGGCAATTTAAACAATCATGTCAAATTGTATCAGTTGATTGAATCCGAAAGGTATTAACAGTAATCAAGACATGTATTGTATTTATAGCTTGAAAAAAAAGTGAGATGAACATGAAATCAAGTAAATTGTTGTTGATTGTTGTCAATTGTTTCATACACCATTTAATTTAATTATGAAATTGCATTTCAAAACTAAATTACCAACTTGATAATAGCTTTTAAATGAAGATGTCACTCTCATAATAAACATTGAAAGTAAACAAAAATTTAATAGTCAATTTTTTTTACTAAATCAATTGATCAACTTTTAATTGTCAAAACAATCAAAAAATAATAGATCATTATCAAAATTTTATAAAAATTGTAACAATTTAATACCAATGATTGTCTCAGTTGTATCAACAATCAAAGTGTCAACATTATTCAATAGCTAATTAACTTGAACTAATTGAATTGTTATATTGTTAATTATCATTTGGGTTCTCCAACTTAATTATAATTTAATATTATTTCTTGTTTTTTTATCAAACAGCGGACTCGGTGTTTAACAACAATAATCAAGTCCGTCGGGATGGAAAGACAATTGACCTTTCACAACGGTCAACAACATCGGCACCTTATTTAATTGCCGATAATATAACAGTTAATCATCATCATGAAAATAGTTCTGAATCATCAACATTATCATCTATTGGCACTTCTGTTGAGATGATGATAATGGAGACATCAAATCGTAAGGATAATATTTCATCCGAATCAATTGTCACCTTGATCCCACCAGAGTCAGAAATTACAATTGTAACCAGAGAAATACTCAATCATACCGATAACAATAGAGGTCGAAATAGTCCCTTGGGGTCAGTTGGTAGTCGATCGGTCAATATGACAAATGATGATGATGAAAGTTTACCAACCGTTTCCACAATTATAACGTTTGGATTCATTGAAAATTCTGAAAACTCAAGTACACTTCAAGATGGATCCAATAATTCACATGAAAATCAGTCAACAATTATCACCGAATCTCCAATCGGTGGTATAATAATTGATTTAACAACTAATGGTCAACCAGAGATGACCGATAAAATGACCATTGGCATTTCATCAAGTAATTTAACGACCACCAATGAACCAAATGACCACAACAAGTCAACATCACCACATTCAGATCTTAAGGTAACATTGGATATTGATTCTCAATCAATTAGTAACAATCAAACTGAATCAACGCCATTAATCAACGTGACACAATCAGCGACAATATTAACAACACAAGCAACTACTTCAATATCACCAACAATTAAGTTAACACCAACAACTTTAACCACAACATTAAAATCAATGATACAGTCCAATGAACCGTTAACTTCATCATCAACAATGTCACCATCTTTGAGTGAAAGTGACACCCAAAGACAATTCAACAATTTAACAATTAACATTACCAACAATCAGACAACAGTTACAAAAGCCAATGAAACCTTGCCAACGACCAAAACAATTAATCAAACCAAATTAAGGATTGGTGATTTAGCGACACAGGATAATAATAATACCAATGAATCAAAACAATCAGATCCTTTGATTGTTACGAGGAAACTTGAAATTACATTAACTACAACACCTTTAACCACGTTAATTACCAATGTTAATAGTAGTGAAAATGAACAATTTACACCAACAATTAAATCACAATTGATTGAAAAGTCTACCAACGATTCCAATTATAATAAAACTGATCATCTTAATCATTTACCTTCATCTGATTACAATTTAACCATAATCACATCAATGGATAATTTAAACAATTCAAATGTTAATTTAACCCAATCAACAATTCATCCAGTTGAAAGGTCAATCATTGATAATTCAACGATTAATAATCTCAACAATTTAACAAATGAAATGATAACAATTAATGGTGGTAACAGTTCATTGGATATTGATAATCTATCGATAACAATTAAAATCCCGGTAATAATCAACGGGACCAATTTAAATGATTCCAATGATTTAATGATTAAATCAAACGCTACATCAAATTGGGAAAAACAATCAAACTCAACCCAAATTGTGAACAATTTATTCACCAATGAAACGGAAACGATCAATGGAACCTCCTCAAGATTAAATGAAACAATTACACCAATCGAATTGATTGGAAATAATCTAAACGAATCTCTATCAAATTTAACAATTGATTCAGTTAATGGAACATCGGACAATTACAATAATAATACAATGGAATCAATGATTGGAACCACAGCAAGTCCATTGGAATGTAATTCTAAGCAGATTCGTTGCTTTATCAATCAAGATAAAGAGGCTTGTCTATCAGCTGATGTTGTTTGTGACGGTGTTCGTGATTGTACCGATGGTTCAGATGAATCTGATTGTAGTCAATCATGTGGATCAAATTTCAGGTGTGGCAATGAATCAAGTGTAACCTGTATTTCCCGTAAATACCTTTGCGATGGTCTAATGGACTGTGATGATGGTTCAGACGAATCATCTTGTTACTTTGCCTCATGTGAGAATCAACTTTCCTGTGCCGATAAATCATCTTGTCTCCTTCCAATTCAAGTTTGCGATGGTAAATATGATTGTCGTGATCACTCAGATGAACAAGAGTGTGGTAAGTAGATTAACCTATTGTGTAGTTTTTTTTTTATTACCTGAGAGAGAAATCAAGTTTCCAGAATAAAACTAGGCCATAGATCGTTGAGGTCTATAGCGCTTATGGCAAATACGGTCAGTTAATTGTTAGCTTGTAACTTTTTTCTTCTTCTTCTCTTACCATCAACTCTCCGCTAATATCATTTCTTAGATAATCACTAGATGAAGTGAAATTAGAGGCTTTCGGTCAGGTCATTTCTATGGAAAGAAACTTAAGATTATGAGAGAGAAAATTTCATTGCGATAATGTCCAAAGTCTAGGTAAAGGTAAACTCGTGCAAAATAATGAAGCTCAGCATCTATTTGACTGATTGATTGGTTGGAAGACTTAATTGTTATGTAAAAAGATGATGATAATGATTAAATTGTACCTTTGAAATGTTAATTTTTGCAAGAGAAACAATTTCTCTCTCTTAATGATTTTCATGATAAAAAAAACCAGTATCATGATGATTATAATCATCATTATATTAATCGTTTCATAGTCATTAGGGAAATAAATCTTGAGCTGGTTTTTAATCATTGATTGTTAAACCAGTTAAGATGAATCATTAAATAAGATTGACCGATCTCTGGGTATCACTTTTTTTTTCGCGATTAAACTTACTAATCTTTCTTCATTTTCTATTGACCAGTTGACCATTCGACCTGTTTATCGGTGGGTAAATTTTTCTGTGACAATATGTGCATCGAGTACTCGTTACGATGTGATGGTTCAAAGGACTGTTCTGATGGTACCGACGAATCGAACTGCAGTAAGTATCATCATCATCATCATCTTACGAGTAATTAAGGTTTGAACATTTGGTTTTTTTTGCTAATCCATGGGTTCATTAATCTCCCAATCAGGAAGAGAGTAGGAAATGATGGTAACCACTTAGTAAATTGTTACAATTTAGGTTAAATCAGAGTTAAATTACTAATCCATACTGTGAGAAAATGAAACAATATTAATTGGTATTCTAAGTTCATTTTCCTTCAAATTCAATACTCTCCCTCTCTCTCTATGGTAGATTAAATGTATTAATAGTTGATAGAAGATTAAAAGTCGTCTTTAAAATGGATATAAATACCTAGAAGATGATTGAGATGATGATGATGAAGAAAATAATCAAAGTAAACCATTTCTACCTGGAGTGAGAGAGACGTAGAAACCTTGATGATAAAGAGGAAAAAAACATACGGAAAACTAGGGATAAATGGCGATTGTTTCCCTAATGAGTTTCCCTTTTTTCCATCATCATTCATCTTCCCATCATCATCATCAACAACCATCAACATGATGATTATCTTTGTGGTGTAAAGATGTAATTGTGATGAAGTGAAAGTTTTTCTCCCCGTAACTGCCAATACAATTGAAGAGAGTTTTTTTTTCACTGATACTGACCCACTCTCTAACTTTGCCCTAGTTTTCCAGGTAATAGGCAATGTATTAGGGCGTGTAAATGAACTTTGAAAGGTACAGAAGAAAAATCAAAGTGAAAGTACAACGAAAGAAAAAAAAAGTTGCAATTACGCATCATTATCGCCTCCGGCTAAAGATTTAAGATGTTCAATATTAATAACAATTTAGGTAAATGAAAGTAAAAGTTACGAGAAAGAAATGAAAAAAAAAATTGATTGGTGAAAATGATGAGCCTCGAAATCCTTGGGATTAATTATATTTCAAAGTTAATTGTTTGTAATCAAATTGATTCACCTTAATGGATTCATCATGCTTACCTTTCAAAAAGGTGAGGTTATGATAATTAACATGATGAACCCGAAGATGTTACAATTTACCTTAATCATCAATATTATTGATCTCTAATTATCAAACTTTTTGATTGAATTAATAGTTTGAAAACCTAACAATTAAAATTGAAGATTAGCAACATTTAATTTTATTATCATCCATTTCTTAATCATCATTATTCAGGTCAAATCTTTGTGACTAATAACTAATCGTTTAATTGTGAAAATTTACTTGAAAATTTAAATTGCGCTCGAAAATTTGGTTTCATAATTACCAAAGTAGTTAATTGTTGAGTTTAGAAAAACTTTTCCATCTTTAACAATTAACTAGAAAGCTACAATCAGATTAACAATTTGATTTAATGATCACCATTAACAATTGGTCAGAAATTAATTGTCAAGGTAAATCAATAAAAAAAACTACGATTCCTCAACTAAATTAACATAATTACTCAATTGAAACTTTAATCACTATTACAATTTATCATCACATTTACCTTAACAATCAATTGTTCACTTTTCCTTAATCATTTCTTGTTAATTCAGTTCTTTTGATTTTGTTTTTTTTTTGAAAATCTTTTCTCCATGGATCATGATTTAAGTTAATTGTTTACTTGATTGTGTGATAATCAAGATCGCAATTGTCAATGTTATCGGAAACGGAAATGTTATGTTATTTTCCTGTGATGCAAATGCTACAATTTACATTGATGATAATCAGTTAATTGTCTGAATTAATTAACACTTTCAAGAAATAGATGAAAACAAATTAATCAAGTTAACATAATCAAAAGTTTGAAAATGTTAATTATCTAACAATTAGTGTTGGTAATTCCATAATTAATACAATGTGTCTGCTTTTCTGAATAGCAGCAATTAATTGTTGTCTATTTCTTGATCAAGTAAATTCCCCAAGGGCAAATGATTACATCTTAATTAACTCAATTGATTGTGATTAGCATAATATTGTAAACCTATTTCTTGATTAATCATTTAACTAAATCTTTTCATCATCGTAATCAGAAAACCATTGACATTGAGATTGAATAATTTATTTAATTGTTGATTGTTTATCAACTACAGACAATCAATATCTGAAATAATTTCCATTAATTTCAATGTTAATTTACTGATTGTTGACTTTCACCATGAAACAATTTCCTCTGTAGTTAATGGTTGAAAAGTAAACACAATTAAAAAAAACATTTCGTACAATTTGCCAACTATCATTTCATGATTATCTTGATTGTTGATTGTGAACGTTTATCAAATGTAGGCAACAATCAGCAATCACTTTCTATTTACAATTAACTCTTTTTTTTTATTTGCTCGTTGATTCAGTTTAGTGATTGATAAATTATCATCAATCAGATACAATTACAATCGAGACATCGTTCTGTAAGGTCACCCAATTAGTTTTTCCGTCAATCAAATTTTCATGCTCAATTAAATATGTCAATAGACTTGTTGATTTGCTTAAATTGTTGTTAAATTGTATTTCTAACAATTGATATAATAAAGTATTTACTATCAATTTGTTTTTCCTTTTTTCTTGATCGTTATCATGAATGATTAACACTCCAAATTGATCAACTTAATACAATTATATCACTTAAATTAATACTTGTCGTTAATTGTTAATCAAATCGTTTCGACAAAAAGTTAATCATGATTTAGTTTTCCTGTTATCTTAATAGCAAAGGAAACCGTAACAATCAGATTGACTGGATTAACCTTTATTGTCCGGAATTGATTACCATTAAAATGAATCTAATGCCAAATAATTAATGATCAAAGGAAAACAATCAATTAGTTAATCAATCAATTTTTTTTCTAAATTAATTTAGCTTGCACAAATGAAGAGTTTAAATGTTGGAATGGCGATTGTATTGACAAAACTTTGGTCTGTGATGGTCAAGTTAATTGTCGTGATTCGAGTGATGAATGGTCTTGTGGTGAGTATTAATTGTTGAGAATAATCATCTAATAATAATAATAGATAGCAATCGACTTTGTAATCTTAATTGTAATTCTTTTAATTTGATTTTAATTCAGTTAAAACTGATGAGAACAACGTGGTCTCAATGGTCAATCCGTCAACTGGAAATTGGGCTTTACTTTGTGCTGATGAATCTCCTCTCGGTGAATCTGATTACTCCTTATTGTGCCAAAAAATGGGTCTCGAATCAGCTGTTAATTACTCAACAACCATAATTAAAACAATCGGTGAGGTTGAATGGGTTATCCATAATGGATCCAATGTGATCTCTCTCGAAAATTGTAATTCATCATCAATTTTGATGCTCGAGTGCCAAACATTTAAATGTAGCATGATGGCCACGACTCCATTACAGCCAACATCATCATCTACACAACCTTCATCTTTATCATCAACACTGTCCCCAACATTATCCACACCATTAGCCAATATCTCACCAATTCCAGAGTCAAGTTTAAACACTACTTCAACTAATACCACCACGACCACAACCTCCACCACCAAAGGTACCACCATGGTAACTGATAGTATTACCACTTCAACTAGTTCATCAACTACTTCACCATCAACTCCACTCATCTCATCAACATTGTCATCGGGAACATCTCCTTCAACATTATCTTCATCTAATGTACCCATAATTTCAAGCACACCACCAACACCAACCGGATCCTCACCCGCATCAACAATTGAAGCATCTTTATTAGCCATACCTGCCATTAATTACAATATCCCGTTGAGTCGTCCAACTCGAGCCGCGAGTCCTAATGAGATCCAATCAATGGTAATTGTCAAGAGAAACGCAACCGATTCAATCAAGAACAAGAAACAATGTCTCGCTCAAATTATATCACCAATGTGGCTTCTTTCATCAGCTGAGTGTTTAAAGTAAGTTTAATTGCTCGATAATAATCATCAATCCAAAAGTTCATTAACTTTCGAGATGAATCAAATCTCATGTTGTTAACATGCGAAGGAATCAGGAAGAAACAATTAATAACTTTTGTTTCCTGATTCCAATAATCAATCAACAAAGTTCACAAGAAAACAAAAGCTTTTGCACCATATGAATAGTAAATTTAATAAACTGATATTGACAATTAGTTAATCACAATTAAAGGTAACAACAAATGATCGTGTTAATGACCATTAATTTGATCAGAGAAAGTTATTAGACTCTCATGATTAATGATGATTTAAGATCAAAGGTTTAGTTGATTGATTGATTGTTGATTTTATCAATTAAGTTATTTGAATTGTTTATTGTTAATTACAATCGTTACTTTTTGCTAAGAGTTAATAAAATCAAGTTGATTAATTGATTTTTTCTTAATTTTCAGACAATTGCAAGATGTCCAAGGATTAATAGTCGAAGCGAATACAAGTCGGTTCCTTGGAACTGTTAATCAAGTAATTCTTCATCCGCACACATCAAAGTTCCGTTATCTTCATATTCGAGATTTTGACCTCGCCTTGATTAACTTAAAATCGCCTCTTCCATTGAGCTCAAGTTTGATGAGCTCAATTTGTCTACCCGAAAGTGACGTGGCCTCTGATATTACCTGTTTCATGCCAGTTCTTGGTGAGACGGAAGCTCGTCCCTACTTAATCCAGGATAGATCGTTATGTAATGAGCGTCGGCATTTCAATTCCTCTCTCAATCAACGGCAAATTTGTTCATCGGCAAGTGACGAATCGCCCGATTATGTACCTGATCCTGGTTCTAATCTTGTTTGCCTATCAAGTTCAACCGAATGGTTTATCGGGGGATTCGTGTCCTTTGCAAGTCCACGAACCAGTTACACTAAACACCCGTCGGTCTTTTCAAATGTATTTGCGATGAAAGATTTTATCAATCATGTGATTGCCGTTAATCTTTATCAATCTAAAATAGAGACGAAATTCAATTATACCTTTGACCTGACAAGTTCACTTGGAAACAATGAGACACTGATTAATAGCAATGGTACCTCATCAATAGACAATAATGACATTGGAAAAACAGATAATTCAATCGGAACAACAGTTAATCATGACAGCTTAAAACAAGCAATTAAAAAGTATTCAAACAATATCTTATTACACAATGGAACAGAAAATGTAACAATTAATCAATCGCTAATTGATTTAACAAAATTCGCTGATCGATCAAGATCATTGAATTTAGATTATGATAACTCATCAATTTATATTGACTCTCAATTGAACACTAACCAAACAATCAATGGTTCATCTCTAATCTTAGATGAACTTCCGATTATCAACAATCAAACAAACGGTACACAAAGAAATACTCTCAGATCTGAACATGGAAGATTAATTGATTTAGTTAATGATAATGAAAATGGAACAATTATTAATCAGATGGAGAAAACAACAAACTCGTCAAATCCAATTGATGAAAATCTATCATTTAATCCAACTACTGATTCGATATCAAACTCATCCATTAATACTACTTCAACATCGACATCAGCACTCACATCGTCTACACCAACAACACCATCGACACTAACAATCTCATCATCATCTTCATCAACACCATTTTCAATTTCCTCTTCATCTTCATCCTCATCTTCATCTTCATCAACAACTTCATTATCATCAAATGAGACTAACATGAGATCCATGATGATTATGGAAACGTCCACTGGTCCCACTACTTTAGGTGTTACTAATTATCCAATAATTAACAACATCACAATCATGAGAAATTAATTGTAACAAGAGAAAACAACTAATCAATTGATCAACATTCATTTTCCTTTTAAAATAGAAAATAAAATGAAATAAATGACAAACATTTCCACATTCAAATTATGATAATAGTTTAATGATCAGCTTTTTTTTTGATTACGATAAATAAAAACAAATTGTGATTAAAGTTACAAAGATATTAATTAATTAATTAAGAGAAGGAGAAACAATTGAAGAGGTAATTTTTGGGTAATTAAATGTAAATGTTGTTGAAAGAGATACGAGTATGAATTGTAATTAATACCTTTACCATTTTGAATATGAATTAAATGATTGATTGATTGATTGATTGAAGATTAATTATAGATTAATTATTATAAAAGGATACAAATTTAATCCAATTGTTAGGATTCAATGAGGATTGAAGGCTCATTCCAAACTGGTGAAATCTTTCCTGATTTATCATGACTTGATGATCCATTGGTTATCGTCCTTGATTGTTTATTTGTATTCTCATTAATTGTTACACTATTGGTGTTGATTATGTGAGAATTGGTTTGATTGTTGGTGTTGTTGGTGCTGTTGTTAGTGTTTAGGTTGGTGTTGGAGTTGGAGTTGGTGTTGGTGGTGATGTTTGTATTCGAGGTGTTGATTGTGTTTGCATTCGCGTTCATGTTTAAATTGTTCATCTTAAATTGATTAACCATTTCTGTCAATTTCTCATTCAAAATGTCATGACTTTTTGTGGCTCTCAAATGTTTCCCAATCAATTTCACTCTTTCAATTAGTTCGTTATCGTTGAGAATCTCATCGATTCCTTGGACAAGTTCGTCCTCGGTCACTCGATAGGGTAAGAAACATTTCCCAATCTTCTTGTCGATTGCCCTTCGGCCATTATCATGTTGGTCGCCAAAAAGAGGCATCACAATAAAAGGTTTACCAAAGTAAAGAGTCTCAATGAAACTATTGTTTCCACCATGATGAATGACCATGTCCACTCGAGGCATGATCTTCATCTGATTCAAGTATTTGGCTCCGGTCATGTTACCAGGTAATTGCATCTTCTCATGGTGAATACCCTTCGAGACGATGAATTTGTGTGGTGATTTACCGAGAATGTTAATCAATCGAGTCATCAACTGGTAATTGGATGTACCCAGGGAGCCGAGAGAGAACAGGATAATCTTGCAATTGGCATTTGAGGTGAAAAACGATTCATCGATTCCAAGGGGAATGTCATCAGTTCCTCGGACCATGTGATCAACTCGGAACCATTTATCTGGGACTGGGCCGAATTCGGAGTAGTCCAAGTCTTCCGGGTAAGGGTAAAGGTTGAGGAAGGGAGATTTACCCAGGATTGAGAAGTCAATTCGATCTTGTTTACTTGGGTCGATTCCTTTCGAACGATAAAACTCATCGAATGAACTTTTAATCTCTGCTAAACTCTCATTGAAGGCGATCCTCAACTTCTCAAACTCTTTGGGATCGTCGTTGATTCCAAAGGCCGACGAGTAAGGGGGAGCTCCGTATGACCAGTAGGCGAGAAGAGGATTGGTTGACCACAAGGTCACATAAGGGATGCCCGAATTGACGATGGCAGGAACGGAGACCCAAAAGTCGAATATAATCAAATCGGGTTTCATCCTTTCCAAAATCAACGAATATTGATCATCCGTTTTAATTAGATAATCATAGAAACTCTCGTTACTTGGCACATTCAGATGGATGAATTTCTCCACTGTCTCCATGTCAAACACTCGCGATCTTTGCTCCATGAATTTGCCCCACTTTTCCTGTGGATCTCGATCGGCCTCGAATCCATCGGCTTCAATCGCTTCGATACCAAAATCATTCCCAGCGACAGTTTTAGTCCAATTTTTGGGAACAATGAAAATACATTCATTCTCATAACGTTTCAAAATCTTTGCCAATCCAATGCAAGCATTTACATGACCATGGCTATTGGAATAACAAAAAGTCATTCATTCATTAATTCTCAATTCTTTCTAATTACATTCTATTTAACAATTTTATCAAAATAAAAAAAAGAAAAGAAAAAAGAAAGAAAGAAAATGATTGAATACACTTACCCATCCATAGGACAAAAGGCGATCTTCATTTTTTTCTTTTGATTATTCGATGATTCGAAATTTCTAAAAATCAATTAAAATCTAATAGAAAATCAATCACAATTACAATTACAATTACAAATATTAGAATATTTTGTTTATCAAGTGTCACAATTAAAAGTTGAAAACTAAATGAATATTTTACTCAAACTCCTTCTTAACTTTATCCTTCCAATCGCTTGACAAAATCGTCATTCTCTCTTATCTTTATCTTCATCATTACTCACTCACTCTTCTTCTCTCTCTCTCTCTCTCTCTCTCTTTCTCTCTTTCTTTCATATCTTTCTATTTATCTTCTTCTTCTCTCTCATCCCTCTTTCTACCTATGTTCCTACTCTCTCCTCCTTCCTCTCTCCCTCCGCCTCCTACTCTTACCTTTCGAGTGTAGTTCTGGCCTTGCAACATCTTATCCATATTAACGATAACACTTACAATTCAAATCAAATTAAATGAAAAACAACGTTAACCTTAAGGCAATCCTATTAAACATAAACATTTATCATCATCATACTTGTGATTATAATCAACCAACAAAAATTATCCAATCTAAATAAATATAACAATTGATTCTAATCACAAGTCATCAGGTATTAATCATCATTTTTATCATTAAAGTTTTGTTTTTCTTTACCTTATAAACATTATCTTTCTCTTAAGCAATATTTACAATTAACTTAACAACAATCAGTCAGTTAATCTGATCGATTAACTTGATCATGGACCAAATAATCAAAGTGTGTTGAGAAAAAGAAACTGGATTATCCAATAATATGAAAGATTGATTATTAAAAACCGAGAGTTTAATCACGTATGGATTAATCATCTTTTAACAAGATATCACTTAACGACAATCGTTAAGTATTAGAGGTTATTACGTTTAATGTGTAAGAAAACCCAAACCTCAACAATCAATTAATGATAATAATTTCCCCGGAATCAGTTGATTATCCGATCATCATGATGATCTGACGTCATTATCTTTATTATTATTTATTGTTAAAGCTAATTGAGATTCTTAACCATTGATTAGATTGGCCTCAAAATAATTAATTGTCATTGGAAATTAACAATATACCTGAAAATTAATTGAACGAAAATCAAAGTCCAGGTCTATCCTGATGATCGCAAGGGTAAAGTACGATATGGAATTGATATTAATCCACAAACCTTTTTTTCTCGTTTAATTGTTTCCATTAAATTGTACTGATTTGGTTAATTTCACTTCTTCAATCTCATTAAATTGTCAATAAATCAATTCCTTTAAGACAATAAACAATCAATTGATTCTATGGTTAATCTATTAATTGTCTCCTCTCCTCTCGTTTTGTTTTTTGTATGTTTCTAATCTTATTCAAGGAGATTTACGCTTCTTATTACAATTAACTGATTAACTTATTAACAGTAATTAAGATGATCGGGAAACCTCATTTACACCATATACTTATTACATGTATCATGCATAGTGTTGATGTTGAATTATCACCAATAAATCACCTTGATAAGAAAATCATTCACTCTTAATCGTTAATCTTACCAATGAATCAACTAATAGGTTTAGTGTTCAATGTCTTATAATCAATGAATACCATTTGATTTTACAAGAGATAGATGATTTAATTCACCTAATTTGAAATTGATCGTCCCAAATATTAATAGTAATTAAGGTAAATTAAAGTCTCATTATTTACCTTTTAATTGTATTTGTCGTCGTCAGCTGTTGACAACTGATTAGATGAAACTGCAAATCGGTAAATTAAGAGGATGAACAAGTGTTAGAAATCAATTTAAATTGGAAAGATCATCAGAAAATTACAATCACTCATTATCTTGGATACAGTAAGTATATAATTTTTTCTTCTTCTTCTAATGGTGAATGAATTTCACAGGTAGATCTTAATCGTTAAGATGAATATCATTCTCTTCATGTTCACCTTGTTGACTTTCTAAAGGTAACTTTTGATGATAGTTTTATCGTAACATGATTTTGCTGCAATGGACTGGATAGAATCGGTATCTAAGGTTCATAATGGCCAATGAACTTGTTGTCTCACGAGTTAAGCCTGAAAGCCAATGAACTTATTCAGATAAACTCAGGGAGAGAGAGAGAGAGAGAGAGATGATCCTGTTGATAATCATCATCTTCTTCCGCATAATAATCAATCAATTAATCGCATATTTTTGCCTCTTCTTATTGAGGGATTTTCTTCTTGTCAACCTTAATCATCTCATCAGAAAACCCTGAAAGTATTTCAATATCTGATTAAATTTAATTAAATTCTAAATTCAAGACCATTTAACTGATCAAAGTTAATCATTTTCTCAGTTAATTTGATTTGATTGCTGAGAAAGAAGTAAAAAAAAGGCAAATATAAAAACTTTTTTTCTGCTTCTTTAAAATCAAATTGCAATTAAGACTTGAAATTGATTTTAATGCTTTTTTTACAATTTACGTAGACACAATTATCACAATTATAATCATTTTTGATGATTTTCTTTCAAATTGATTTAAATAAATTACTGTCTCTTGACATAATCTTAAACGTTGATTTACATTTCATTAGCTTGATGATTGCACGATAAGTGATTAATGTTTGATTCAATTCAAATGGTTTCCGATTTAGATTAGTCTTTTAATCACCCAGGTTAATCCTCTTTTTCATTTCAAGTGTAAATTCATTGTTGTTATTGTAAAGGATTCACCTGTTGAATTGAGGAAACAGAAAAATAATTAGTTAATCAAGTGTTTAGTCAATTGATTGTTAATGACGAATACTGAGTTTTGATGATTGATTAAAGCTTCCTGGATATTGATTGAGAAATATTATTATTACTTGTTGATTATGGAAAAATAATAACATATAATTGACAATCCCATGTGAAAGATGATTAATTAATTATATGATAATAAACAAAATGAAATCATAGGAAAAGTTCATTGAAAAAAATACCGAACTTAATTGTAAACATTGTAATCAAGGTATCAACTTATTGAGTTAAGTTGTTGTTATTATCAAATGAGAGCAACTTTTGATTCTTAAATTGCAATACGAAAACACTTTCACTTGTAATTGTCAACAATTAACAGTTGATGCAACAATTGAGATGAATTCTTATCGATAAATGTTAATCTTTGTATTCCAATAATAATTTTTGATATTTGTACATATCGATTGGAATAGTTTTTATTACTAATAAACAGGATTGATGTAATAAAAAAGATTCAGTCTCTTGAATCTTTAATCACATGGGATGATAAATGTTTATGTTTAATAGGATTGCCTTAAGGTTAACGTTGTTTTTCATTTAATTTGATTTGAATTGTAAGTGTTATCGTTAATATGGATAAGATGTTGCAAGGCCAGAACTACACTCGAAAGGTAAGAGTAGGAGGCGGAGGGAGAGAGGAAGGAGGAGAGAGTAGGAACATAGGTAGAAAGAGGGATGAGAGAGAAGAAGAAGATAAATAGAAAGATATGAAAGAAAGAGAGAAAGAGAGAGAGAGAGAGAGAAAGAAAGAAAGAAAGAAAGAAAGAGAGAAGAAGAGTGAGTGAGTAATGATGAAGATAAAGATAAGAGAGAATGACGATTTTGTCAAGCGATTGGAAGGATAAAGTTAAGAAGGAGTTTGAGTAAAATATTCATTTAGTTTTCAACTTTTAATTGTGACACTTGATAAACAAAATATTCTAATATTTGTAATTGTAATTGTAATTGTGATTGATTTTCTATTAGATTTTAATTGATTTTTAGAAATTTCGAATCATCGAATAATCAAAAGAAAAAAATGAAGATCGCCTTTTGTCCTATGGATGGGTAAGTGTATTCAATCATTTTCTTTCTTTCTTTTTTCTTTCTTTTTTTCTTTTGTTTTTTTTTTATTTTGATAAAATTGTTAAATAGAATGTAATTAGAAAGAATTGAGAATTAATGAATGAATGACTTTTTGTTATTCCAATAGCCATGGTCATGTAAATGCTTGCATTGGATTGGCAAAGATTTTGAAACGTTATGAGAATGAATGTATTTTCATTGTTCCCAAAAATTGGACTAAAACTGTCGCTGGGAATGATTTTGGTATCGAAGCGATTGAAGCCGATGGATTCGAGGCCGATCGAGATCCACAGGAAAAGTGGGGCAAATTCATGGAGCAAAGATCGCGAGTGTTTGACATGGAGACAGTGGAGAAATTCATCCATCTGAATGTGCCAAGTAACGAGAGTTTCTATGATTATCTAATTAAAACGGATGATCAATATTCGTTGATTTTGGAAAGGATGAAACCCGATTTGATTATATTCGACTTTTGGGTCTCCGTTCCTGCCATCGTCAATTCGGGCATCCCTTATGTGACCTTGTGGTCAACCAATCCTCTTCTCGCCTACTGGTCATACGGAGCTCCCCCTTACTCGTCGGCCTTTGGAATCAACGACGATCCCAAAGAGTTTGAGAAGTTGAGGATCGCCTTCAATGAGAGTTTAGCAGAGATTAAAAGTTCATTCGATGAGTTTTATCGTTCGAAAGGAATCGACCCAAGTAAACAAGATCGAATTGACTTCTCAATCCTGGGTAAATCTCCCTTCCTCAACCTTTACCCTTACCCGGAAGACTTGGACTACTCCGAATTCGGCCCAGTCCCAGATAAATGGTTCCGAGTTGATCACATGGTCCGAGGAACTGATGACATTCCCCTTGGAATCGATGAATCGTTTTTCACCTCAAATGCCAATTGCAAGATTATCCTGTTCTCTCTCGGCTCCCTGGGTACATCCAATTACCAGTTGATGACTCGATTGATCAACATTCTCGGTAAATCACCACACAAATTCATCGTTTCGAAGGGTATTCACCATGAGAAGATGCAATTACCTGGTAACATGACCGGAGCCAAATACTTGAATCAGATGAAGATCATGCCTCGAGTGGACATGGTCATTCATCATGGTGGAAACAATAGTTTCATTGAGACTCTTTACTTTGGTAAACCTTTTATTGTGATGCCTCTTTTTGGCGACCAACATGATAATGGCCGAAGGGCAATCGACAAGAAGATTGGGAAATGTTTCTTACCCTATCGAGTGACCGAGGACGAACTTGTCCAAGGAATCGATGAGATTCTCAACGATAACGAACTAATTGAAAGAGTGAAATTGATTGGGAAACATTTGAGAGCCACAAAAAGTCATGACATTTTGAATGAGAAATTGACAGAAATGGTTAATCAATTTAAGATGAACAATTTAAACATGAACGCGAATGCAAACACAATCAACACCTCGAATACAAACATCACCACCAACACCAACTCCAACTCCAACACCAACCTAAACACTAACAACAGCACCAACAACACCAACAATCAAACCAATTCTCACATAATCAACACCAATAGTGTAACAATTAATGAGAATACAAATAAACAATCAAGGACGATAACCAATGGATCATCAAGTCATGATAAATCAGGAAAGATTTCACCAGTTTGGAATGAGCCTTCAATCCTCATTGAATCCTAACAATTGGATTTAATTTGTATCCTTTTATAATAATTAATCTATAATTAATCTTCAATCAATCAATCAATCATTTAATTCATATTCAAAATGGTAAAGGTATTAATTACAATTCATACTCGTATCTCTTTCAACAACATTTACATTTAATTACCCAAAAATTACCTCTTCAATTGTTTCTCCTTCTCTTAATTAATTAATTAATATCTTTGTAACTTTAATCACAATTTGTTTTTATTTATCGTAATCAAAAAAAAAGCTGATCATTAAACTATTATCATAATTTGAATGTGGAAATGTTTGTCATTTATTTCATTTTATTTTCTATTTTAAAAGGAAAATGAATGTTGATCAATTGATTAGTTGTTTTCTCTTGTTACAATTAATTTCTCATGATTGTGATGTTGTTAATTATTGGATAATTAGTAACACCTAAAGTAGTGGGACCAGTGGACGTTTCCATAATCATCATGGATCTTATGTTAGTCTCATTTGATGATAATGAAGTTGTTGATGAAGATGAAGATGAGGATGAAGATGAGGATGAAGAGGAAAAGGGTTGAATAGATGAAGATGAAATTGAAAATGGTGTTGATGACAATTTTGAAGTACCAATAATAATTGATGAGTTTTGTTAATATCGGTTTAGTTGTTTGATGGAAGGATAACTTTTTCAACTAAACGACTTGACGGCTTTGTTTTTTCCGTTTTATCAATAAATCTTTTTCTAATCAATCAAACATTAATTTCTAATAACAAACAGAAAATGAAAAATGTCAATTGGCCATTTGTCCAAACAATTGTTGATCCAAACCCTTAGCATTCAGAACGATGTCAACCAACAAGTCGGAATCGATAGTCGCCATCTATGGATTTTCAAAAAATCCAAAAAAACCGTTGGTCAAAAGAGGAAAAGAGAGCAAACCGACAGATGGCGACAGTCGAATATGTGAAGTTTCCTCTTTCCACCACTAGAGGAAAATGTGAAATTAGCGATGGAAAAACATCGATGTCGATTAACGATAGTATTGGAAAATTTTCCATTTTACTTGATTCTCTTTCTTTTTCTCTTTCCCCATTTAGCCGCCACCATCGAGGTTCAACTTTTCCGCTCTTTTCAATTTCTCCCCTTAAACTCCTCCCTTTTCTCTTTCTTTATTCTCTTTCTTTTTATCGAAAATTTCAAAAGCCGTATCGATATTTGCATTCGATTATCCCATCACTAGGCGCGACTGTGTATTCTCAGTGTGTAAGGTTTAGTGCTATAGAACAATGAAACATTTTGTTTTTTTGAATTTAATGTGAAATTAATTTTGATTTATTTTTGTTTATTTCTAATTCTCAATTTATGTGAATTAAACATCTTCACCTTGTAACGCATCTTCATCTGTACCTGATTTTATTGTTATATTGCCTTCGCTCTCTCCCTCTCTTTTTTTCTCTCTCTCTCTATTCTCACTATTTCTCTGTGCTCATTTTTCATTTGACAAAAAGTGTGTGTGTGACTTTATTTTCACTGTCTATTAATTCACATCATGGATAATAAGGTAACTTCATCTCCGGCCGGTTCTTCAACCAAATATACTATTGGTGATTTGGTTTGGGCAAAGATGAAAGGTTTCAGTCCGTGGCCTGGTAAGATTGTTGACCCTTCTTTAGCCAATATGAGACGTTTACCGGGAAATTTTCGTAACAAGCCAACCCAATGTGTCTACTTTTTTGGCTCAAATAATTTCGCCTGGATACCTGAAGAAGCAATTAAACCATATAAAGAGTTTAAGGAACAATATTACAAATTGAATAAAAGTAATACATTCAAGGAGGCTGTTGAAGCCATGGAGGATTATATTAAAAAAGGTGGAACTGGTGATATTCCCATGTTATCTCCAAGTGACAAAAAAGATGAAAAGAAAGAGGACAAGAAAGAGGACAAGAAAGACGAAAAAGACAAGAAGGAGGATAAAAAAGAAGACAAGAAAGATGACAAGAAGTCAGATAAAAAAGAAGACAAGAAGGAAAGAAAAGAAAGAAGTTCAACGAGTGCCACTCCATCATCGTCTCATCAACGAGATTACAGTCGTACGCCATTTAAATCTAAGCCTAAAAAGTCTGCAACACCGAGTAATAATGCTGAGAATGCATCTACTTCTTCACCAGATAATGATGAAGAGCCCGCTGGTCCACCTGCCAAGAGAAGCAAAGCCGCTCCATCTGAAGACATTTCTAGCACATCTTCCCCAGCACCTAAATCACCCAGTAAAAGTGCACGTAACATTTTAGATAGAACCTCAAACTACCTTCTTGATAATACAAATACACTTAACAATCAAAGCGAGTTAGATATTGGTACTGTTTCAGCTAAATCTAAAAGTATCAAAGCTTCATCTCTTAAATTTGGTTTCATTGGTCTTGGTTTTATGGGTCAACGACTCTTGAAAAATCTTCTTAACTCTGGACATTCAGTTACCGTTTGGAATAGGACTCCAAGTAAATGTAAAGATTTTATTAAAGCAGGAGCAACTAAAGCAACCACCCCAGCTGATGTTGTTGCTGCATCTGATGTGACTTTCTCATGTTTAGCTGATCCTCATGCTGTCAAAGAGATAGTTTTTGGTAATTGCGGTGTTCTTGCTGAAATGAAATCGGGTAAAGGTTATGTAGAAATGACATCAATAGGACCTGATACCAGTAACGATGTTAATGAGGCTATTATAGCACGAGGTGGTCGCTACCTAGAGGCTCATCTAATTTCTGGAGGTAAACAACAAGCCGAAGAAGGAAATCTTACCGTTATCGTCGCCGGAGAAAGGTCTTTATTCGATGATTGTGGCTCCTGTTTCCAAGCCATAAGTAAGCATTCCTTCTACTTGGGTAATCAAGTAGGCGATGCTTCAAAAATGGGACTTTTGGTCTCTATGCTTATGGGTAATCTTATCGGGTCTCTAGCAGAGAGCATGGCTCTAGCTGATAGAACTGGATTATCTCAGAAAGATTTATTGGAAATTCTTTCACTTTCACCACTCAATTGTCATACATTGATATCTAAGGGTAAAGGAATGATTGAAGGCGGTTTTGCAACGGAAATGCCATTGACACACATGCAAAAAGATCTCAGACTAGCCTTGCAGTTGGGTGAAGCATATGAACATCCCTTACCCATAACCGCATCAACTAACGAGGTCTTAAAGCATGCTAAGCACTTGGGTTATAGTGACCACGATGTTGCCGCTGTTTATATCAGATCGAGATTCTAACCTTTCAAAAGCAAAAAATTAACATCAATTAAAATAAGCAAAAAGGAAGCAGAAAAAATTGAAATTAATGGCCAGCATCAGCTTCTGCACTTGTCATTTTAATTACAAGAAATTTTTTTTGACCATTACACTAGCACGTTGATGAACTTCACAATCATCATCACCGTCATCATCATCTTTCTCATCATTTCATCTCTTTATCTCGTATATTCTAATCGAAAGGAAGAGCGCGATCAATGCTATACAGAAGAGAAAATCCCATTTTTTCAGTTAATCGGAATGAAAATCATCCATTCATCATTCAACTTGAAGAAATTTATACAACAAATCACATCTCCTACCCATTACTACACACAAACACATACATACAACATTAATCGAAAACCACAAACTCACATTATCATAACATAATGGAACTAAATTACAAACAAATTGATTACAAAATTGTACTTCTGATCCACAGAGCTTAGAGGACAGATGCAACATTTAACCAGAAATTCTGTTCGATATGATTCACTCTAGATGATCTTTTCTCTTTCTTTCTTTCAAATGAAAATTCATTTTTCTTTCCATCACATTAGAATGTTTTCCCTCAACTCTCTTGTTTAATCTTTTTTTCTTCCCTCTGCATCAGTTTATACTTATCCAGTTTCCATGTCTTATATACTTCAATTTAAATAATCTCGCTCAATTCGACGCTTAACTAAAATTTCCATCTCTATTTCTGTAAAACTGTTCGTCTCTTTAAGGATAAAATAAAAACATCAACAAAATCAACCTTTTAATTTTAATCGATCGAAATTAATTTCATAAATATTAACATGGATCACTCGATCAACCTAATTCGTTATATTCTAATCTCTAAAGTGAACAAAATTAATGATCCCTGCGAATATCATTTGCCATTCCAAAATTCGAATAATTAATTAGAATGTCCAAAGTATTAGAACAAAAGTCCAGTCGAAAAATCGAACTTATTAATTACTCCGAATGACAATCAGTTCTTTTTTCGACCCAGTGAATAGCAATTGTGTCGCTTGTCAAAAGTCTCAAATTAGGATTCTCTTCATCTGCTAATAGATTTTTCTAATCTTAAATTGCAATCGTAATCGACAATTTAGATTAAATTAATACTCGTTCTGGTGTTTTTAGAATATCAATTCGTGTTTTCATTTTCACATTTTTCGATCAATTGATTAATCGAATGAATTGGCTCGAGATTCAATCGAGTTTAAAAAAGAAAGAAAAACTAATCGATCTCCAAAAGATTAATCGTCTCAAACTCGAACTTCCTTCATTAAGATAATCGATCTTTTCGATCTTCAGTCAATATTTTTTTTCATTGAATTTAAATTTCTCTCTATTGTTTTTATTTGGTCTGTTGTGATTTATTTCCATCTTTTTTCATTTATTTTTTTATTTTGACCGTAATTTAATTAATTCATCATGTCTGGTGAAGATTTAGCTGCTAATTTACGTAATTATTTGATCCAATTACAACAAGCTGAAGCTGCTTTGGCTGGAGATCCTGAAAATGAAGAGCTACTCAAATTAAAATGCGATTTAGAGGTAAAGCTTAAATGCCTCTTGATTGTTATTTTCACCATCTCATATTAATTTATCTTATAAACATTTTTACGTGTTAATCTCTTGTTTAATCTCTTTATCTTTTGTTATTTTCCTTCATCTTAGGAAGTCATAATGTTGACTAAAAATCTCATGGCTGCTGAAGGAGCTCTCGAAGAAGAAGCTGAGACTGATGTTTTGCCGCAGAATTTAGAGACAAAACATAATTTCGAATCTGGAGATATTGTAATGGCTCCCTGGTCAACGGATGGACAGTAAGCATTAATATTCTAATGGGATCATGAAACAATCTATGTTAATCTTTGCTGTTTTTGTCGCAAATCGACAAACTCTTCTTGTTGCTTTCACTTTTTCTTAGATTCTATGAAGCTGAAATAGAAGACATCATGAGCGATGGTCAGTGTAATGTAATATTTTCTAGTCTACCAAATGGAAAGACTAAAGTATCCGAAGTATGTTTAGTCACATTACTTAAACCAGTCCAAGGAAGTAAAAAGAAAATGAAAATCGATACAACAGGATTTGGAACAATTTCTCGTGGACCAAAAGGCCTCAGGTCTGATGATGCGTCTTCATCTTCTCAGTTAAATTCTAAACAAAAACGTATGCAAATCCAACAGCATAGAGATTATTTGAAGAAGAAACAACAAAAGAAGCAAAATCGTATCAAAGAATTGGAAGAAGAACGAGAAAAAGAGAAGAGTAAATGGCAACAATTCAATCAAAAGGTGAGTTTCGACTTTTCCAATTTAAGTATAAGGTCACATTTATTTCGTTCATTTGGTTCATATGAGTATAATTTTATTATTATTTATTATCAAATGATTCATTTATTTCCAATGATGCAAACACACAAAAAAATTAAACTCAAAATATCAAGTTGCTTGATCTACCCTTCAAGTTTCCAGATGATCTGATGATATTGGTAAAAATTGTTTGAGTGATATGAAGATGCTAAATTAACGAGGATAACAATGAATCAAATCGTTGAAGAAACTGAAAGGAAACAAACCCGATGGTCTTTGATGTCGTGAACTCTGTCAATCGCTTTAAATGTATCGTGCTTTTCACTCATAAGCATTAATTCATGATGTGTTAATCCCCCATCTAATTATTATTATGTAACTTCCTTGAAAATGACAAACTCTAAATCCCGACAGACTCCCAACAATTTACCTTTCTAATTGTAAACCTAATCTCTATTAGAGTACTAATATTTTGTTTGTTTTGTCCATTTCTAGGCCATGAATAAGCATCTGAAAGGTGCGAGCTCTTTAGCTAAGAAAAAGAGTATCTTCAAGTCCCCTGATACTGTCGAGGGTAAAGTCGGGGTCGGAACTTGTGGAATCGCCGGTAAACCAATGACCAATTTCGTGGTGGCCGATAAATATAAACGAGGTACTTCAGCCGCCTCATCATCTTCATCCACACCTTCATCTCTTACACCAAGATATCCAAACCTTCACTCGACTGTTCATCAACACAAGTACAAATAATTACGATAATCATCATCTTCATCTCTCTTTATCTACAATTAATCACATTTTCATCTAATCAAAGGCCATATATTGATGAGATTACAAGAGACAACATGGCAAATATTGATACAACTGTGAACATTTTGTTTCTCAATTCGTCTATTTTTTGTCATTGAATAATTATCTAGATCAATTAACGTTTAACTGATTCGATTGTAAAGAAAATTAATCATATTCTCTTTTGTATTGTAAATGTTGGTAGATTTTCATCAAAGAAAAAACTAAATTTTGACGCAATTCAATTTTTCCTTTTCATCTTGCTTTCATTCCTGAATACCCTTTAATCTTGTTTATTGAAAATAAATTCAAATGAAAATCAAGTGAAATTCAAATCAGAACTTGATATTAACTTTTATTTTTGATTCATATTAGTTAATACATTTTGATGAATTGTTATTTCTTTTTTTTTTGATTCAACCCTTTAGAACTCATCACTAGACCTTTTAACTCATAATGACCTATGGTTTTTGAATTTGAAATGATAAAATTGTTGCCTATTTTTGATTAATTTAATTTAGAATTTGTATTTCTATTAGATGAGGTTAATCCTTGGAAGATTCTAGATAAGCGATAACATCGGCTCTTTCTTGCTTCTTCTTGATACCGGCGAAAATCATCTTGGTACCTGGTATGTATTTCTTAGGATTCTCAAGGTAGATATTTAAAGTCTCCCTACTCCAGGTAATACCTAAAAAAAATAAAAGAAAAAAAAATTAGACCAATTAAATTAAAAATAGAATCACAAGTCCTCATTTAAAAATGAAAAGGGTGAGACAAGGTCATAGAAAAGGGGAAATAGTAAGAGGAAAGGAGAGAAAGAGAAAAACTGACGTTCAATTGAACTTGCCGGAGGGTAGAAACGTGAAATTGTCGCAAATCTTGTAAATTAAAACTAACCTTTGCTTTTATTTGCATCAGTATAATCGAAACCTTCAGCAGATCCAGTTTTTCGTCCAACTAAATTATATAAATTAGGTCCTTGCTTGTGTCCTTTACCCTTTTCAGCAACATGACATTGGCCACATTTTTGGATGAAAATTTTTTTTCCTCGAGTTGGATCTCCATCAGGTAAATCAGCCATTATTTTAATTAAAAATAAACTCTTGGAGACACAGAACAAAAAAAACAATCAAATAAGAAAGAAAAATCTAAATCAATAAATTATCTTTTAAATTACAATTAAAAGTCACTTGGATCGTCCTCAAGCCAATTGAGTTGCTCACTGAATTAAATCTGATGCAATTGAGAAAAGATGAAGGCTCATCTCGCCGAATCAACAGCTTCACCTTGAGTTTCTATTCTCAGGCAAAGATGAGCCATGAGTTCGGCTTTTCTCGCATTTTCTGAATTTCTATTATATGAGATGACGTAATAATCCACAGGAATTAAGATGATTATCTATGGACGACGAACCAGAAAATGATGGAAAATTGAGAAAGAGCAAATTCAAACATTTTCCCATTGTTCATTAATTCATTGAGTTCCAATACGAAAACTAATTGTTCAATTAATCAAAATGAATTTTTAATCATCGAATTCAAGCCAGTTGATTAACGACTGAAGTCGAACAGGAAACAGCTCACAGTTAGACAACCTTCCAAGTGCGACAGAGAAAAAAGAAAGAGAAAACAAAGAACCAGAAAAAAAAGAAAGACACATAACTAGTGACATCTATTGTCTCATTTTCCATAAATGATAAGCCGATTTCTCATCAGCGCTTTTTTTTAATCTTTCATCAATCTTTAGTTTTTCACTTTTGAAAACTTAATTCTAGACAAAACAAAAGAGAAATGAACACTTTTTGATCAGACAATCAAAATAAACTTTTCTTCCAAAAAGAAAACAAAATTCATAGAAAATGTTTAAAACAAAATCATTGAAAAGAATCAATTTTGATAAAAAATGAAAATTAATCTTCCTCTTGATTAACTTTTCACCTAAAAATCAACCAAGATAAATTGATAGGACAACGAGAAAATTTGTCCACTAGAAACACAAAATTTTTCAGACAATTTTCACCCAAAAGACTAATTGCTAAATTGATTATTAGTTGATTGATTGGTTGAATTAATTGTTACAAGAATAAAAGATTCGTGAGAATAAGCTATTCTCACGACTATCGATAGATATCGATACGAGATACTTTCGATATCGATATTTTCTGTTTCACTAAAATTGAATCAATATTTTTGTCTCTTTTTTTTAACCGATTTAATTTGATTGACTAATTGTTATTAATTGTCAATATTAACGAAGCTTTTTCTCTACAATCTATTGTTTAATTAACTTGTAGCTTTTTTTGTTTAGTTTTTCTTGTTCCTGTTGTAAATTAAATAGCAAATTATGGATGATTCAGATGGAGATTCTCATGGGAAGAAAATGTTTACTTCCAAAAGTGGTCCTGGTGGCGGCGGTGGTCATGTTAATAAGATTCAAAAAGTGATGGTACAACCAATTAATCTGATTTTCCGTTACCTACAGAATCGTGCTCGTATTCAAGTTTGGTTAAATGAGAATGTTAATCTACGAATTGAAGGACATATCATTGGTTTCGATGAATATATGAACCTTGTCTTGGATGATGCCGAAGAAGTTTATACAAAGACACAGACAAAGAAATCGATTGGTCGAATATTGTTAAAGGGTGAAAATATTACCCTAATCATGAAAACTCAAGAATGATTATAATTTAAACCAAAAGAAAGAGAGACAACAAACAACCAAATCGCCAGATTAAAACGAAATTTTCATTTTTTATATCATGAGAATTTTTTTTAAAAAAAACAAAGTTAAGATCCAATTGTGTGTGTGTGTATGTGAATGTGTATTGAAAAAAGGGATAAGAGTGAGGCTCGAATTTGCTTCAATAAATAATCGTTTGCATTGAACAATTTAAATTCTTGAAAGAATTTCTTTTCTTGTAAGCAAATTGATTCTTTTCTTTTTTTTAAAAAAAGGTGAATTTTTTAAGAAAGTGAGAGAGAAACAGAAATTAAAGGTGGTGATTAAGGTGAGATGATGATTGTGGTAGTGAAAGTAGTAGAAGTAGTAATTGGGGGGTGATTATGTTCTTGATTGTTGGTTGATGATTAGACTCGTTTCTTGAACAAAGATGTTGATGTTATCTTCCATCGAGATGATTTTGATTTCCATCTAATCCATGAAGTTAACCCGGTCTTTAGATTAATGTAAAGTGTTGAGATCTCATTGATTAAATAAAAGGTAAGACCAAAGGAAAAGGTAATTAAAGATGAAGCCAGACTCTTGGAATCAGGAACAAGTTCACCATGAATCATTTTATCCCAAAGTAAATTGAAACCATTGATAATGTAAGTTAATATTACACAAGATGAGATGAATGAGAAAACAATTAGAGCTCCGGTTATGCTGACAAGGTCCGAGTGACTTGGAACAGTCATGATTAATCTGGTTCCAGAATGTGATAGAATTGGATCACTTGGAGGTATTGATGATGGAGTAGAAATCAAGTAATTGTGACTCTCATCGACAACACTGAGACCAAAATCAAACAACATAATGATGATTGTTGTTGATTAGAAAATTGTCTTTGTTTTGTTTTGTGTTGAGAAACAAAATTCCAATTGAATTTGGGCGATTTTTAACTGATTCAGCGATGATTTAAAAAAAAGGGATAGTCAAACAATCAATGGATAAGTTGTGAGTTGATGATTGAGGTTAAAAGAATTGGTTAAGATTAGGATTAAATTAATTAGATCCAATTAAGCTCACATACACAGCGAGTAAAATTTTGGTTCTCTTTTCATGTAATATAGATTCTCTCTGGTTGTTTACACTCATCTAATCACTTATAGAGTGAAAGATAATTCAAAATATTTGATGTTGATGAATGAGATGATTGTGAGAATGATGGAAACGTTGATGATCCAGTTTAAAGATTGGAAATCACTTTCACCAAAATTGTAAAGACCATGAAGAAAACAATTAAACGTAAGTAATTAAATGAGCAATTGCGATTATGTGAAATTGCAAATGTTTTTCATTTCCTTTGTTTTGATACAATTTTCATAAACAAAATTAGTGTAGGAGTAAAAGTTGAATCTCTTGTTGACTGTTAATTGTTGCCAATGTCAATGGTCTGGTTGACAGTGATTCCGATTGATTGTAATCAAGAGTAACAAGAAAACTCAATCAATCAATGGATGAAACCAAGAGACAACAATTAACCAGAGAGAAAGAAAAACAAAACAAGTCGGTAGACAAAAGGATGAAACTTGTTATGTGATGAAACCAAAATGATTTAAACGTTTTCACAATTTAAGAGACAATTTAACAAAACTGATGATCACAAACACCCAACAGGTAAACCAATAGACACTCAAGGGATAAGACAAAAGGTTAATCTCTATGTACACTAATCCATGACTATTGAAGACTAATGAAGTTAATTGTTGTTTTCTCAACAACAACCACAACAAGAGTTAACAATGAATAGTTAACAGGATCAACCAGAAATTAGAAATGACTTTTTTTCTTACTTTCTCTTTTCTTTCTTTCTTTTTGTTTCTCTCTCTCTCAACGAACCAAACCTCGAATCGTTGTTCAGAATCAGGAGAAGATGATGAAGATGATGATGATGAAAAGAAAGAGAAAAGAAAGAGCTAATGATGATAAGAAAGAGAGAAAAGAAAGACTCAATGTCATCACTTTCTCTTTCATCCCAATCCGGTTTCTGTTGTGAGTTAATTGTAAATCCATGGTCACTTTTGATTCACATTTCCAGATTATATTCAATACTTTACATTCACTATTAACTAATCCAGTTGTGTAAATTATTCCAATTTCATCAAATTAACTCTAATCTCTTAATTATTTTTATATAATTTCAGGATAGTAAATAAAATTATCAATGAATCTTTGAGATTGTCAATCCTTTTGCTTTTGATTCTTGATCATCATCGATAGTTAATCAACAACAATTAACCTTGGTAGCCCTTCACTTGACTTTTTGTTTCTTTTTTTTCAATTGTGATTAACTTAATTTAGATCCTGCTGTGTGTATTCAACAATTTAAGGTCAAATATTTAAGTGTTAATCATATCTTGTTATGTTTTTTACTTCTTGATTGTTGTTGTCTCTCATTTAGATTATTATATATTTAAGTTAATAGTGATATATTCAGTTGATTGTGACCATCAAACAATTTGATTAAAGGTCATTTTAATGATAAAGTAGAAACAAATTATGATCAACAATCAATTGTTATGATTGTAATACTGTTTAATATTGAGTTGATTTAGTTGTTGATCAACTTTTGCAAGAATAGAAAGTGAAATTAATTGTTTCCGAACATTTCAATTTCTTTCTGATTGTTAAAACTTTTTTCTTCCAACAATCAAATCAATTGATTCTCATTCAACAATTATTTTAATTGTATAAATTTTAAGGTAAGGCTATTAGGCGATGTCCACTTATTAATCAATCCTCCCAATGGTCAACAATTAACACAATTGTTACAACCTAAGAAACGGAAAATCAATGAGTTAATTGTTGTTAAAGTGTATCAGTGACAATCAAGTTAATTGAAATGAAAAAGAAACAATTTCTATTATTTAAAATTGAATTAGTGGTTAACCCTCAATCATCAATGAGAATTAATTAACTAATCAAGTACATTACGAAGTTTATTGTGATTAAAAAAAGCATCAACAATTTAATTTCCTTAATTTAATCTCTTCCTACAATAATAAACATACAGGTAACAATTAAGAAAATTAAGAGTATCATTAACGTTAATCATTAACAATTTGTCTCTCATTCCTTAAGGTCACAATTTATTTTCGAAAAGGTCAAATCATGATCATGATTTAATCACAATCAGTTTGTCCAAACAGTTGATTAGCTAGGAAGAGATTAAGATTTAATTGTTGATTTCTCATAATAGTGTTGACCTTGGTCAGTGTAAAATAGTGGATGAGAGGAGGAAACAATTTAGTTAATTGGGCGTTGATTTAGTTGAATGTTTAGTTAATCAAAAATTGGGAGAATTAAAATTAACCTTGATGATTAAGAAACTGTCGTTCATTTGGATCATTGAAATGCCCTCAAGGCATAAAACTAAACCAGAAGAAGATGTTAAATATTCAAGGTTAGAATTTAATTAAATTAAATTGTTATGATTAAATTTAATTTCCTTAATCTGATAAATAAATTGTCGTTCGATTGAAATTTGTCAGAAAAAAACAAACAAATATAGAGTAACAATCAATTTAATTATGTTATAATTTTGTTTAAATTAAGGTCAAAGATGATCAGTAAAGTAACAATTTATTTATTTCTCTTTAATTGTCATTTAATTGTCGTTCATTATTTTATTGATTGTCTCAAATTGGTAAACTGATTTGATGAGATGTTTAATCATGTTGATTATGTTCAAATCACGAAATAAAAAAGTTTATTTAACTAATTGTTTAAACTTTTACATTGATTTTATTATTTCCTTGTTAACCTTAATTCACCTCTAATCTTTTAGACAACAATTAAAATTAATTGTTAATCGTTTGACTTTAACATTTTTCATTACTCTTCAATATCTTCCTCTTAATTTGGTTGTAAGATTTAATTTACTTGATTGTTGTGGACACAATTTAAATCAAAGGTCACATTGAATCTAATTATAATTGATCAGGTCAACTCGTTTTTAGATTTTAACAATTATCACAAATCAACAATTAACAAAGAAACACAATTTCATTATCATAATTAGAAATGATTAACCATCTATCAGATTTACAATTAATTTGATTGTAACAATCAAGCTAAGAAACCTACACAATTAAATGAATACAAATGGATAAACCCATAGATAGTAATTTAAATAATTCATGATGATTGTAACAATTAAAAACCTACAACAAAAATGTTAACATGAGTAATATAATGCTAATTACTAATATACAGATTATAACCAGACAATTAGTTAATTGTGAGCTGTCTATTAAATTTATCTGTAATTAGCCAAACACCTACTTTCTTAATTGTTAGTTAATTTGATTTCATGATGATTACTGGAAAAGGATTAGAAAGCCAAACCTTTTTTTTCAATTGGTTTGTTAATTGTTGTGAAATTGAACAACTTAATTTGATTTACTTGTGATAACATTGAACAATCAAGTCAACAATTAAAGTCTAAAAGTTAAATTGCTCTTGATAATTTGAAGATTTAAATTTCTCAAGGTAAATATCATTCAAAAACTAACCACTGATTATGTTGACTACTATTTAAAGCAAACAATTAGTTGATTAGTTAACTAAATCAGTGAAACATGAAAATAAAAATCTCGTTTAATTTTATTTTTTCAAAGTCAATTGACCTTAACTAACCTTGGATTTAATTGTTGAAATTTGTTGGTGAAGTTTCATCAAAGTTTTTACAAGATTAACCTTGAATTGGAATGGCAATCAAGTTAATTGTAAACGGAATTTTGATCACAATTAACATGGTAATAGATTAATCCAAGTGTATTTATAATATAAAAAAAATAACAAGCCAAATGATCAACAGGTTTATGATTGTGATTAGGGAAACGAGTTAACAACAATTAAGTTGATTGTAAACGATTTGTTCAAAGGAAAAACATTCAAGTTTATATTTCTAAGTGAAAGTTAATTAACTTAATTGTTAACTCACAGTCAATGATCATTATGTTCATATTATTTACAATGATTTGTATTGTTATCACGATTAATTGTTAACTTACCTGAGGATAGTAACAATTAATGAGTCATACTGATTGTGTTTTTCTCAAACAACAATTAGCAGATTTTCATTGAATTTCAGTTGTAAAGTATTTTCCTAAACCATTTCTTTGATTATCACAATTAACATTAAACAATTAACTCATCAATCTACAATTAATTGTTAAATCATTCTACTTGATTGAATATTGATTGTTAACTGATTAAATCATCAATTGACATAATGATGATTTAAAGCTCAATAATTTACAATTTGACGACGACGATAATTATTGTAAATTGTTAACAATTAATCACATGGATTTACAATACTAATTAATGTTGAATATCCTTCGTCTACAATGATTAACATGATCTTGATAAAAAAAAATTGATTGTTGGAAGGTTAAAAAAGTAACTAATTCTTAATTGTAGTTAAATTGATTAAGAGAAAAGTAAAAAAATAATAATAATAAATAAATAATTAAATTGAACATAATTTTAATCATAATTATATAAGGATAAGGAAATGTTAATCATAAATCGTTGTTAAATGATTAATATTAATCAATCCTTGGTGCATTGAACGACTTTCAAAGTTAATTGTTCAAGACACTTAATCACTTAGCATTTTGATTGAAATAAATGATTAAGTGAAATCAGATTTTACCTTTAAAATGATTTAATCAACATTTAAACCCCTTAATTACTCAACTTATATATTACATACTCGTTTTACTCAACATTGTAAACAAAATGATTAGTTAATCATCATCAGAACCAGATTTAGGTTTGTGATTAAGTTAATTCAGTAAGATCAAGATCCAAGGTCTATGAAACCAGAATTTGTTCAATCGAGGATGAAAATGAAATCGTTTTTTTTTCTCGACAATTTAATTCTTAAGGCCAATCGTAACCTTGTAGATTTCAATGATCACCATGATCATGAGGATTATTTCATGATAATTTCTCAGGAACAATTGAAAACATGAATTACAAGAGATGAGAAGAAGCAAAAAAAAAAGTTAGATTGTAATTGGACAGAAACGGTTAGACAATCAATCGATTATTTAATTTCTGTTTGCAAGTTAAATTGTTGTTGAGAAACAAAAAACAATTTAATTTGATTGAAAAGCAAATGATCAATTGTGATCTCACCAATGAAAGACAATCAAATTAAGATAAACAAAAGATTACCATTCAAATTGAACTTCCATTAGGTTTGATTGTTGTACGAATAATCAACAATTAAGATGCAAAAAAAAAGGTAAAGATGAGTAAATATAATAGTTGATTAACTTTGATTTGTTTCTTCATTGATTCAGTTGATTACTAATTAACGAGATCCTTAATTGCGGCCAGTGTTTAAATTGTTACCAATTTATTTACACAACTTTTTTATTCATCTATTTGATAGTTTTTTTTGTTAATCAACATGATGATTATCATTATAAACCTTTAATGAATTGATTTGATTATCCATCTTTTGACATGTTAAATTGTAATCAGACAATTGAATCTAATTGTTAAAAGGTTGTTACTCTTGGACAATTTAAAAGTTAATGTTGAAACAAAAACTGTGATTAGTTGATTATGATTAAAATTGAAAAGGTTTGATTGGTTGGAAGGTTAAATTGTTATAATAGAAAGTGAAAGTCAATCAAGAGCAGCAAATTAACTCGTCTATTCAACTATAATCAAATCAACTCACAATTTAAGGTCAATTGAAGATGATTTATCTTCCTTATCATCATCATCTCTTTCTTTTTTTGTCTATTTCTCTCTCTTTTTTACTTTCATTTGAATTTTCATTCTTCATGATGATCTCATAATAATCTACATCCGTTTCCTTTTACATGTGAGTTAATTTTTCTTTCTTCAATTGTAACAATTAATTGACCACAATAAAGTTTCAATCAATTGACAACTTTAAACTCCAGCAATTTGATCCCAATTAACTAATCACCGTTATGGTCAATTGATTGACCTTAACACTTATTACCTGTTAATTGTTGATAATTTTATCATACAAAGTCTGAGATTTAATTTAATCGCAACTGCAAACACAATTAAAATACTAAAAGACACATTAACCATAAATTGTAATTAGCTACCTTTCATAATTATTTAAGTTAATAAGTGATAATTAAAAACAATTAAATGACAGAAACAAATGACATCAATCAAAGTGAATTAAATCAACCACGAATGAGAAAGACAGACAATTAATTAACATTGAAGATTGCATGTTAACCTATTGTATTGTAAATTGTTGGTCAGATTAAGGATAAATTAGAATGACCAAACAATTGTAACAATTAAAATCTCTCTCTCTCTCCAAATCAATTATCAAACTCGACTAATCAGTGGACTTGATCATTACTTGATTGTTGTTTCTCTCGTCGATCAGATCTCCAGGTCAGTTTTTCGTCTCTTTTTTTTCGCATTTCAATTTGATTTCACTTTCTATCACTGATTATCATGATTATCGCTAAATGTTGATTATAAATATAATCTATATTCTTTAATTCAGTTGACCTATCCAAAAGAAGAAAAGAAAAAAAAAGTTCGTTAAAAAAAGTCAAATAGCCGATCTAAAGTGTTCGTTAAAAAAAAGAGTCCAATTAACTGTAAATATTATAATCTGATTGATCAACTGGTAACATGTAACACAATCAACAACCTCTAAAGTCAACACCATCAGACACACATTTACAATCATCTCAAACTGAGTTAATAATCATAATAATAATAAAGTTAATTCAGTTGATTCATTCATGATGATGACCTGCCTTTGACCCAGAATCATGGTTCATGGTTCATGTGAATATGTTTCTCAATCAACTTTGATTGTTTGGTGAGTTGCTTGTATTTAAAATGACCTTTCAAATAAATTCAATAAAGAGAAGAAGAAGAAAAAATTTCCAAACTAAATGAATCAGTGATCGAAAACTTTAAACAATCAACTAATCACAATTCTGAAGCGATTGAACAATAAAAACGATTTACCTTTTCATCAATTCTCCAATGGTGATAAAGTGCAACACTTGAATATTATGTAATATTATGTATTTAGTAAGAAGGTTGAATTTTTGTACAATTGTGAAAGAAACAATTAACAAAAGTTTTCTTTGTTTTAATTGTCACAATTAAAAATTTTCAATTTTCTAAAATTCGTGCGAATTTCAGCTACGCCATCTAGTGTTCGTTTTAGAAACTATTCGAGTGAATAGAAAGAAAGAGAAAAAGAAACAGAAATATTTTCTATTTGAAGAAAAACTTGCGACCTAGTGACATCTATGAACGAATAGATTATTCATTGTTTTACTTTTTTTAAGTTGAAAATTTTAACTTTCACCTTTTAAATTGATTGTTGATTTCTTTAATTGATTGAAAACTTTAATTACAATCAATATTTTCGGATTGATTTACATGATTAACGGTTTATTAACTCGTTCATTAGCTGTAGTTGTTACTGGTCGCTCAATTACCCAAGGTAAGCGCTTGTATTTTTTTATTTTAATTCATATTCTCACTAATGTTATTCCTGTTCTGTTTCAATTAGTAACAATTTACATTAGTAGAATGTGATTAAATTGAGATTAATTGACGTTGAAAAGCAGATTTATCTGATCTCATTTAGCTGACGTCTTGAGAATAAGAGAATTCGAAGACATTTCAAATGAAAAGGATATTATCCATTTGATTAGCTTTATGGTTTATTACTCCATTTGCTCATCTTACTTGGTTTCCATTCTCATTTTTCAATAGACCCGCTCAGAGAATCGATTTTATTATTCTTTTTCTCATATTTCGGCTTATCTGTAGATCGATTTTATTCTAATCGGTATCATACCTTTTAGCAACAAAATTTGTTGACTGTGCAGTTTCATCAATTATCTCGTAACATTTTCTAATTACTCCTTCTTTTTCTATAGTTTACTCATCATTTAGACTAATCACCACATCTTCTCTTGGAAAAAAGTGTTTGTTGGAAAAGCTAAAACCTTCAGTGTCACTCTGTTTTGATCGCCAAATCACCATGTCAACTTTTCTCAAAGCCAAAAAACATTATGAACGATTACCCAGAACTGTAATTCCAACTCTTTACAAACTGGAACTACAACCAGATCTGGAGAAATTCGTCTTTTCCGGTAAAGTGGACATCGATGTATCTGTTAAGGAAAGTACTAATTCGATTACCCTTAATGTTTCTGAAATTGAGATTCAAAAGGCGACCTTTAAATCTGGATCACAAGGTAAGTGTGTAGTTGTAATTAAACAGAACAAATTAATCTGATTATCTAGTATTAATTAATTTCTCTACTATTAGATTCATCAATGGGCCAGGTAACTCTCGATCCGGTGAACGAAAAAGCCTTGATTAAGTTTGGTGACAACCTTAAGACTGGAGATGGTGTTTTATCACTTTTATTTACTGGTATTTTGAACGATAAAATGAAAGGTTTTTACCGAACCAAATACACGGCTCCTAATGGCGAAGAAAGATATGCAGCAACTACTCAATTTGAGGCTCCTGATGCCCGACGTGCCTTCCCTTGTTGGGATGAGCCTTCATTTAAGGCGAAATTTGAAGTTACCATTATTGCTCCGAAAGACCGAACAGTTTTATCCAATACTGATCCAGTTAGTGATATTCCACACCCAGAGAATCCAAATCTACGAATTGTTAAATTCTCTCCATCACCAATTATGTCAACTTATCTTCTTGCTTTTATTGTGGGTGAATATGATTACTTGGAGACAATAACCAAGCGTAATACAAGAATCCGAGTTTACACCCAGTTGGGTAAAAAGGACCAAGGGACATTCGCACTCGAAGTAGCTTCAAAGTCATTGACTCTATTTGAAGATTATTTTGATATTCCTTTCCCGTTGAACAAGCTAGACCATATAGCTATACCTGATTTCGCATCCGGTGCAATGGAAAATTGGGGATTAATAACATATAGAGAAGTAGCCGTTTTAACAGATCCATTGAACTCATCATCTGCTACCAGAGAAAGAATTGCTATAACAGTTGCTCATGAAACTGCTCACCAATGGTTCGGTAATTTAGTGACAATGGAATGGTGGACTGACCTTTGGCTTAACGAGGGTTTTGCAAGTTTTACTGAATATCTTGCAGTTGATAAAATTTTCCCTCATTTTGACATTTGGTCTCAATTTGTTGCCTTTGCATCACTTCCCGCACTTGATTTGGACTCACTCCGAAGTAGTCACCCTATCGAAGTACCAGTTGACCATCCGGATGATATTGACTCAATTTTCGACTTAATTTCATACGAAAAGGGTGCATCAATCATTCGAATGTGTCATGATTGGATTGGAGATGATGTGAGTTTTCATTCGTATTCTTAATCAAAGTTTTACCAAAACTTCATTTAAAAAATAATTTTGATTTTCAGGCTTTTCGTAAAGGATTACATGAGTATCTTAGTAAACATGCTTATGGAAATGCTGTTACTCAAGATTTATGGGACTCATTGGAAGCTGCAAGTAATCAACCTGTTGGAAAGACGATGCCCACATGGACTAAACAACTCGGTTATCCGGTGATTAAAGTAGAATCAAGACAAGATGGAAACAATCGTGTTCTTAAATTAGAACAACAAAAATTCTCTATTGATGGAGTATTAACTGACGAAGAGAAACAAATGATGTGGATGATTCCAATCTCCATAATCACTTCTAAAGATCCAAACAAAGTCGCCTTATCAACTCTTATGACTGAAAGAACAACCGAATTGATTATACCAAATGTGTCTCCGAATGATTGGATTAAACTCAATCCAAAAGTTATTGGCTTTTATAGAGTAAATTATTCGACTGAAATGTTGAACCAATTTAAATCAGCAATTTCATCGAAACAATTAGTAGCTGTTGATCGATTACAGATACTTAATGATTCATGGGCTCTTGCTCTTTCCGGTAACATCTCTACTCGAGTTGTCCTTTCGCTCCTTGAGTCTTATTCTGATGAAGACAATTATTCAACTTGGGTCGCTATCGATAATTGTTTCGGTAAACTGGGCTCGCTCCTTTCTTATACTGATTTAACTGATAAATTCAACGCACTAGGAGTAAAACTTTATTCAAAAATATTCGATAAACTTGGATTCGAATCGAAAGACCCTAACGCTCATACAGAGAATCTCCTAAGAGCTTTGGTTCTTAATCGATTGGCCAAATTTAAATATGATCCAGTAATCAAACAATCACATGTTCTATTTAAAAGTCATTTGGAAAGCAAACCAATCAATCCGGACTTGAGAAATTGTGTGTATCGATCAGTGGCTTCGTCTTGTGATGATCAAACTTTCGACTCTTTCTTTAAGGTATTTACACCATTTTATTGCTGATTTATTCACAATTCTTATCGATTTAAATCTCTTTTTTCAGTTGTACCGACAAGCAGAACTCAACGAGGAAAAAGTCAGGCTATTACAAGCGACCGGTGCCACTTCCGATGTTGAAAGACTTCGAAAGGTCCTCCAATTCTCCCTTTCGGTAAATTACTTTATTACTTTTCATTTGTCTTATAAAATTCTAATTTAACGTTTCGTCAAAATTAAAATCAGAGTGAAGTTAAATACCAAGATGGATGGATCGGTGTTATATCGACCGTGGGCTCAAAAAATGGTCGTGAAGAAGCTTGGAAATTTTTCAAAGAAAATGCTGCTGAATTCAAAGAACGTTATGGATCTCACCATTCGAATGCCCGTTTAATTGCGGTGATTATTATGATTTTAATTCTTTTTTTTTCGTACAATTCTAATTGTTTATTATATTTTTTAGTGCATCATTTCCGATTTCGCCTCCGATGAAAAAGCCAAAGAAGTGGAAGAATTTTTCTCGCAAAACTCATTCTCTGGCCACGAACAAGTTATTCTTCGAGGTTTGGAAAAGATCAAATCAAACTCCGAATGGTTGAAACGAGAACTCAATGATATTAAAGATTATCTTGATTCTAAATCAAATTAATCTCCCATAAGTTTTATACTTTATTATAACCATAAAGAATTCAATGTTTTCTCAACAGATGAAAGTAATTTACTACACTTAATTAATTAAGATTAAACTGGATTTAGAATAAGAAATTTCTTCTAAATTTACTTAATTACCGTCATTTTTTCCCTTCAATTCTAAACAATTAATCCAACGAGGATAATAAATGTACACAAAAATACTTGAGACACAATCCTAATCAATCTAGTTTAATGTTTACAAGTCATCAAAATAAAACAATTAACCAGTTAATTTGATCATTTGAAATTCAAATTATCTAATCACAAGAGTAACAAACTGTCATCATGACACATGAATGAATTGACTGATAACCAAGAAGTTTTTCCTGATCTTTACTCCAGACAATTAGTAAATAATGTGATCCGTTGATTTTATTGTTACAAAAAGAAAACAATTAACAATAAATCAAGGCGAATCACATCTTAATCATTTGATCACCTTTTTGTCGACAATGTGATTAATTTGTTAATAGAAAAACGTCTCACCAATTGGGTTCGGTTCCTTTTTTTTTGTTTCTATTCTTGTGAAGGTAAACCAAGTATTGGATTCTGATACTCTTGGTACTTGATTATTTGAAAGAGAGTTGATTATGTTTTCAACTGTTGTTCGAAGTGAAATTTAATAACCAACATTTCCTTGGAAGAGTCTAAATATAAAGGCTTCACTGTGGACAATTAGCTGAGAATCAAATTACAAAGATCAAAGCAACTATTCAGTCTGTTGTTTTCTAATTTGTGGTAACAATATTTTGTTGTTTCTTGTTTTCCCTTTTCTGTTTCGGATTAACCATATTGGTCAAGTTTTCATTGTTTTTTCAACTTAAATTGATTCAATTGTGATTAGATTTTGTTTCAAAGTGAAAGTGTCTCCGATCTGAAGGAAATGTCACCGCCGATTTCATCAGTTAAACCCAAACATTACAAGAGGTTACCAAAAAATGTGATTCCCTCATTGTACAAATTGGAGGTGACACCGGATTTAGAGAAATTTGTCTTTTCCGGTAAAGTGGACATCGAGGTATTTGTACACGAAAGCACTGATTTGATTGTCGTCAATGTCGCTGAAATTGAGATTCAAAGGGCAACCTTTAAATCTGAATCAGGGGGTAAGTGTATTTCTATTTCCTCAGATCAAAACAAGCGTTCTGGTTTCTACCGGTGTTGACACATGAGGCGATTGTTGTGTTACCATTATTGACAATTTTCTCTTTTTTTATTTTCTCTTTAGTGACTCATCAAGGACAAGTGACCATTGACACGGTTGAGAAAAAGGCCAATATCAAATTTGCCCAGAAACTTAAAACTGGAAATGGTGTCTTATCGTTTATATATTCTGGGATTCTCAATGATCAAATGGTTGGTTTCTATCGTAGCAAATACAAGGGACCAAATGGAGAGGATCGATATGGTGCTCTTACCCAATTTGCGGCCACTGAGACTCGTCGGGCTTTTCCATGTTGGGATGAGCCTTCATTCAAGGCGAGATTCGAGGTGACCATTATTGCTCCGAAAGACCGAACAGTTTTATCCAACACTGATCCAGTTAATGATATTCCACACCCAGAGAATCCAAATCTTAAGATTGTTAAATTCGCTCCATCACCAGTTATGTCATCTTATCTCGTTGCTTTCGTAATTGGTGACTATGAGTATGTGGAAACGACTACTAAACGTAACACACGAATACGAGTATACACACCGTGGGGAAAAAAGATCAAGGGACATTCGCACTGAAAGTGGCCTCTGAATCTCTCACTCTTTATGAAGATTTTTTCGATATCCCGTTTCCCTTGGGTAAATTGGATCATATCGGAGTTGCTGATTTCGCTTATCAGGCCATGGAAAATTGGGGTGCGATTATGTATCGAGAGATGAGAATCATTACTGATCCTTTAAATACTTCATCTTCTACCAAAGAAGGTATCGCATTAACAGTTTCTCATGAAACTGCTCACCAATGGTTCGGTAATTTAGTAACAATGGAATGGTGGACTGACCTTTGGCTCAATGAAGGATTCGCCCGTTTCACTGAATATCTTGCAGTGGATAAAATTTTCCCTCATTTTGACATTTGGTCTCAATTTGTTGCTTGCGTATCACTTCCTACTCTTGAGACCGATTCTCTTCGTAACAGTCATCCCATCGAGGTACCAGTTTATCATCCAGATGATATTGACTCGATTTTCGATCAAATTTCCTATGGAAAGGGAGCATCAGTAATTCGCATGTGTTACAATTGGATTGGAGATAAGGTAAATTTTCACCAGTTTCTTAATTCAAAATTCCACGTAGATCAAGTTACATAAATACTCAAATAACTCATTTTAATTGTTAGGCTTTTCGTAAAGGATTACATGAGTATCTTGATAAACATGCTTATGGAAATGCTGTTACTCAAGATCTATGGGACTCATTGGAAGCTGCAAGTAATCAACCTGTTGGAAAGACGATGCCCACATGGACTAAACAACTCGGTTATCCGGTGATTAAAGTAGAATCAAGACAAGATGGAAACAATCGTGTTCTTAAATTAGAACAACAAAAATTCTCTATTGATGGAGTATTAACTGACGAAGAGAAACAAATGATGTGGATGATTCCAATCTCCATAATCACTTCTAAAGATCCAAACAAAGTCGCCTTATCAACTCTTATGACTGAAAGAACAACCGAATTGATTATACCAAATGTGTCTCCAAATGATTGGATTAAACTCAATCCAAAAGTGATGGATTTCTATCGAGTAAATTATTCAACTGAAATGTTGAACCAATTTAAATCAGCAATTTCAGCGAAACAATTAGTAGCTGTTGATCGATTACAGATACTTAATGATTCATTGGCTCTTGCACTTTCCGGTAATATCTCTACTCGAGTTGTCCTTTCACTCCTTGAGTCTTATTCTGATGAAGACAATTATTCAACTTGGGTCGCTATCGATAATTGTTTCGGTAAACTGGGCTCGCTCCTTTCTTATACTGATTTAACTGATAAATTCAACGCACTAGGAGTAAAACTTTATTCAAAAATATTCGATAAACTTGGATTCGAATCGAAAGACCCTAACGCTCATACAGAGAATCTCCTAAGAGCTTTGGTTTTAATCGTTTGGTCTCTTTCAGATACGAACCAGTAATTAAAGAATCTTGGTCACGATTCAAGAATCATCTCGAAGGAAAACCAATAAATCCCGATATTCGAAGTTGTGTTTATCGAGCAGTCGCTTCTTCTTGTGATGATCAAACTTTCGATTCTTTCTATAAGGTAAAACCTCTTCTTCCAGTTTATCACTACAACACTCCAATCACATATTCTAATTGATTAATTTCTATTTCTTCTAATTAACAAACTCTTCTTCGAGTTAATCATTACATTATTCAATCACATATTCTAATAAGTTAATTTCTATTTCTTCTTATTAACTAAAAAAGTTACATCGTGATTCAGATCTTATCGAAGAGAAACTCAGATTAGTTCAATGTATGGGGAGCACCAATGATCCAGCTCGAATGCGACGACTTCTCAAATTTACACTATCGGTAAACATCAATTGTATTAATTAAATGACCTTTGAAATAGATTTAGATTAACTCTAATTCTACTCTTTCAGGATCAAGTGAGATCTCAAGATGCTTGGTTAGCCATCATTGGTATCGCTTCCTCGAAGCTGGGACGAGATGAATCTTGGAAATTTTTCAAGGAAAATTCAGTTGAATTTAAAAGACGCTACGGATCTCATTATGCTATTGTCCGGTTAATTGAGGTCAGTTGGATTGTCAATTCTCTTTTTCGTCCTCAAATTATATCTTCTTTTTCATTTCTATCAACAGAATATTCTTAAAGGTTTTGCCTCCGAAGCAGAAGCCAAAGACATTGAAGATTTCTTCAACAAGAATCATTTCTCTGGTCAAGAAACAACAGTAGCCAAAGGGTTAGATTGGATAAGGACCAATACAAATTGGATGAAACGAGAAGTCGATGATCTTAAAAAGTTTTTCAAATGATAAACTGACCACAATAATCAAATTAAGCGGAAACAAAACTCAATCAAGTTTTTGGTTTGCATTTTTTCATACATTTAGTACTTTTGGTACTTTTTATTGCTTATTACATATGATACTTTCATTGTAGAGCCTGTCAAGGCAATTTTATAATCTCTCCTTTTTCTAGTTACCAATTGGTCCTTAAAATTTGATATCGATCATTTTTTTAATCAATTGGTATTTACATAATTGAGTAAAAAAGGTAGAGAAAAAAGAGAGAGAAAGAGATCGACAATTATGATTACCTAGAAAGAATCGTTTGTAGACTTTGTCACAAGGAAAGTGAATTGAATAGAAACAATTTAAGCGATTTGGTTTAAGATTGTCAATACCAGTTAAACATTAAATGTGAAATGATATTGAAATTTTGTCACAATTGATATAAATATTGGCACATTTGATTAGATTTGATGATTTTATCATAATGTTTGGTGAAAGGAACAGGAAATGTTGACTTGAAGTAAATATAAATATTGATTGGACTAATTATCGTTTAAAAAATGATTATTAGATTTACGATCAATCATTACGCTTTAATCCACAAGGTCTTCTCAGTTCCTGTCCTCTTTCATGGAACCATTTATTTGATACCCATTTCGATCCAACCAGAACAGGACAAGCGGCATGTCGAGTTAAAAGATCACCATCGCCGCTTGGATGAAGATTATACCAGAAAGCGGCTGATCCTTTTTTAGGCCAAAGAGTCAATTCCAATGTTGGGAAAACGGTTGCACCACCCGCTTCAACATTGGACATGTAATTTAACCAAGTTGCAATGCGATTTCCAGTTCCAAGGCCTGCAAATGGATCAGCCTTATGATAATCCATTTCTTTTTGTGTGGCAAAATCATAATGAGGCTCATAATGACCACCGATACCATAATTGACCACTTGTAGCTCCTCAGCTGTATCAACAGTTAATCCAGAAATATCTTCGATTCTTTGATTAACCCGATCAACAACTTGATCATCAGTTCCCTTTAACCAGGCACTTTTACTAATCCGATAATGAGCAGCTTCCAATTTACCTGTTTTATGATTTTGAACAGTTGCTCGTTTAAGTCGAGGTAAAGCTAATTGTTTGATTGTTTCCATCTCATTATCTGACATGATGTCATGATAAATTAAAATTAATGGCTTCTTATAAGCTTCTTCAACCTTGATTCGAGTGTAACGTAAATAAGGATGTTTGTTGGTTGTATTTAAATAGAAACAATTTAAAGTTTTGGTTATTCGCTGAGGTAAAATGGTTTCTCCTCGACAAAGAGCCTCATATGATTGTCTTTCTTGGGTTACAGGTGAATCAACAGTAGAAATGTTTTCATCAATTGGAACCTCATCATCGTCACCAACATCACCACGTAACTTTGCTTTACCAGAATGACCCAACACCTCCTCATAGTAAACCTTGTTACCAACTGCTCGAGGATGATTCGGAGCCAAACGAAGTAGTTCATTGGTCAATTTAAGGGCATGACGAACGTTCCCTCGGCGGAAAGTTGAAAAGGCCAGATATTCGAGAATTTCGGCTTTGTCAGCTGTTTTTAAACTCTCCTCTTCCCATCGGTCTAAAGCTTCTTGCATCCAAAGGATTGTATGATAATGATCACCATTTACATATGAATATTTACCAAGATCAAAACAATCACCAGCACTGAGTTCAACTCTTTTAGGTGATACCAAGGTAAAAGGTGAATCGTCAGGGTTACTAGAGTCATAGAGAGGATGATGTTGAGGTTGTTGAGCAATCCGAATCTCTCCCCTGGCTAAACTTGAAGTGTCCAGTTTATAAGTATCCTGGAGTCGTAAAAGTGCATCAGCTGCTCCATTAAAATCTTCAGCTGAAGGGAAAGTCTCACCACTAGAATTTTGAACTCGATAGATTAATTGTTGACCAGTTTCATAAGATTTTTCAACCATCAAGGCTTCAGCTATTAGAGAAAAAGAAAACAATTAGATTAATGAGAATGGGAAAACAATTTAATGGACATTAAATGGACTTAGTAAAATGTATCAATTTTTTTTCATCAACAATTATAATTAGACTGTTTCTCCATCTTCTTTGACGGTTAATTGTTCAACTTTCATCTTTATAGTTCATTTCAATAACTCAATTCAAAAGTTTTCATGATGAAAAAATGGTCGAAACGATAAGTTGACTTAAATATAGAAATAAATTAAAATTAACGTCAACGTGACATCCTCATCCTGATGAGTGTAGATCAAGGTTAGATCTTCAGATCATCTTGTCCAGTAAACACTTAAAACATAATTAGTGCTCATTTTGTGCTGACTTGAAACCAAATTACGATAACAATCAACGTAAAGGATGAATTAGAAATGAATTTCCTTCAATCTTATCTTAATAATGAATGAATTTCTATCCATGTTGAATACGAGGATATGTTTTCTGAAAGCTTAGCAATAATTATGATGATCTATGTTGATGATAATCAAAAGGAAATCGATTGATTGTAACAATTTGATTACTTTACCATTTCTCCAATCAGAGGTGAGTGTTTTTACCAAAAGAAAAGCATTAACGGGGTTGGCCAAATAAGATTGAACATCTTGACTAGCGATCGATTCAATTGAAGCAAATTTTTCTCGAATGCTCTTCAATTGTCTTAATCGTCTCTCTTCACCAATTAAATATGAATCCAATGATGAAACAATTGTCCTTTCGATTTCCAAAAGCTTTTCCAGGTCAACAAGAGCAGTAAAAACTTCACCATTCACATTGGAACCACAAATCAAGATGAGTAAACAAAAATTGACCAGTCGGTAAAACCCAAAATCTTTCACAGAAAATATCATCATTGAATCGCCTTATTGCTGTTGGATAAACAAAGAAAGTGGATAATCACAACACCAGTTAAATTAACTACAAATGATATGACACAATATAAAATGCCGGTTAAGATGATAATTAGAATAAAAGATGATCCATAATTAGCTTTGGAAATCAATCAATTCTATAGAAAATAGAAAAAAACAATAAATTAGAAAACCAAACAAGGCTAAAAAAGGCATTTAAAAATGAAAGAAGATGAAAAAACTCACCGATATTTGTTTCTCTTGGTGTTCAAATTGATCAAATTAATGAGAATTTCTGATTGTTCATTGATCAGGTATCATCACAATTAGAAAAAGACAAACTAAGATTGATTGTATCAAAAAAGAAAATAAAAACAAACCAGAAATAAAAGGTAAGAGTTGTCAAGATGATTCTAAAAACTGAGATTCACAGATGGATTTCAAGAGAAAACTAGAAATTTTCTCGACGCAGAAGTAAGAAGATGATGATGAAAGAGGAAAAGATGAGGAGAATAAGACAGAGAAGATAAGTGTTTGTAGAAAGAGGAATTAATAGAAACTTGAGTTAATCTGAACTCGCTTAGAGATTCATAAGAGTTGAATAATATTCAAGGATAAATGACCAAGAACATGGAACTGTCTTCAATTTTGATTGAGTCTTTTTTCCTCTTGGAACTTCAATTGTTGAGGGTAACCAGAAATTACACAATCAATGAAAAGTGTCTACATTTTTGATGGAAGAAAATAACGAGAACGTAATTCTAACAATTTAATCTGGTTAACCAACGATGAATATGAAAATAAAGGGTTTCCTTTTTTTCCAGAACAGAGATTATCTGTTCATCCCTTCATTTCAATTTCTTTTCTTTTTCTTTTTCTTTTTTGTTATTGTTTCCTTTTCCTCTTTGGTTGTTTCTGGTCATCATTGTTTATCTTCCATCACCCATTAGAATCTCTTAGGAGTGGCCATGTTTTTTTCCCATTTGGAGTCCAAAAGTTTCCGGAATTAGATGAACATGAATGGAGAGCTAGAGAGGGAGAGAGAAAGAAATGAGAAAAAGATAAAAGAGTCAATTTAGCATGTTAATTAACGTTGAATTTCAATGATAATTAACTAACAGAGTCAACAACCTGTTAGCATTAAGCCAAAGATTAAGTACTTAGTAACGATTCATTGTCCCAGTGACGGTCAACTCAAGTTACTGACCGAGGTCACCTAGAGATTTCTCACCGTCTCACAATTAATTACTTTCACAGAAAAGGAGAAAAAACAATTAAATCATATAGTTAATCAAC